GTTGGGTTGCATTTGGTCGGTTGGTTAAGAGGATGCATTTTGCTGGGTCATCTACTTTACACGGAGCGCACCAACTTCCTGGGGTTGTTTTTCTGTCTATATATTAACCAGGACATTCTACAAGATACTCTTACAGCCATGTGTTCACAGGTTAAGGCTCAACAAGTAAGTTGAGCCTTACACTCTCTGAGTGTAAGTGGCTACTGCCTGAGATCGCATGCTGTGTTTTTATTAAATGTGCCAACTGCTAGGACTGTTTTAGGGAAGATGGCATTTAGATGCGCAGCTCCACTGTCTTGGTCTGCAATTGAAATGGAAACTGAGCAATCTGGTTCCACTAAACGTTTTTAAAGCTTGGTTGGATGCTACTCAATCGGAAGCTGTTGGTACCTGTTCATGTGGATAGTTATGTAAATTGTAAATCCCTGTAATGATGCTGTATGATGTCCTTTTGTTGTTATGTTTATGTTTTTTATGTTTCATGTGGAACCTACTTGAGCAGGTCTCCCTTGAAAAAGAGATCAATGATCTCAATGAGATACACCTGGATAAATAAAGGTTTGAAATGAAATGAACAACTAGACTGCCACTCCTGATTGGTTACAATATTTGGCACAGTTTAAGATCATTGCATGACCAAAGAGCACTGGTTGCAGTTTTGTTATGTTTATAGCCACATTATTCCAATACAACAAAAATATAATGCAGGTACAAACAGTTTTAGATTCATACTCTCAAAAATAAATCGAAGTCATGGAATAAAGTGTTTTGCAATGCAAAGATCAAAGCCTACGTTGGCAGAGCCAAGGTTTCCCTCCCTGGCCCAGAGCACTGCTGGGGATTCATGCATGACTAGAGTGTGAACATGGAGCTGGAGTGGGGGAAATTGAACACTCCAACCCTGGGAGCAGGATTAACAACAAAGGGCTGCCAATCAGGTTTAATCAAACAAATACAGGGTGAGTTATACTAACAAGAACCAATCCAATAATCTTGTTTGTTAGCTTTCGATGTAGAGGAAAATAATTGTAAAACAGGAAAGACGCCCATAGAGCAACACTTTAAAAATGAATTGCCATGGATTATAATAAAGTGGGATTAACATGGACAGTTTCTAATTAAAGAGGGGTTGCTTATATTAACCCTTATAGACAAGCCCATATGAGTGCGTTCACAATTGAAACGCACATATATTAGCTCCTCATAATTAAAACTTGGGAATCTAAAGAATGATCATTGCTACAGTTAAACCAATCTGGTTTTAAATAGTGCGACTCCTTTTCGAGTTCTCGTTGTTGATCTCGTCAATTAACGCGATAGTGTTACTGGCTGGCTGCACTGAGTTTACAGTGTGACAGAAAAACTCAATTGAACCCTTTAAAATGTTGTGACATTTTGCGACCGCCAAAAAACAAAATTATATGGATAATACGTTCACACAATCAACTTAATACTGCGGTCAATTGTGAACTAAAACACGTTTGTCTTTTGGGTTCAAATTAGTGGAAACAACAACATGAGCGGTGTTCTGCTGCACGCGTAAAGTCAGAAAGTACTCATTGTCATATTGGGGGTTGGATGTCATTTTCGTCTTAAACAAAAAATAAAACTTCCGACAAGACAACATGCACACAAACGTGTTTTTTAATTATTACGCTGCATTTTCAACTGTTTACGCTCATCTAGCCGCACTCATATGTCAATTACATTCAAAGAAATTCATTTATCATTCATGAGCATACATTTGGACATTTTAAATAATCTTACCTTGCATTAGCCTCCTTTAAACTGTTATGCGAGTACTCTCCGCCCGGTAAAACGAACTTTGCTTTGAAAAGTTTTCCACGTGTTACTTCAGCCAAGAGAAATACAATTGGGTATACAAAACCTTATCCTGGAGCATGCAAATAAAAATGAAAAGCCACTAATGGAAAGGAATTATGTTGTGGAGATTGCTTAGTACTCGCTTGTACCAAGTAAAGCTCTGTTCCTTCTAGGTCTTGCCTCGGGAGTAAGGGGGGGGGGGGGGGGGGGGTTAGAGTGAGAGTAAGGGGGGGGGGGGGGGAGAGAGAGAGAGAGAAGAGAGAGAGAAAGTGTGTGAGGGCTAAACCACGAGTAGCCTACTCCTTAAAGTACCCTGAGCTCCCCAGTGCAGAGGTAAACAGCACGAGGAGCTGCAGTAGGCTACAGGGCAGGGGCGGATCTACCGGGGTGGCATGGGGTGGCAACTGCCACCCTAAACAATAGCCTTGTCACCTCAGCTGCCACCCCAGTTGGCATCTTTGTTTTGAAAGAAAAGTTGTGGCTCATCGGACATTTATGAGAGAAAATCTCTAATGTCCGAGTGCAAGTGAATGCAGCACAAGACGCGAGTCTTGTAACCCCTCCCCCGGCCCTGGCGCGAGACTGGAAATATGATTGATGGCGAATTCAGTTGAACGGGGGACGGCGCAAAACGAGAAGCATTTCGGACCCAAGTAGACGGAAGGAATGGGGTAGTTGCGATCTACAATTACAGAGAAGAGAATGTCAAGTTTGGCTGTACTCAGCATTGAATCAAAACGCACTAAAGCTTTGGATCTTAATACGTTTGTGAGGCGTTTTGCTGAACAAAATGGTAATCGCCGCATTCAGCTGTAATAGGCATACCAACTTGATGCTCTTCTCACGGATGACTCGATGAGCATAACAAACTGTTAAGATGATGACCTTGTATGCGTGTGTATATATATTTTTTTTGTGGGGGTCTGCCCCCAAAAAACTGTTTTAAGTCCTGAGAAAGTAAAATCAGACGGTGTGTAAAACTACACTGCCCAGCCAACAGAAAGTAACCACTTTGATTTAACCAGGCCAGTAGACAAGGACTTTCCACTGGATAATAACTTACTGCAGCGATGTATATGTTTTAGCTGAATACACGTTTGTTTTTTTTAACTCTAACTGATGCAGTTAGTCACTTTTTTAATATTTGTTCTTTCTGATGTAAAGTCAAGGTTGTAACTGTATATCAATGATATAATTACTTGTTTTTCAAATTTGAAGGAGGGTGAGCAAGCATCTTGATGAACATTCATCATTAACTCCTCCAAAAAATATAGTTTATTCAATAATAAATGAATATGTGAATCATAAAAGGGATTGACAGCTGATAGGAATAATATGATTGTTAATAGTATTCATTCAGACAAACATCGATGAGACAGTTAATGAATGTACTTATTGCAGCAGTCTTCATAGATTTGGTACCCCTGCTGGTCTAAGATTGAAACAAACTCATTCAGTTATTGTTCAGTTAAAATTCATTAAATTACGTCTGCCACCTTATATATTTATATGTAAGGCTTTACTGATGTGCCACAATAATATCACCTATGTCATTGAGTTAAAATATTAATATTGTGGCTTTCCAAGTTAACATTGATTGTAGGGGTGTAACGGTTCACAAACATTTAGGTTCGGTTCGTACCTCGGTTTTTAGGTCACGGTTCGGTTCGGTACGTTTTCGGTACAGCAGAACAAATTATCACAAAACATTAAAAAAAATATTTATTTTTTAAATTATTATTAAACTGTGAATATTCACTCAAATAAATACAAAATAAAATAAACATTAAGGTGCAGCATTTCGATGAACTGAAATAATCTATATGTGAACTGTACTGTACCTAAGCAGCCAGCTTGACATTAGGACTTGCTTGTCATTGTATTTTCATGTTTTTTTAAAGAAAGATGAACTTGTCCACATTGCTTGCCGAAAGGGCAGATCTGCTGGCACTAACAATGTCTCCTGCTGTGGAGAACACCCTCTCTAGGGACAGAGGTAGCAGATACAGCCAGGTAGCGCTTTGCTAACATGGCAACATAAGGATATTTGGCATTTGTAATAGCTTTGGCTCGGTCTGAACTTGTTGCGAGTGGTGGAGGCTTACATGCTAGTGGGAGTTGGGTTTGCACTTCAGTCTTTTTTCTTTTGGTACCGGTGATATTCACGTTTGGGTGATGCCTTTTCAAATGAGTGTGCAAGTTTGATGTATTGTCAGCCGCGTAACCAATGTTAGTTGAACAATGCCGACAAACAGCTTTGGTTCAGTCCACCTGTCTTTGTCCGTCATCCTTGTACGTAACTGCGAAACCAAAATGTTCCCAAACTGGAGACTTCAATGATGCTGGAGGATTTTCGAGTTCAACTTTATCTGCGTTCGCCATTTCGACAGTTCCTCAAATTACTGACTACATTTGAACATATCCCTGTGACCAGCTCTCATAGTATGCCTCTCGTCCAATGAAATGACTTGGTCGCTCTATGATATATATACCTAAGATTACTTCCAGAAAGTTGTTCATGTTCTCAATTTTTTACATTAAACGTTATATTCGTTCGGTACCCTTCGGTTCACACGTGTACCGAACCGAAGGGCCCGTACCGAATAATTTCAGTATGGGTACGTGTACCGTTACACTGCGATTTAAATCAGCATATACTTCTGCCAGGGGATGCCACCCCTCAAAATCTCCTGCCACCCCATGAATATTTGTCTAGATCCGCCCCTGCTACAGGGCCACTTAGTAGAGCAGATTACTCCCATGTGGATTGGTGCCAGCACAGATCGTAAAACATGATTTTTAAATGAACTGTTGATCATGCTCATTTCCCCCCACAGCCAAATATAACAGACACAAGCTGAATCAAGCAGAGAGCTTGTTGCAACGTGGAGTAACTAACAGCTAGTGCTCGAGACTAGAAGCTAGTGCTTTTTCACTGTCAGTGAGATAAAGTTTTCTCTCAGCTATATGAGAACTGACTCCCCAAGGTCTCTCCCACACCAAGCTGCCAGATTCTCCTCTCCTCGTGTAACAAACACATAGCTATGTAGCAAGCAGGCCCTGTCTCAATCTGGTGAACACACACCATGAAACCAGGTGGTTATCAGTCTTTAATTTTCCAAAAACATAGTCAAGTATGTATTTTGAATTGAGACAAGTATACAAAACTCACACAGTGTAATGAAAATGTATTTATTGGTTGTTCCAGTAAGAAAACACATTGTAAAATAAAAATGTTCAAACAAGGCAAGGACAGTTTAACAAGACAGTTGCTCCAGGTTGTTCCATGGAAAATAGATGCTATCATTTTCTCTTCCGCTAGATGGAGATGTTGGTCAGGATTGAGCAAAAATGCTCTAAACCAAAGTGAACAATAGAGGAGCAGACGACCAGTAAACAACCACTATCATTTCATGAATCAAAAGGAAGTAGTGAAGTATGGTGAGTAAAAATCAGCTTAAAACAAGAAACCTTTGCCAAATGACTTCAAATTCTTCATCCTGTTCAATGTGGGGTAGAAAGCATGGATGTAAGCCACAGGGTTATAGCTGTTTCCTTCACGAGGAAACATCAGTTCATCGTTTTGAGAGGAAATACCATCAGTTTTTACCTGTATAGCAGATGCTTTCCACCACCGCAGAACCAACCTCTCTACAGACCACTGAAATGAAACAGAAAAAAATTGCAGCGGAAGGGCACCAGAGAAAATAAAGTCAGGTTCACCCGGGCACAACAGAGATTACAAGCAACACATTAGAGCATTGTATTTCTTAAGGCATTATGCAGACACTCAGGGCATTTTTTGTGTTGTTTGGTGGTGATGAGAAAATGCAAACCAAAAGACAACTATGTAGAAGGTAAAAAGGAAGGGGGACGCACAAAACTCAATTCTCTTAGGGTTTGACTTGAGGCTAGAGCACAGAACTATAGACGAGGGCTCAAATTAATATTGTACCCAGATGAGTCTTAAGTGTCCTTGGATGACAAGCAGTGATTGGATTGCAAGCTTGGTAGCTTTTGATGGCCATGCCTGTCAGCCTCACCTGCTTTTTAATCAGTAATTACCATAGGGGTTTCTCGGGCATTTCTTAATTAAATTGGACCAAATGCAATTAAAAACCACACTCTCATTCCTTTAAAAGGGCTCTGTGGAGTCCTTGTTTGGTTCTTGCTGTTAAGAGAATAAGCGGCTGAATAGTCATAGCACCCTACCATCTCTCGCTGATCTGTGCTTGATTGTTTCAGTGGTCAAATTAGGTTTGCTGTTTGCATAATAAAGGGCAAGAAAGAGTTCAAGATTGAAAACTTCCACTCTAACTAGAATTGAAGGTTAAAAGTGTAGACAAGGAGGCAAAGTTGTTACCTTATTAAAACAATTAAAGTTAATGTTGGGAGTTGGGGAACAATGTAATGAGAGCATGGAGTGAAGAAGATCATTATCCTAGGAGTAAATGCAGCAATGTATCTTTTCCCCATTATATTTACACAGAGGAAATGTTACAGTATGCCTTTCAAATACTCACCATCTAGAAAAGTCCCCGGCGCTCCAGGAGCCAACAACAACAGACACATCAGAGGTGATTTTCCCATCTGCAGTTCTCATATCATCTTTGGAGTTGTTGTTGTAGTTGCCACAGGCGCCACACATTTTACCAGACAGGCTACTGTCAATAATGACTGTGACCTCCTTTGAAAGTGAGTAGGTGAGCCGTACAGCAGATGGCTTCTCAATGATCACAGTCTTCTCTGAGATGTGGACAGATATGTCACTTGTCACTTTGCTGGGAAGAGACATTTTCCTGCCATCTACCTGAATGACATGAAGGATGGGAAAACAACAAAGTGAGATAAAAAAAAAGGGTTCTACACCAAAACTACTTTTCTGGTTAAACATTGAACTATTATCCTTCCTGCTCTTCTCACCCAGGTCACATGTTGGCTGTTAACTGTGACAACCGTTTCCTTAAAGAACACATACAAGGTGGCGACAGTGGGAGATGCACCCTTGCTACAGACCCTGACGTCCACAACCACGCGGAACCACATCTTGTCGGTCTCGTCGCACAGAGACGCCACTTCAAATGCCCCTTGAGCTCCTATCGCTCCAGACATGCCATCAAAGGAGGAGAGGAGGCCAACTTGGCTGACGCTGCAGTGGCCCTGTTTGACGTGGCAGCCCCTTACGCCATCTCTTACATCACAAACCTCTCCACTGGCACAGGTCAGCTTCTCACAGTTCACCACCCCAGTGGCCTGGCACACACACTTGGACGTACAGGCTTTGTCCACATCTGCTTGGCCCACCTGGAAACATACATTGTGTAAGTAATCTTCCAGATTGATGAATATAATGTTGTCTCTGTTGTTCATGTGTATTTGTTATGACAAAATGGAAACTAACTTTCAAGTGTGTGGGAGTTATGATGTATGACAAAGTCAAATCTCAGTACAGTTTTACCGTTAGATATCTGCCATTGTGAACACATCCACAGTTGTCCAAGGGAACACATTGCATGCCATCGAAAACAAAGCTGGCGTCACATTGGCATCCTTCAAAGCAGCTTTCAGAACAAGTAAACGGGTAAATAAAGCTGGCACAGGTCCCACCACAGGTGTCGGCACACACCTCATAGTGACTGTTTGCAGGGCAGGAAGCAGCTACAAGAGAAGAAGACATTTATAAGACTTTGTTTGAGCACCTGAAATATAAAACAACAAAATTAGTGTTTAGTGTAACTCACGGCAGAAGGAGCTGCTTCTCCATGGCTGGATTTTCACTCCTTCGCTCTGGCAGGCCAAAGCGTAGGCCTGGACACTGTTGCATAGGTCATCTTTGTTGCCATCCACAGCACAAACATCAAAAACGCAATTAGACACATATGCCGCTGGGTCAATCTTACTGTGGCAGGCTTTAAAAGGACCATTAGGAGCACTCATAAAGCCACAGGAGTCCGATTTTCCATACAATGTGGCCTTGGCCTGCTCACATACTGGACACTGGCCTCCACAGCCCCCACACACATTGCCTGGCATGTCCACCACCCACGACTTCCCAAAGTCATCAACGCTGTTTGTTTTTCTGCCACCGGGAAGTCTGAAGTCATCACCATTTTTCTTGTTGTAGTTGCCGCAAAGACCACACATCTTTCCCTGGTATGTAGAAGGCATAATCACCTCAACATAATAGACAGTGTCATACAGGACTGTCAGTCCAAAGTCTGTGCGGATTATTATGTTGCGACCCTCCTGAGTGACTCTGAGACGCCCATTGTCCAGGTAAAGAGGAAGGTTTAGGATTTCGTCATCCACCTGGGCAGAGGGAGGAGGAAAAAATGATCAAGAGGACATAAATAAACATGCAAACCTTTTACCACGTGTTTTAGATTAAGTTATCGAACTCACAGTTACTTTCCATGGCACTTTCTGTTGGATGTATATGACATAACCGTAGACTGCCACTGCAATAGACTTGGTAACGGCCACTTTTCCATTTCCATACTTCTCATTCCCCTGTGTTACGCTGAATGGCGTCAGCCGGCCTTTGTCATCGTCACACACCTTGGCCAACATGTAGACACAGGTACCCTGGAAATCAAACCTCTTTCCATCAAAGGAAATGTAATGAGGGTCTCCGGATGCCACACACTTTCCCTGCCCATCAGGGTGGCAGCCTTTCATTCCGTTTACAAGCTTACAGGTCTCCCCTGCACGACACTTGGCCTTTTGGCAAGACACTGCGCCGTTCTCTCCACAGACGCATTGCTCCACACACTCTGTTTCGGGGTAGAAAACGTCTCCTTTCCTGTAGTACTGGCCATCGTAGGAGCAGCCACAGTCTCTCACGGGCACACAGGTATCCCCACTCTGCAGGTAGCCTTCGTCACACTCGCAGGCCTCTGAGCAGGCCCTGTGGCAGGTGGTGAGGGAGGTTAAACTGGCACAGGTGACAGGGCAGCCCGTGGCATACAGGGTGTAATGGCTGTTAGCTGGACACACCATTGCTGTGGGAAAGGTGGAGGGAGAAATGAACAGGGTAAAAGATAAAAGAGATACTTTTTAAAATAAGAGATTGAAAATATGAAAACACATTGTCAAACTCACGACAGAAGGCATCTGTTCTCCAGGAGCGGATGGTGATTCCTTGGCTCTGACAGGCAGAGACATAGACTCCCACAGCATCACAAACTGAGCCTTGGTGGCCATGGTACTGACAGGCATCATACACACAGTCCTCCAGGTAAGGAGCAGGGTCTACACTACTGTGACAATCTCTGAAAGGCCCTGCCAGATCAGCGATTATGCCACAGTATTTCTGGGCTTGGTACTTTTTCCTGTGGGAGTCGGAGCAGGCCTGGCACCATGCCCCCTGGCAGACTGATGAGCAGCCTGGCACCAGGGCCACCTGCCAGCTCTCCCCCAGCTCAGCTCCGTTTTTGCTGGTCTGGCCATTCCGCATGGTCAGGTCATCCTGAGCTTTGCCATTGTAGTTGCCGCACAGGCCACAGACTGCGCCCTGGTAGTTGCTGGGCAGAGAAACGCTCACTCTGCCCCTCCAGTCAAAGGTCACGGTGATACCAGCATCTGTTTCCACTACAGCTGTCCCGCCACTAAGAAACACGACCAGCTCATTATTGTAATCTAATGGTAACGAAGCAAGCTGCCCATTGAGCTGAAGAGGGAGAGAGACATATTTTTAGGAGATTATAGATTTAATAATTCTGCCGCCTTTGCTAATCCACTCTAATGTGCAGTTAAATCTTAGTTTAATTAAGGCTGCCTGGATCAACATTTTAATATGCAATTAAATATATATGCAGACGGTATGTCAGAATTAGCACAATGACAATAATATCTGTTCATTTGAAGAGGCTCTGAGTATCTGTCCTGTGTTTATTTTTATTTTTAATACTGTGACTACATGTTTTTTTTTTTAAAACAAGTGACAAGAAATGTAATCTGTTATTAAATTGCACATATGCTTGACAATATCCGTACCTCCAAATCCGTACTCACCAGGACTTTGTGGGGGTATTCTCTGCTGATGGTGAGGGTGATGCCATATATGGAGAATGTGACAGTCCTTGTGTAGGACACAGCCTTGCTTCCCCGGTGGTCGTTCTGCACAGTCACCTTGAACAGCACGAGCCCCTGCTGCTGCGAGCACAGTCCGACCAGCTGATAAACACATGTGCCCTGGAAGTCAAACCGGCGGCCATCAAAAGTCCGGTAGTGCGGGTCACCTGAGGCTGTGCATGTGGCGTGACTGATGGGCCGGCAGGTCCGCTCTCCATCCACTACAGTGCACATCTCCTGGGCAGAGCAGGAAGCCTCATGGCAAGTCACCATGCCCAGGGTCGTATCACACTCACATAGGCGACCACATGCCTCATCAGCCCAAAAGTGCTGCCCTGGCTTGTAATAACGGCCCTGATAGGAGCAACCACAACTTTTAGCAGGCACACAGACGCCAGCGCTGAGGACGTGACCCTTATCACAGACACAGGCCTCCACACAAGCACCAGGGCAGGGTGACTTCTGATCAGGGAATGGGCAGGATGGCTGGCATGGGCTGGTACAGATTTCATAGTGGCTGTGACGCTGACAGCTCATTGCTAGATAGGAATATAATTATAAAAGGCATAAACCAAATATGAAAATCTTAAATAATTGATTGAAGTTTCCGAATAATATGTGCAAATGAGATGCTCGTTAATACTCACGGCAGCCAAACTTTTTCCTCCAGTCCTTGATAATTATTCCTTCCCCACGACACTGCTGACTGTATGAGGCCAAAGCCTGGCACAGCATCTTTTTGTCTCCCTTATTCAAACACATATCATACACACAGTTGTTCATGAAGGCCTGGGGGTCCAATTTTCCATGACATGGCTTAAACACGTTATTGGTCTTGGCTTTAAGGCCCCCACAGAAAGCCCCAGACTCATAGAGCTTTTTCTGGTTGCTGTCACATGTAGGACAGTCTTTCTCACATGTGTCCCAGCAGGGATGCTTCTCATCCTTGTCTGGTGTTTGCCAGCTCTTGCCCCAATCTTTCACTGAAGAGACAGCTTTGCCGGCTGGATTCTGGAGCTCATCACCGTTGTTACCGTTGAAGTTGCCACACAGACCACAGACACTGGCGTAGTAGCTGCTGGGAAGCTTGATGACCAGCTTCCAGTTCCAGTCGTAGGAGACGGACAAGCCAAAGTCTGTCTCCACCACTGCAGTGTAACCACGCTGAGACACTGACACCTCGCCCTGTCCCTCGCCCAGCTGTACAGGAAGGTTCAGCTGCTCCCCGTCCACCTGAAGGGAATTGATCACAACAAATTATGCACACACTGAAATACCACAAATCAAACGCATCAGAAGAATAAAATCTTACCGTGACCCGACCAACTCGGTTCTTGCGGAGAGTGATGTTGTACCCATACACAGAAACATCAACCTCCCTGACAAAAGAAACTGCAGTGTTTCCACGATTATCATTCCTCTCAGTGACTGAGAATGGCACTAGACCATCCAGGTTCCCGCAGGTCTTGGAGATGACGTACTTGCAGGTGCCTTGGAAGTTAAAGTTAAAACCATCAAATGTGTGGTAGTGGGGGTCCCCCCAAGCCCAGCATGTGCCTGTGTACTCTGGGACGCACACAGCTTCACCCTTCTCAACACGACACTTCTCTTTGACTCGACAGGCATCTTTGCAGGGATCTACACAAGATAAAAGCAATGTGAAATTAATGTTAAACTGAAAGGGTATTACTCAGTTTAAACGTCCCCTATTATACTCTTTTTCATCAATATATTATAGTTCTCAGTTATATACAAAACATGTCTCTGAAGTGTTTGGTTGAAATACCAAACAGATCATGCATTGTAGCATCCCATAATCCCCTCTGTTTCAGCCCTGTTTCAAAAGTGCTGATTCTCTGTCTGTTACTTTAGATGAAAATAAGGAGCCACTCCCCACGCCCCTCTGCGAGATATTTGGTTAAAAATAACACAATGGTGCTCTAGGAGGAGATCCAGGTGATACGGTGGGGGGGGGGGTTACCTTGGTTGGTGATTGGCTAATGGTTACACATGCCAAAAAATCGTTATGACATCACTAAGTGGCCAAAATCTGATCAGACAGGTTTTTATATAAATGGATCAGGACAAAAAGAGAGAGAATCTTTTTTCCTGAACCCTTCAGAATCTCTTCACACAGAGGGGACACATTGTCATTTTCATAACAAAAATAAAAATAAATAAAATAATGATTTTGCATAATGGGTGACCTTTAAAGTTAAAGATCAGTAAATGTAAAGAGTGTGCGTCTTGCCTGTGTTGTAGCATGCCCTGATTCCTTTCTTGACCATGCATTTGGTGCTTTGGGGGCAGGAATGTTTTTCACAGACGATGCCTGTCTCTGGATTGCAGGTGCACTTTGTGTTACAGTCTTCTTCATACACCACTTCACCAGGCTAGAGACATGGAGCAGGTTCATTACACAGGGGGAAATAATTCACAGAATAAATGAAGAGAGAAGTCCACATTATTTCATTCTTATTCCATCTTATCAACCCTGCCACAAATGTAGACAATCTGCTAATTAAGTCTCTGGAGAAACACTCAGTGCGCAGATTTAAGATCAGACTGGCTCATGTCCAGCACTGTGGGAAAAAGCAAATGAAGCAAAATTGCCATGTCAGCATGAATGCTGCCATCGGTATTTGCTCAAGCCACTTTGGCACTAAAAAGCTATAATTTGTATATTGCTCTATTTTGAAAGGCCTCTCTTTTATAACAGACATAGGTGTTCTACCTTGTACGATCTTCCATTGTCATAGCAGCCACACTCTGTCTCTTGAACACACGCATGCCCATTGAATAAGAAGCCAGCATCACATTCACAGCCCTCTGTACAGCTGCTGGAGCACTGGGCAATCTCTGTGAGGCCTGCGCAGGATGCAGAGCAGGCGTCGGCACACACCTCATAGTGACTGTTGGCTGGGCATTTCATGGCTGAAATTAATTAGCACACGAAAGAGAAAGCATGGATTGAAAAGGAACCTGTTAAAATATTAAATAAATACAGCAATTACACTATAGCTCCAGAAAATAAGAGAAAAAACTAAACAGTGAATGTATTTTTATACTAACGACAGAAGGAAGGCGTCCTCCAGTTGTTGACGTCCACGCCTGCCATGTGACAGTTGAAGGCATAGGCTGCTATGCTGTTACAAAGCACCTTCCCATCCCCGTTGGAGGCACACACATCAAACACACAGTCAGCAAAGTATGGCTGTGGGTCCAGTTTACTGTGGCAGGCTGCAAAAGGGCCGTTGGGGGCTGTAACAATGCCGCAGTAAGTGGACTTTGAAAACACTGCCTTGCGAGCCGGGTCACATACAGGACAGTTTTTCCCTTTGCAGCCATTCTCACACACCACATTAGGGATGGTGACCTTCCATGACTTTCCAAACACATTCACATTGTTGGAGGGCTTACGGTTCGGCATTTGGAAGTCATCTTTTTGCTCACCGTTGAAGTTGCCACACAGGCCACAGACCTTACCACGATAGTTCCCAGGCACTGTGACAGTCACGTGATAGACCAGATCGTAAGTGACAATCAGTCCGAAATCTGTTGCAATAACATACCGCAAGCCTTCCTGATAGACCAGCACTGCTCCGTCATTAAGATTCACAGGGAGGTAGTTAAACACCCCATTTACCTAAAAGAAGAAAGTGCTTTTTTAAATAAAATCAAAACTTCTAATGAGAAGAATGTCTAAATATATTTGTCAAGCTTGTTTTACTCTCAACCATCTGCCACCTGTAAACTGCATTTCAGATATGGAGCTTCTTTTTTCAAATAAAAGAACCAGTGTTGTTTCTCACCAGGACTCCAAACATGTTGTTCCTCATGATGAGAGTGAAGCCGTAGACATCCACAGCTACCAGCTTGGTGACAGCCACCATTTTGTTCATAATCTTGTTCCATCGCTCGTTCTCCACCTGCACAGAGAAGGCCTCCAGGTGGGTGCCTTCCAGCCCGCAGCTCTTGGAGAGTGTATAGGTGCAGGTGCCCTGGAAATTGAATGTTCGCCCATCAAAAGAGCGGTAATGGGGGTCACCAGAGGCGTGGCACACACCCTTACCAACAGGATGACATTTTTGCACGCCATCCTCCACTTTACACTTCTCATTAGGGCCACATGTGAACTTTTTACACACAACCTAAAAAGAACAGTTGAGGAAAATGAGTATTAAATACATTTCCATCCTGCAAATGAACACTGATCAGTATCAAGTTATTATTAATCACATTGCATCCATTACCTCATCATCTTGTGTGCACTTGCACTCCTCCTGACACTGCCCATTGGGATAAAAAACTTGACCGATGTGGTAGTAGCGGTCATTGTAGACGCAACCGCACTGTGAGAAGGGAACACAGCGATCTCCACTGAGGATGTACCCTTCATCACAGGAGCAGCCCTCCTCACATTGAGCCTCGCAGCCCTGCGGAGGGATCAGACTCTGGCAAGAGGCCGGACAGCCGGGTGCACAAACTTCATAGTGGCTGTGGACTGGACATTTCACCGCTGTACACAAGCGATATAAAAGACAATATAAATGTTCTTTATCATTTAACAGAGACAAGTACAATTACACACTCAAAATACAAGCAGTAAATACAAGCAATATAAAGGCTCAGGAAAGGAAGAAACATATAAGGATGTGTAGAGAGAGAAGTTGAAATTAAAATGTTTTCAATATTACTGTTATACACTGTTACAATAAATAATGCTCACTTGGCTTTCATCATTAAAATGAATGCATGTCTCACCACAGTAATGAAAGGGTCTCCATCTGTATATCTTGGCCCCCACAGCTTGGCAGGCAGATGTGTATGATGTAATAGCCTGACACAGCACATCCTTTCTGCCCTCATACAAGCAAACATCATAAACGCAGTCTTCAAAGTAGCCAGCTGGGTCCACTTTGGCATGGCAGTCACGGAACGGTCCTTTGGGGTCTCTCAACAAACCGCAGAAATCGCCTTTTTCATATTGAACCTTCTGGGTAATGTCACAACTCGGACACACCCCTTTACAACCGTCTACGCATCCTGGGATCTCTGCCACTCGCCAGCTGACGCCAAAATCTGCTGGTCGGACAGGTTTATCACCATTCTTTGGGGTCAGATCATCCTGGGGTTTGCCGTTGTAGTTGCCACAGAGGCCGCAAACGGCTCCCATGTAGTTGCTTGGCAGCGTTACAAACACAGCACCATACCAGTTAAAGGAAACTTTGAGGCCAAAGTTTGTTTTGACCACAGCAGACCAGCCGCTCTTAAACACAGATACACGTCCATCATCCAGAGTGACAGGCAGGTTGACCAGCTCCTTATTCACCTGGAAAGAAACAGTGCAATTTAGGGTTGATAGAGGTCATATGAACTGAACTGATAAAACTGATTATTTTAGGATTACTTCAAAATCATTTGATAAAATTGACACCGCCACAATATGTTAAGGCACAAACTATATACTGTGTGTATTCTCAAACATGTGGGATGTCATTTTTACAATTATATTATAATTAGGGCTGTCAAACGATTAAAATTTTTAATCAGATTAATCACAGCTTAAAAATTAATTAATCATGATTAATCACCATTCGAACTATGTCCAAAATATGCCATTTATTTATGTATATTGTTGTGGAATGGAAAGATAAATGAAAGAAGGGCGGATATATCCATTTAACATACAGTATCTATGTTTATTATAACATTTTTCTGCGTGTCAAAATGAAAGACAACCCACACACCTATCAATCATCAAACCGTGGGGTCTTAAAACATTACGTGTGGATTTCTATCAAAGGGGGAATACTTCAGGAAAGTCGACAGAGAGAGGGGGGGGGGGGGGGGGGGGGGGGGTGGGGCTAGGGGGGCTAGTGGAGTACTTCGTGACCACAGAGTGTGAACGTTGTGATCAGCTGTTTTAGCACAGTTCTCCAGTGAAGGGGGGAGTCTCCCTCCGCAGCCGGTTGGCGTAGTTTTGGCACAATTCCGTTGTACAGACCGACGTTAACAGCAGCCCTGTCTGTGCACACGGAGACCGACTCTGTCGTCCGGTGATCTAACCGCCTTCTAGAAAAGCTAAACAAGTACGTCGGTACGCAAATGCGCTTTGTGACACAAGTGACGGTACGCATTTCAGAGAGATTACGCACATAACCTGCGTACCAGTTATGTGCACCCCTGTACTACAGCAAAAGTATTCTCCGTCGGGACTTCCTGCAACAACACCACGCCGTTATCAAAGATGTTCTATTGAGAAGACGATCACTACGTGACAAAAGTTTTCAAAACCGTGGCTACTGAAATCAATCTTACTAACTGCTGTCTGTGCAATTTACTCCGCGCGAGTTGGCAGACTATATTTTGCTTACTTTAACATCATTTTTCATGGTGGGGCTAAACTATTTCTTGGTATGGGTGTAGCCTACCCCAGCCATACCCTGGCGCTGCCACTGGTGGCACGTATGGGGCGGGCCATTCTGCACATGCGTTAAATGCGTTAAATATTTTAACGCAATTAATTCAAAAAATTAATTACCACCGTTAACGCGATAATTTTGACAGCACTAATTATAATACATTTGCAGTTTTTCAAATGTAGTCTGGGCGGATTATAGTACATTTGTTGTAATCCAATTAAGTAATTATGCTTACATGTAATCTGTTCCTACCCATAACTGATGTTTATTTGTATTTGTATAAATATTAGAAACAACTTTTCATATACACAGAATTATGTAAATCTTACCATAATCAGGCCCTTGTGTGTCTTTGTAATGACAATGCTGAGGGAGTGCACCTTGATCTCCACTAACTTTGTGTATGAGACCACCCTGTTGCCCCGGTGATCATTCTGCACCAGCACTTCAAAGGGCACCAACTCTGGGTCCTTGGAGCAGAGTGCAGCCAGTTGGTACACACATGTGCCCTGGAAGTCAAACTTCTTGTTGTCAAAGGTCACGTAATGGGGGTCGCCTGTAGCCTGGCAGGTGCTGTGGGAGACTGCCTGGCACTCTCTGATGCCACCCACCACCTGGCACTGCTGCCCTGCCCTGCAGCCTTTATCCTGGCACTCAACGCGTCTGCTTCCAGCAACGCATTTACACCTCCGCAGACAGCCCTGGTCGGCCCAGAATGACTCCCCAGCAGGGATATTTCGACCCTCATAGCTACAACCACACCTAGCAGCAGGAACACACTGACCTCCGCTCAAAAGAAAGCCTGTGTTACAGGTGCAGATCTCCACACAGGGGCGTTTGCATTTGGAGGAAGTATTTGGGTCAGAACAGGTTGCAGGACAGGCGTTGCCGCAGAGCTCGTAGTGGCTGTTTGCTGGACATTTAGCAGCTTGAGAGGGAGACAAAATGTACAGTATAAGATGTGATTAATCCTAGGAGCAAAAGCAAAAAACACAGTTTGTTTATTTGAAGATCCATTAAGTTAGAATTACTTACTACATCGTGCCATCTTCCTCCAATCTTGAACCTGGATCCCAGCAATCTGGCAGGCTTCAGTGTAAGCCTCCAGTGTCCTGCAGAGGAAGTGTCGGAGGCCGCCTCCCATGCATACATCATATTTACAGTTCTCCAGGTATGCTTGTGGATCAATGACGGCATGACATTTGCTGAATGGCCCATTTATTATCAGTGTGATAATCCCACAAAACATGTCACCCCCCCCACATCTTCATCAGGCTGTTTTCACAGCGCTCACACCCACCCACACAGTCATCTCTGCACACAGCACCTTTCACCGGCACCTTCCAGCTACTCCCAAAGGCCACAGTCTCCCCCGCTTGGGTACCGGAGGGTGTGGTGAAGTCATCATTGGGGTTATCATTGAAGTTGCCACAGAGACCACAAGTCTTACCGGCGTAACTGCTGGACAGAATGACCCCAAGATTGTGTTCCCAGTCGTAACGGACAGTCAGGCCAAAATCAGTCTCGATAACCACAGAGCGACCGCTCTGAATCATCATCAGCTTGTCTTTTTTTAAGGTTATTGGCAAACTCCACAAACTGTTGTCAATCTGCACAGAAGAAAATATCTTAAAGTCTGAAGTCATAATTTATTAATACCACATAAATAATTGAAACAAATATTCATCATCAATTTAAGTCCAAATTATATTTAAAATATGTATATTTGAAAAATAACAATCTTTTACTTTGACAGAAACAGGAAGCCTTACCCTCACACGACCCGTCTCAGACCTAACGACTGTGATGATGACGCCATAAACCTTCACTGTCACCACGGCGACATATGACACCCTGAGGCTTCCTCTGTTCTCACTCTGGGCGAGGACCTCAAAGTCTGGGAGATGGTCATCCTTTCCACAGTTTTTAGCAATAACATATGTGCAGGTACCCATGAAGTCGAAGTGTCGCCCGTCGAAGGTGCGGTAGTGAGGATCCCCCGTGGCCCAGCAGGTGCCAGGCTTCCTTTCCACGGCCTTGGGAACACAGGAGGGAAACCCGCCCTTCACTTCACACACCTCATTGGCACTGCAGGTGATACTGCTGCAGGAAAAAGATCCACTTCCTGGAAAACCATAATTAGTCAACAATTACCCACAACATTACAGTTAAAGAGCAAGGCAAAATATGCACTAAGTATTTTGTACATTATACCAATATCTGTTTTTAAATAATTCTATATAGCAGTGGTTCCCAGCCTGGGGGGGGGGGGGGCGCCAAAAATCGCAGGGGGTGCGCCAGGCCTCAGATGATTTGAGGCCTAATACCATATTTTTTTTTTTTAACCTATAATTGTTATACAATACATGATTTTCGCTAAAAGCCTTGTCTCTACATGACAATAAAGTATAACAAATAATTGATTAATTTCAATATAAATTCAAGTTAGTAGCTAATAAAGGCATAAAAAGACAGAAATGCATAATTTTTTCTATAATATAATATAATTTAATATAAATGTTTCTTCTACGCGTAAGGTGTCAAACCGGGCTGGTCTGGATAAGTGCATTTTTAAAAACAGTCATTGTCCATGCCGGTTTCAGTTGGATTATTTGTCACAGTTGCTCCGATCAGATCGGTCTCCTCCGTTTTGTAGATTATTTACGACTTTTGAATCCACATAAACACATCGGCAAAATCCGGTTTACTTTGAGCATGTATTTTAAACAGTTTAATCCCTTTGTGAATTGTTTCCACTTGCGCCGTCCTTTAATTTCTTCATACAGCGGGAATCCAAATTAATTAATCCTGAGTCCAATAACCATCAAAGTCACTCTATAGTGCTCCTTAATTACGCTTTCATCCTCCTTTAACAACATACTTCACATTCATCCAGTTTGTGACAGTAGTTGTAGCATTTTGAGATTTTTAAACTTGAATTACCGCTGTTGCCTTGTCTGTTTCCCCCCCTCCCTTGTGTGTGTGTGTGTGTGTGGTGTGGTGTGTGTGTGTGGTGTGTGTGTGTGTGTGTGGGGGGGCGGGGGGTGGGGGGGGGGGGGGGGGGGGGTTTCGCAACTTCCAACAGGAGTAATTTGGGGGGGGGCTCTCGGGGAAAAAAGGTGGGAACCCCCTGCTATATAGTATGTTCACCTTACCTGGCTGTATACATGTCCTTGGGCACCATAACCATTCATCTGGCTGACTCCTATACTATAGAGAGCAAAGCCGGAACCAGAGCTGGACACAGTGTGTTTATTGTTGCCGGGGATTTGCTGGTAGGACATCTCCGCCCAAGAGAAATCTGTCCCTGTAACCTTCTTCCACTCGACATTACGTGGCAGGTTTTTACCATTAATACGCAGCTCTGACATCACACTGGTCCGTGCAACTATCAGGGCTTTGTTTTCAAAGCCCTCTAGAGCCTCGAGTGAGTAAGAGGAGCAGAAGTGGTCGTTGGACAAGATGGCCATCAGGAAAGGGTCGTAGTAATGGAGCCAGCTCCGTGTGACACCGTTGAAGAGCATGAGGACTTGGATCCCATGATCGGCCTGAATGGACAGGGTTTCAGGATTGGAGGAGTGGATCTCTACTGTTTGCCCCCTCACCAAAGTAAAAACTTTTTTATTGTTTCCGTGGTGGACAGTGGCTTGGGTGGGCTGCGAGGCCTGGAGGAAGACGCTGTCAAATTTGCTCTGGAAGGTCAGGGGAGGCACAATGAAGCTTGATCCCCATCTGCTAACTGGCAGGAGCTGCTCATAAACATGGTTACATTTGGCAAAGCGCCATGTGCAAGTGTGACCCGTGACAACAGCAACAGGGTGCTGGGAGGCAACTCTGGTACCAGAAAGTTCATAAACACTCTGGAGCTGCACGCTCTCATACGGCTGGAGATCTATCACCATTCGGCTGCCACTCCCATAGACACGACCTTCGAACCTGATGGTGCCGCGTGGGAAAATCTCCAACTTATTGCTCTCTTTTCCATTTGTCACAGAGAACTCTTTATAGGAGCCATAGGAGGACGAAGCAGGTGTAAAGATGAAATATTCAGTACCCCATTCAGTGGTGGGATATACAACAGAGGTGTCTGCTGTGTACTGCTTGGAGTTAAATGAGGTTACAGATACATCTGCTGAGGCTTCTATGCGCACTGTGTTGGGAGACCTCTTGCTGCCGTACATCTCCACACCAGTAGGGAGACTGATGGTCACCCTTTCTCCAGCATTTAGAGTTTTCTCTTGCTTGAAGTTTAAGGGAGGCACTTTCACTGTCACTTTAGCATTGGCCTGAACGGCAGTGATGTATAGCTGATAATGGGGACTGTCATAGTTGGGAGCATAATTCAGCATGAATGACAGGGCAAACTCTCTCCCTGCCTCTCCAGCATTAGAGGGACCTGAGAGAAGGGAGAGGAGCAGGGAAACAAACTTAAAAAACACGTCAAAAGACAACTTATTTTCACGTAACCTAAAATGAAGTAGTCAGGTACAAAACTGCCTTCACAGATCTCCCATGTGAAGAAAACATGTCAAAGAAGCATTAGGACATGAATGACACTATTTGTGTCAAGGCAATCAAAGGATTCACAGACTGGCAGTACAAAACTTCGCTTGAGATCGCATACACAGTACAAAGAAACACTATGACACCAGATAGAAAGTGTCAAAAAAACACCTTCATTTCAAAGTTAAAAAAGCAGGAATGAATGCTATTCTATAATGGATGGATTGCTTTTTTCCTTGATAACCATTGTGAGAGATTTAGACTGAGGAATAGTCACTTAACTGCTTCTCAGCAGCACTCAATAAGTCACTTGCGCAGACAATATAATTGCATGATGGAAATATTATCAAAATCTGTGCCTTTGCTGTGAAAAGAACATTTTCTGGGCTCAGCCAGGGCCTGGGGGATTTAGATTACACTCCTGTTCCACCCATTCAGTATAATAGTTCCAACTCAATAGCAGCTGAAGGTAAATGCTATTCCCAACAAAAGCAAATTTCAATTTAGATGGCTATCCTTTATTTGCCGCTCTCTCAAATTCTTCACCTGTTTAACATTCTGCTTCATTCACAAAAGCACCTGGTATGGCCGCACAACAATGCTCTCAACTGATGGGGTTGACAACCTGGAATTGCTTCAAATTGAGCGATCACTTGGCTACAACGTCCTGCTGGGGAATTCAGCACCGAGGTTCGAGAAATGCTGGTGTGATAGATTAATTTAGCTAAGCTGCGTTTAGTCAGATTTCATAGTTGAAGTCATGCAGGATTTTTGATTAGAATAAAGAAATATTTGTTATGAGTTTTAAAATGTACATCGCTTCTATGTTTGTTCAGCTTAACACTTTAAAATCATGACTAATAAGACATGCATCAGATTGAAATGAAAATCATTTTCAAGTGGGTCCTGCAACAGTTAGAAAAAGTAACAAAGATCAGAGTGACTTACAGCTGAGGAAAGCTCCCAAAGCACAGAGCAGCAACAGGGTGCCCATGACTGAAAGACAGAAATGCACATTTGCTGCAAGCATTTAAAATGTTTAAAAAATATATAATACATTATTTTCAACAAAAAGCCAATGCAAATAATCTCTATGGCGTGCTTACCTCCTGCAGCATGTATGGCAATTTTGTTTTTTACTGTTCCCTCTTTTTATATACTGTCAGACACAAATCCAACCAATCAAATATCTTGCAGCTCAACCGCTACATCTTGGAAAAACAACACCCTTCCTCCAGAACAAATTAAGGCAGAACTTGGCACAGACCTGCACGTCCTGCTGTATATTGACATAGGTGTGAGGTTTAATACCAACTTCATGTATGGGACGCATCATTCATCTTTCTCTATTGTTACAACCAGACAGGCACTTCTTTTCAGGAATCTGACAAGAATCCCTGCATAATTTATTTAAATGTATATCTGTAGAAGTATTAGACATACCAAATATTTATTACGGAGAACAAAATCAACCAGAACAACCTCCTCTGATGTATTTTCCATCCTTAAGTAAATGCATTTTAAGATTGAGCATGACGTGATTAAAATATATTGTAGTTTAATCTGCAGGACATTCCAATGCCATTTGATGTGCAACACCATCTGTATTGCATCTTCTGGTCTAACCAAAATATACATCTTAAGTGGGCAAGGCAATAATGTGATGAGCCCAAATCATATTTCCACAGAGTTTGAGTCAACATCCAGCACTATTTGTATCATATTGCTGTAACATAGAATATACGCATTTTCCAACACAGGTTCTATTTCGTCCCTACTGACCGCCAGAGGCGGTGCTTTAGCACTGATGTGTCCATCGCGCAAATGTGCAGCTCGAGTACCAATACCAACAAAGTCACCTGTGACCCACGTGACACCGGCTATATCAGCCGGTGTCGTCAGTGGATCTGTTCCTTTCATCTTCTCGCTGCTCGAGAGTACCTTGGCTACATTTTTTGTAGCCTACAGCGTTTGTTCGGTTGGAATATTTGTTAAGGATTCTCTGCAAACAGCTGGCTGCGTGCAGCTTCGCGACTCATCCAGTCGGGGCCGCGGGTTTACCCGTCCTCCAGGAGCTGTGGCTGGCTGCGCAGAGACTTCGTTCGGACAGGTTGGTGTCGGCTTGGTTGGTGATGGCAGTGTTTTCGCTCCCTCTCCCAGCCTAGTTGTCCCGTTACTGTCTGTTTTGCTTTTTGGGCTTCAACTTTTATGGTGACGGAGGTGTTTCCGCTCCCTCTCCCAGGAGTTGCCCTTGCTGTGCTTTTGTACTTATTCTGCGAACTTCATTAGCATTGAGCTAGTTAGCAGTAGCGCTGCAGCCACTCGGCTGACGCCGTGTTAAGCACCGGAGTTTCCCGTGCTGTTTTTTCTTTAGAAGCCAGTTTCCGGTCTTAGCTTGTGTAAAGCTTCTTGATTTGGGGTGTAGCTACATCCCCTTTGTTTGTTCGGCGAGTAGCAGCACCGCTCTACTCTTCCCGTTCAGCAGGTAGGCATTCGTCTTTAATTTAACCAGTGAAGGTAGTGCTCTCGCCCCCGCTCCTGGTAGACGCCAAACTACCTTGTTTATTCCTTTAAGCAGGTAGCTGGTGAAGGTTGTGCTCTCGCACCCGCTCCCGGTTACGCTGCATCTGGCATTCGTGTTTAATTTAACCAGTGAAGGCAGTGTTCTCGCCCCCGCTCCTGGTAGACGCTAAACTGCCTTGTTTATTCCTTTAAGCAGGTAGCTGGTGAAGGCTGTGTTCCCGCACCCGCTCCCGGTTACGCTGCATCTGGCATTTGTCTTAAATTAACCAGTGAAGGCAGTGTTCTCGCCCCCGCTCCTGGTAGACGCTAAATTGCCCGGTTCCCGTTAAGCAGGTAGCTGGTGAAGGCTGTGTTCCCGCACCCGCTCCCGGTTACGCTGCATCTGGCACTCGCCTCTAGCTCAACCAGTGAAGGCAGTGTTTTCGCCCCCGCTCCTGGTAAACTGCCTTATTTATTAACCCAGCTAGGTGAAGGCAGTGCTCCCGCTCCCTCTGCCGGTAACGTGGGTATACTTACATCCCTCTTTCTGTTGGCGAGTATCGGCGCGGCGCGGCTCTACTCTTTCTGTGAAGCAGGTAGCTGGTGAAGGCTGTGTTCCCGCACCCGCTCCCGGCTACGCGGCGTCTGGCTACCTACAGAATGGCTCATGCATGTAGCGCCTGTATGGCTTCTCTTGAGCCCGAGGACGGCCATGACCGCTGCCCCTCTTGCCTCGGCCTCAAGCATCTAAGGGAGGCTCTCACGGTAGGGGCCTGCATGAACTGTAGCTGCATGCCCCTGGCACTCAGAATGGCTAGACTCACTGAGGTGGAACAGCTGGCGGCAGCCAACGGACACCTCTCTTGGTCACATCCTCCTCCAGATCAGTTTGGCCGTCCCCGGCGACTTGAGGGAGCGATGGCCATGGGTGCACCCCCCAATAGGAGGACTAGAAACAGGCTGTCCTCTAAAGTGGATCAGCTGGCTACCGACATGGACACAATGAAGTCGCTCCTCTTGGCCCTTCAGCCAGGGCCCGGTATAGGTGCTGCTAGTGTGCCGCCTGCCCCTCCTTCGGTTGCCGCACCTCTGTATGAGGATGCCTTGTCGTTAGCGGCTTCGGCTAACCTCTTCAATGAAGAGACGGAGGACGAGGTCCCGCTCGAGGAGGCTTCCCTCTCCTCTGCTCAGGGGTCTCGGCAGGGCGTGGATGACGACTCCATGGCGGCCATTATTCGTACGGCCCTGGCGCACCTGCAGATTCCGGTTCCGCAGACCGACTTAGTTCAGGCTAGTGCCTTCTTCAGGCGTAGCCCAGCCCCTGTCCCCCTCACCGTTCCTCCTTCAGAGGAGTACCTGAGGGAGCTCCAGGCATGCTGGAGGAACACCAGGGCCCTCGGCCACGCTGGCTCCGATGCCCGGACCTTGGCTGCCATGCAGGACCCGGCGAGGGTGGGGCTGGGTGGCATGCCACCCATTGAGCCTGCTATCGCCTCCCTGATTCTGGCTCCTGACGAGGCTCTAAGGCCTGTGGTCAGGTGCCCTCAGCCTCAGTGCAGGGTCACAGATGGGCTGCTCTGTAGGGCCTACGACGCAGCAGCACGCATGGGTCGTATCGGGAACTCCCTCTCCCATCTAATGCTGGCCGTCTCCGCCTCGCTGCAGCAGGCTCCGGCCGAGCCTTCTTTGCTGGGCCTCAGTGATGCATCACTGCAGGCCTTTGCCCTAATGACTAGGGAATTGGGACGAGTTATGTCCTTTCTGGTACAGACTCGTCGCCAGGTTTGGCTGGCTCAGTCACCACTGACGGAGACATGTAGGAGAGTCCGCCGTAGCGTGCCAGTCATGCCAGGGGAGCTGTTTGGGTCAGCTGCCCTGGAGGCGCTGGAGCGCGCTGCCCAAGCTAGGCAGACCAGGCAGCAGCTCTCGGGTCTTCGCAGACCCGTGGCCACTCCCAGCAGGCCCAGGGGCCGCTCTAGCAGCCGCACTCAGCCACCGGCTTACAGGGGTGGTCTGCAGAGGTCTGTTTTTTTCGGCTGTTTTTCCCAGCAGCAGCTCAGCTACTGGGCTGCCTGTACTTCCGACCCTTGGGTGATTTCCACCCTAACCCAGGGCTACGAATTGCAGTTCCGACGCCGGCCCCTAGCCTTCGACCGGGTCAGTATGACAGTTGTCAACGACCCGGCGAAGGCCTTAGCTCTGGCCCAAGAGTTGTCCGTCCTCTTGGCCAAGGGCGCAATCGAGCCAGTGGACCCCCTGCTTCAGGGCGGGGTGGGGTGGGGGTTCTACTCGGCGTACTTTCTTGTGAGCAAGAAAGTTGGCGGATTCCGTCCAGTTCTGGACCTCAGAGGAATCAACAGATTCTTGAGGGTACTGCCCTTCCATATGTTAACCACAGCAGACACCCTTCGTGTTGTCACACAGGGGGAGTGGTTCACAACCGTGGACTTGAAGGACGCCTACTTCCACCTTGCCAATTGCATCCCATCACCGGAAGTTCTTGAGGTTCGCCTTTCAGGGCCGACATTATCAGTTCCGGGTGCTTCCCTTTGGTCTCTCCCTCTCTCCAAGGGTGTTCACCAGGGTTGTAGCGGCAGCGCTCGCTCCCCTGCAGGCACAGGGCATGAAGGTCCTGCCATATCTGGACGACTGGCTGGTTTGCGCGCCGTCCCGGGCCCAAGTGGCCCAGGATACGGCGCGCCTCTCATCCCATGTAGCCCGGTTGGGCCTAACAGTGAACGCCGGTAAGAGTTGCCTGGACCCTTCCCAACAGGTCACTTACCTGGGGATGGTCCTAGACTCGGTCGCCATGAGGGCCTACTTGACACCTCGTCGTGTGGACGACATTTCCCACCATCTTCGCATCTTCAGACTGGGCAAGAGGGTGCCTTACATCCAGTTCCTCCGGCTCTTAGGCAGACTGACAGCTGCCTCAGCCGTTGTGCCCTTGGGCATGCTATCACTGCGCCCCATGCAGATGTGGCTGAACAACTTTCGCTTGGACGCCAAGCGGCACAGGCACAAGAGAGTCAGGGTGTCTCAGCGGTGCCTCCACTCTCTGTCCCGCTGGAGGGACAGGGCCTATCTTCTGATGGGTGTGCCTATGGGTGCCATCCCATCCCGCCGGGAGACGGTCACTGTGGATGTATGTCTCTCGGGGTGGGGTGCGGTGTGGCAGGGCAGGACTGTGCAGGGGCAGTGGTCTGCCCAGGAAGGTGCACACCATATCAATGTGCTGGAGCTGCAGGCTGTGTTGCTCGCACTCATGCATTTTTTACCCCAACTGGCGGGCAGGCATGTGCTCATTCGTTCGGACAACATGTCCGCCGTTGCCCAAATCAACCACCAGGGGGGCACCAGGTCCACACAGCTGCTCCGTGTTTCACAGAGCCTCTTGCCTTGGGCGCTCCCCCGCCTCGCCAGTCTGCAGGCAGTCTTTCTGCCAGGAGACCTGAATCAGGTCGCAGATTTCCTCTCACGGCGCAAGCCTCCACCGGGGGAGTGGAGGCTTCACCCAGAGGTGGTGGAGACAATTTGGAGCCTTTTCGGCAGGGCCGAGGTGGACCTCTTTGCCTCAGAAGAGTCAAGGCACTGCCCCCTCTGGTTCTCCTGGACGGAGGTGACCAGCCCGTTGGGTCAGGATGCCCTGGCGCACGACTGGCCGGACACTCTCCTGTATGCCTTCCCGCCGCTGCCTCTGATACTGCAGACGCTTCAGAGGGTCCTTACTCAGGGGCACAGGCTCCTTCTGGTCGCCCCCCGCTGGCCGGGGAGAGTCTGGTTCCCACTGCTGCGCAGTCTCTGCTGCAGCCCACCTTGGCGTCTCCCCGACAGGAAGGACCTTCTGTCACAGCTCAAGGGTCAGATCTGGCGTCCCGACTCTCACCACCTTCAGCTCTGGGTTTGGCCTCTGCAGGGCCCAACCCACTGTTGAGCGGCGTCACGGCATCAGTCAGGGAAACTATCCTGAATGCCAGAGCTCCATCCACTCGGGCACAGTATGAGTGCAAATGGAAGCTCTTCTCCCACTGGTGTGTGAGTAAGGCTGAGAATCCGGGGCATTGCTCCGTGGCCACCATTTTGGAGTTCCTGCAGTCCCTTCTGGAGAGTGGACGTTCTCACTCCACTTTGAAGGTGTATATGGCTGCGATCTCTGCCCGACATGTCGGAGTCGATGGCGCCACAGTGGGGCGCCACAGGTTGGTGTCCCTCTTTCTAAGAGGGGCTCTACGGCAGCGTCCCCCTAGCACCCCAAGGGCCCCGGCTTGGGACCTGCCCCTAGTGCTGAATGCCCTATCATCTCCGCCCTTCGAGCCCCTGGCCCAGGTCGGGCTTAAGTGGCTGTCCCTGAAGGCAGCATTTCTGCTTGCCGTAACCTCAGGGAAGCGAGTCGGAGAGCTTCATGCCCTCTCCGTAAGCAGTACATGCCTGAGGTGGAACTCCGATGACTCGGGTGTTACCCTCTGGCCGAATGTGGCGTTCCTGCCCAAGGTGCTTCCACTAGCCCACTCCAATCGGCCTATCCAGCTGGCACGCTTTAACATTCCACAGGAGAGCGGCACACCTGAGTTGCTGTGCCCAGTGCGTGCCCTGAGGGCGTATATTGATGCTACAGCCGGTATACGGCAGTCAGAGCAGTTCTTCGTTTGCCATGGCGGCACTAAGAAGGGTCGTGCTCTCTCTAAGCAACGGCTGTCCCACTGGGTGGTTGATACCATCACACATGCCTATGGGGCCAGTGGCCGCCCCCTGCCATCAGGGGTGAGATGCCACTCTACAAGAAGCATCTCAACATCGTGGGCTGCCCTAAGAGGGGTGCCCCTGGAGACCATCTGTGCCGCGGCATCATGGGCGTCTTCTGGCACATTCTCCAGGTTCTACCGAGTCAATGTCTCCACTCCTCACCCTCTGGGTGTGGTTCTGTTGCCAAGCTCCGCTGCTTCCAGCTAGGTGAGTAAGTGCTTGGATTCTTCATGACATGGTTGGTATAGGTCATCCAGTGCTAAAGCACCGCCTCTGGCGGTCAGTAGGGACGAAATAGAACGATAGTTACGGCTGTAACTACGGTTCTATGAGTCCCGGATGACCGCCAGAGTTCCCTGTCACTCAGAATTCTTGTGTGCTCGCGAGAAGATTCTGGGAACAGATCCACTGACGACACCGGCTGATATAGCCGGTGTCACGTGGGTCACAGGTGACTTTGTTGGTATTTGTACTCGAGCTGCGCATGCGCGCGATGGACACATCCAGTGCTAAAGCACCGCCTCTGGCGGTCATCCGGGACTCATAGAACCGTAGTTACAGCCGTAACTATCGTTTCTTCTAGTAAATCCGCAGTGATAAAATCACTCTTTAGCAAATGCTTCATGTTAAAAACGTTAAAGTGATGTATCCATTTCCTCAATGTACACTTGATTTTGTTGTAATACTCTTCTACAACCCAAGTACCAAAGTGTATATGTCATGTTTTATCAGTTTGGGAAACTGATCATACCAGCTACTGTGCATCACATTGATAGCTTACAAGGACTTCACAATGCACAACACACCATTTCTGCCGGTGTTTATATTGTGTTGTTAAGCCATTTGATGCTTGTAAACAAAGACATTTCCCTTGTAATGCTTGAAAAATGGCTGGATAATACCATGGAACTGATCGATCAAATCTAAATGAACTAATATTTTGCAGAGTGGCAGTAGATGAGCTTAATGGGTGGTTCGTTAGTGTTGTGCGTCACTGAAGAACAGCACATAGAAAAAGGGTGTTGCAGTCATAAGTGATAGAGAGAAAGTAAATATGTGTCCCTCATAAATTTGCTTTAGATTAATTTAAAAAGTAATCTCAAATATTTGCTCATGTGGTCAGAAGCACTTTCGGGGGCATCAGTAAGCCTGGTTTAGTTACTGTACATAATAGGGATTTAGATAAGGTGTGCCCTCAAGCTAATCAACATTGGCCAGAGATGACATTATTTAAAAAAAGGTGCATGGGCCTTTCTGATAAAGGTTGTGCCAATATTGCATAAAAATGTATGAGAAGGGCACGTCTTCCTTCAAAGTTTAAATAACACACTACATAGCAGTTTTGGTAATTGTTTTGTATTAAAACATTGAACAAAATACAGCTCAGGACATTAAAACTGTCAGTCATCATCCAGGGAAGCCACTGTAAAAAGAGAAAAATAGTTATTAAAACATAATCTACATTAGTAAATACACATGTTTTTGTGGAGTTCATCACTTACCAGCTAGGAAAGTCAGGTAGAACCCATGACCCGACTGAAGTGTGTGAGTGCAGGTCATTAAGGTTTCCACAGAGACCACACAATTTGCCTGAGTACCAGAGAGGGACCTTGGCTGTCACCATGGTAATACCAATCTCTATCTCAAGCTCTGACTCCATCCCAGCGTCTCTTCTTAGGATCACTAGAACCTCCGACTTGTCCTGGTTCACTCCAGATGACAGGGACACCCCTGATGGCAAGATGTGAGGGAGGCTCATGAAACGTCCATTCACCTGTGGGGTGTAACAGGGAGTTAGGACAGAAATCTTAAAAATGATAAACATGAAAGCACTTAATGGAGTTATACCTTCACTGTGCCTTCCTGTATGGAAAATGATGTTCCATGCAGGAGGATTTGAAACACGGTGACAAGTCTGGAGCTGCCATTACAAGGCCCATGGTAAGAGATCAGGCTGAACCAGTGCACACTGGCTTTGTCACAGAGAGACATCAGACTGTAAGATGACAGAGGGTCCAAGCTCAGCTGCTGCCCACCGAGGGTGGAGACTTGGAGGCTGCCCGTGAGCTCACAACCATCAGGTCTGTCATGACAGCCCCAGAAACTGTTCCTCAGAGCACATTGCTGCCCCAGACTGCAGCCTGCCTCCTCACATATCACTCCGCCCAAAGGGTGGCACCAGCATCTCTGGGTGCAGTCCTCGTTGTACACTTGCTCCTCCATCTAAGAGGAGAAGAGAAAACAAAACCCGCAGTTGCTGAAATATTCCTTATGAACAGATTACTGTGTGTTATAAGCTTTTATAGTTACCTTGATATATACACCATGATGAACACATCCACACTGGCTGTAAGGCACACACTCTTCCCCATCAAAGACATTTCCATTGTCGCATTCACAGCCTTCTGAACAGCCCGTTGCTGAAGAACCAGGCTGGAGCACAGCAGGGCACGAGTTGGAGCTGGAGTCAACACACTCCTTTGAGCTGCTGCGGTCAGGACACTGGAGAGCTAATGACAAAAAAAGTAATTTAGAGTGGATCACATACTCCATTTAATGCCAATCAAAAGTATTAAATTACCGCAAGGAGTGTTCACTCTCCAAGTTCCTACTGCTATTCCGTTAGCCTGGCAGGCTGCAGAATATGCTTCTAGTGCTAGACATGCGGCCATGTGCCCTGCTAAAGCACAAACTGCCCTGTTGCACATAAGTGTGTAACTATCGCGCTCCACATCAGCGTCCCGGCACTGGTGGAATTCAGTTGTATTGATAAACAGGACATCGCAGACCATGGTGTCACGTGGGGACAGTCTGCACTCATTGCACTCTCTGCCACAGGTGTCTGTGCAGAGCTGCCCTGGAGCGGCCCAGCTGTGCAGGAGCTCTGCGAAGCTCTCGGACAGACTGCCATTTCTCAGTTCCAAGTCATCATACTTGTCTCCATTGAAGTTCCCACAGAGGCCTGAAGCTGTGGCGTCATTTACTTGAGGTACAGTTAACCTGAGGTATTGGGTAGATGACAAGTCAATCCCCACCCCGGACGGTGTGATGATAATCAGTCTGTTGCCATCTTGGTAGGCTTTAAGTTCACCAATGTCAAAAGGCACTCTGCGTTCTTCTCCATTTACCTGAAAGCACAGACACCAGTTAAGGCTGCAGAGATTTTTTTTATCTTGAACAAATGTATAGTTTACAGAACTTACTTTTACTTTCCAAAGAGATTCAGGGTCAATAGATACTTCCAATGATGGCAAATTAAATATTACTTTGCTAATGGTGAAAATGCCCTTGTTGTCCTTAAAGCTAAGCAGCAGAGAATAATCATGCAAGGCTTTAGAGGAGAGGGCAGATATGACATAGGTGCAAGCTCCGTGGTGGGGCAGATTAACACCATCAAAAGTGATGTAGCCAAAGCCAGCAAACACTTGGCACACCCCATACTTCAAGGCAAGGCCATCTTTTACTGAACAGCTTTCCATGGGGCTACATGTCACCACACCTCTTTTGCAGTCACACTTTTGGCAGCTTTTCTCAAAAATAAAGTGGCCAGTAGGGCGATACTGTCCCTCGTGCACACAGCCACAGTCAGAAACCGGCACACACTGGCCATCACTCAGGACGAAGCCAGGGTCACACTGGCAGCCTTCCTCACAACCGCCGCTGCAGTTTGCTGGGGAGGAGAGCCCGAAGCACACAACAGGACACCGAGGTCCACACAGCTCATAGTGGCTATTCTTGGAGCATGACATACCTGGGGGAGAGAGTAAATACATCTTATGTCAACTTTATTTTTTTAACATTAGCCCACACAAAATCCCTACCCCCTGTGCAATAATAATCAACCCACTGACTAAATGTAATGCAGTGCAAAGACACGTTTACATGTGGGATAGACAAAAACTTTATCAGAAAATAATTGCTGTGCATCTTCCATTAGACAACAGTAATGGTGTAGAATCAAAATCAGTCAAATGTTTTGCTATAATTATTCTCTTTGTCTAAACTGTCGGCTTTTAACTGCTCTCCATTAACACTCAGTTGGATTTAATCATACCTCACTGGTAGGCGTCAGCATGTATCGTCAATAATCGACTCTCTCCAGCTCTCGACTTAAGCACCGGAGTACCACAAGGTTCAATACTTGGTCCACTTCTTTTTTCCCTATATATTAATGACCTGCCATCTGTCTGTCCTGATGTGGAAACAGCTATATGCCGATGACACTGATATATTTGCATGCCAACACAAAGCAAAAGGCTGCTGATAAACTGACCTCAGCTTTAGTGCTGATCACTAGCTGGCTACACCGCTCCTGTCTTCAGCTTAATGTCAAAACAGTTGGAATGTTTTTCACAAAAAGAAAATGCAACATTGTGTCAAATATAAGCATCTCAGGTGAACATATTAACATTGTGCCTCAGGTTAAGTACCTTGGAATCATTATTGACTCTAATTTAACATTCAAAACACAAGTCAAAAAAGTGACCCAAAGAGTAAAGTTTAGCCTAGCAAATTTTAAATACATAAACACAATGACATTGCATTCTGCCAAATTATACATGAATGCCATGATCATGTCACATCTTACATACTGTCTCACAAGCTGGGGTCAAACTAACAGCTCCACACTGAAGTCACTAGCAACCCTGTACAAACAAACCCTCAAAGTACTGGACCAGAAACCAAACCGCTCCCATCACTGTACCATCCTCAACAAGCATAACATCCTGAGTTGGGAAGATTTAATAAAGTATAGGAACATCGTTCCAGTTTACAAAATCCTGCACAATACAGCCCCTCCACCTCTTAACTCATTGGTTACGCAACATAACAACACCAGACTGACCACTAGAAGCTCCACACGTGGCGACCTATCAGTCCCATTCAGGAAGAGTACTTTTGGTCAGTCATCATTCTCGGTCATAGCAATACAAAACAGGAATTCTCTACCCACTCAAATCAAAGACATACACATACCACCTTCACAGCTCACTTAAAAACATGGTTCACTGAGAACTACCCCTGCACACACTAGTCTGTGTTGAGTATGGCGTGAGTGTTACATGTTGTGATCATGGATGTTGCCCCTCGTTTCTGTTATGTGATTGTGATGTGCTATATATAGTAACGTGTGTTGTTTATTGTTCTCTTTTATCCTCACACCGGTATATACTCGTCTTTCCTCCTTTTTATTTTATATATTTTCTTACAACTAAAGCGGTTGATATATTGTAATTTTAAGGGTGTCTATTACCATCTGGCCGGGGACAACAGCTATAAATTAGCCATGTCGGCTAAAGCTGCACCATTTACTGTTTTTGTGACAGTTCCTCGATGGGGACTGTCCACGACTCTATAAATAAATAAACTAAACTAAACAATCACTTATGTGTCAAACAACTACACAGGGCCCTAAATGAGCTGTAAGTATACCTGTCAACCAGCGACGTGGGGTCAGGGGAGGCAGGGGAGGCAGAGCCTCACCTGTCATACTCCAATGTAACGGAAAAACAACTAAAGAAAAACGAAATAGTAATAATAATAAAATGTCTCCACTGATCTGTGTTGTAAGTGTGATTTATGTATGATTCCAATCGCTTTTTATAGTCAAAATCAGCAAATTTGCCGAGCTCCGCTACAACTACGGGTAGCGATGAGAAGAGAGGCAGGGACGAGCTCTGCCTCTCGTAAGCCCACAGTAACTGGCTGGAGCGCGGGCACTAATTTAACGCGGGCACTAATTTTGTGAGCGCGCTCAAGCCAGTTACTCTGGGGTGAGGTGAGGCACAGATGAGCTCTGCCTCACCTCAGAATGCGTCACCCCACAGAAACTGGCTGGAAAGCGGGCCCTAAGCGCATGCCTGCACCATCTCACTGTATGTCACCAATGTAATGTTTGTAGATCCCTCTATTACATTTATCCTCGCCATCCATAGTCTCTAAATAACTTATTTCACGTATATATGATATTTAGGCCCGCTGGTCTCATCATACAACGGCAATGAAAAAAGCACCAGGAGAGGCAGCCATAACCTCTGCCGCACTGAAGGGGGCGCACGTGAGCCCATGTTCTTGTTGCTACTGTTATTCTACGCAGAGACGGTAGACAAACAACAAACTAGACTTTTGAAACTAGAAGATAAGGAGGACTTTTACAAAAATGTAATGAGATTGTTGTCCAGAAGGATAGCATGGACTTCATCTTCAAGTCAAGGTAAGACCACAATTGTAATGAACATGGGATCTTACTAAGAAAGAACAATCCAATATTTAGATGTTGGGTATCCTTTTGTTGAACAGTCTGTTTAAAATGAATCGAAGCATCAGACTAAAAAAGCTTTTGAAAATAACCGAATATTTCGATTAAGGTCAAAATATAATATTTGTAAATCTGACAGTGCCTCACCAGCCGTGAACCTCACCGCACGTCACTGCTGTCAACGTGTTATTCACTTCTGGTGTGTGCGTGTTTGGTTATATTCCAGGCTTCAGCAGCAAAAGCTGCCAAGTATAACATTTTATAAAACGCCTGAAGATGTAGTTAAAATAAAAGCCTATCATTAAAAACCGAATGAATGATACTCACCACAGAAAGTGTCACTCCTCCACTGCCTGACTGGCAGCTGCGCTACTTGACAGGCTTCAGCATAAGATGCAATGGATTTGCAGAGTGCCGAGTAGTGTCCGTCAAATGAGCAGGAATCTGTTACACAGTTGTGGAAGTAAAGCTTTGGACTTAACACCAGAGCACAGTCTGCAAATGGCCCTAGCTCATTTAACAACACCCCACAGAAATCGCTTCCTTCAAACAGCTTCTGTGCCTCAGCAGGACAATGCTTCAGTCTGGAGGAACAGCTGGACTTGCAGGTAACTGATCCCGGAGATATCCAGCTGTGCGCAAACTCCAGTCGATTTTGTGCAAGCTCTTCATTGGGCATCATTAGGTCATCATGAGAATCAGTGTTGGCATTTCCACAAAGACCAGAGACGGAAGAGCCATAACTGCTGGGGAGGCTAACCCTTAGCGTGCCAGTATTGTAGACAATCAGCTGCAATCCCACATCAGTGTGAATAATGATAGACGAAGGTGTGCGGTAAGCATAAACATGGCCTGTCAGGTGAGAGTATGGCAAGGCCTTATACTGTCCATCAACCTGAGAATGAAAAAGAAACACAAATTAGAGTGGTTCATTCTGAAGATTGTGTTGATAAGACATTGCAAAGCACTCACCATAACCTTTCCTGGCTCATCTTTTCCCACCACCAACTCCAGACCATACATTAAGAGCGTTAAATCAAGGCTATGAAAAAGTCTTTTGTGGCAACTTGCATCAGAGATAGTGATATTGAATGGTGTTACTCCAGTTAGGTTGGCTTTGGTTTTAACCAACGAATATGAACAGCTGTCTCTAAAGTCAAAATGACGTCCATCAAAGGTTGTAAAATGCAGCCCAGTAATAAGGGTACAGTTCTTGGGGTCATCAGGTTGACACAGCCTCTTGTGCTGTAGTTGCTTGCAGACCATTCCTCTGGGGCACTGGGCTGGGCGACAGTGCATCTCACCAGTAGCCGGTCCACATATGCAGATCTGACCACAGTCGTCTGGTGACCAAAACGTTGAGTTAAGGTTTTGATATTTGCCTCTGGAGTCTGTGCAGCCACACTGATGTGGGCGCACACAGCCAATTTGACTTTTAATGAAACCAGGGTTACAGAAGCAGCCCTGAAAGCAGGCCTTATTACAGAAGGTGGCATTCAATTCACAGGATGGAGGGCAGGCCGAGCCACAAGTCTTGTAGTGAGTGTTTGGTGGACAGAGCACATCTGAAATAATATATTGAAGTGTCAGTCAAAGATGAAATCACAATATTATTATATTACTTTAACGACTACTTACCAACTATGACTCCATCGTTGTAGTATTTTCTGGTTGCTTCACAGACTAAGGAATATGAATATATTGCCTGCTCAAGAGAAACGTCTGACCGTCCGTTTTGCACGTGGTCAACTACACAACTTTTGTAGAAGGAATCTGGATTGGCTCGGCTGTGACAGTGGGCAAATGGACCAGTCTGATCTGTGAGCACTTCACACGGCCTCCAGACGTCGTCAAAAACAGAATCTGCAAGCAACTTCTCATGGTTCACTTTCTGCTTGCAGCCAGTACAACACTTTTGGTCCCCATCAAAGAGCTGGTAAGCCTGTGCAAAATCCACACTTGTCTTATTGGTAACGGAATCAGGATATTCATCTTGAGGCTGACCGTTAAAATTGCCACACAGCCCATACACTTCGCCCTTGTAGTGAGGTTCCAGTTTAACAACAGTAGAGTTTCCATCAAAGACTAAATGCAAACCAAAGTCAGTTGTCAGCAGGGCTTTGCCTTCCCAGTAGGACAATTTAATCTTACCCCCTAAAATATTAAAAGGAATATAAGTCACTTGACCATTAACCTGTAAAAAAAGAAACGAAAAGTCATACAAGTGTTAAAAGTCAAACTTGAACAGCTTTCATTCAATAAATAACTAAGATTTACTTACATGTATGCTGTCCTTTTGACTGCCAAGCTTGATGATGAACCCATAAGCATGTAGAATGATGCCACTAGAGTCTTTCTTGGAGACACTAAAGGGCATCAGCCCGCATGCTGCTCCTTTGCTGGCTGCAAGCAGATAGGTACAGTTACCCTCAAAGTCATAGATTAGCCCATCAAATGTTTGGTAGTGCCGGCCTCCCCAGGCCCAGCACAGACCCCGACGACTCTCACAGACGGGCACACCGTTGCTCAGGTAACATTTCTCAGTTGCATCACATTTTCCCTCACATGAAGCTGGGTTTTGCTCTGCAAAACCCAAAGAAAAATGTAAAAGATTTAACAGGATGAAAATGTATAAATGCATCATCAAGCAAATCTGTATCTAATGTATAGTTTGTGAATTTAGATTCTCACCATTTTTGTGACAACCTTCAATTCCATCTGAAACTTGACAACTGTGCAGTGCAGGACATGCGTATTGCTTGCAGACAAGAGGAGGCCCGCAGGTGCATTTTAAAGTACAGTTTTGTAGCAGTTTGCTCTCAGAGGCCTGAAAATGGAAATCACATGAAAAAAGTCAAAACAAAATTTGGAGTGTGCACATATTTTATAAATTAAAAATATTTCAAACAGAAAATAGCCTTATTAAAAAAGTGTTTAGTTCTGACCTTAAACCTACTCCCATCCTGTAGGCAGCCACACTGCTCTGCTGGTACACAGGCACGGCCATCATAAAGGTGTCCAGTATCACACTGGCAACCTTCCTCACAGTCTCTGGGGCACAGCACTGCCAGGCTGATCTCAGGACACTGTGAGGAGCATATATTGGTACAGTTGCTGTAGTGGCTGAATTGAGGACATTGATAAGCTGTAAAATAAAAATACTTAATCAGTACATTTTCCTCCATTCAATCATTTGATAAATTATTAATTCAACAGTGTCCCAATACTTACCACAGCTTGTCGTGTTCAGCCAGAGCTCAACCCTACCCCCTGCCTCATTACATGCTACATTATCCTGCAGCACATCACACAAGGCCTGGCGTCGACCTTCTGCAACACATAGGGAGTAGTATTTCTGTGGGCACACTAACTGGTGACATGAGGAGAAAGGTCCCTTTGGATTGGGGATAAACCCGCAGTTCTGGTCAGAGGAACTTTCCCATTCTTCACTGCAGGGTACGTCTGCATTACACAACTTCCAGGACAGCCCATGGATGTCATGGTCAGAGGTCACTGTGCCATTAGGTAGCTGCAGATCATCAGAGAGATCGTCATTGTACTTCCCGCAAAGGCCACAGGTTGTCTGGTAGTAAATGTCAGGCATCTTGACCAGAATATAGTTTTGTAGGTCTGATGTAAGCTCAATCGACTGTGGGGTCTTGATGGTTATCCCTCCATTTCTCTGATGTACAGTGATGTTGCTCTGGGAGAACGGCAGGTTTTCGTAAACTCCATTTACCTGGGTGAAATAATTCACTTGTGAAAAACATATCTTACAGTAGTTTGTGTTATGCACTTCAAAGTAATTTTTCACATAAGAGACGACAATAAATCATGTTGAAGGCTGTGAAATCATTACCTCAACTTTTCCAGGAAAAGCCGCTGACATCCTTAGTTGCATTTTATTGACTTGCAAGTATATCTGCCTTCCCTCGCTATAGTTGCCCATTGCAGCTATCAAAATAGGCTCTACATCCAGTTTATCGAGGCATGTCTGCACAAGGGTGTAGTTACATGAACCATGAAATTCAAACGCATGTCCATCAAACGTGGTGTATTGGTATCCCTCAACAGAGCACTGTGCTACATGGGGTTTTGGGTGGCAACCTTGAACACCCCTAATAAGCTTACACTCCTCATCCTCTCCACAGGAGACATTACGACATGTCATGTTTCCCCCGGGGTGACATAAACAGCTTTGCTTGCATGTAGACCACTCCTGTCCTGCGGTGAAGTATTCTCCATGGTGAAAGCAGCCACAGTTTTGTGGCGTGACACAAAGGTTGCCACTGTGAACCAAACCGGCCTCACACAGGCAGTTCTCCGCCATGTTTAGAGGCATCTCTACCGTTTTATTCTGCCAGCCGAGGCAGAGGTGAACAGAGGCAGAACTTATGTTGTAGCTGGTTCTTGTGGGACACGACGGGTCTGTAGAGATACAGAAAGACACCAGTCACTCAGGACAGGAAAACTGTGTTAAGGTTAGGGTTGACCAATGATGCATTAGTACAATATAGTGGTCCAGTAATACCGAGAAGGTTGTGGCCTCAATACCAATATGAGTCACAAAACACTAATTCTGTGTACCAACAAAACTAAACAAGCTAGCAACATGATTACATCTGATTTTTATGAAAATATTCACGTTCTTATGCTGCCGGTTCAAACAACAATGCAAACTCCACATTTCCTTTGCTGTGCAATGATGCTGCACTTTAAACAGCTTACACAATTGCAGAGTATATTAATTGAATTCACTTTCACATCTGGGAGCACAATGATACTCACAGCAGAATCCAGGACTCCTCCAGGCAGAAACTGTAGCATTGTGGGAAAGACAGACAGCAGCATACTCAGCTAGGGAGTGACAGAGTGCAGGCTGGAGACCTCCGTGAAGACACAGGTCACTGACACAGCGCTTGTAGTAGCTGGATGGGTCCACTTTGCCATGACACTGTCTGAATGGTCCATTAACTTCCAGAATCTTCCCACAAGACTCTGGGTCAGAGAAGCGAACCAGAAGCTCTGATGAACATTTTGGACAACTTCCTCCTAGACAGCCCTCCACACACCAAGGAGTCTGCCCATTTCTCCAAGCTTTCCCGAAGTGCTCGGGAATGAGAGGCTCCTGTGTGCCATTTACTGCGAGGTCATCAGCAGGGTCAGAGTTGAAGTTGCCACACAGGCCGCAAGTGACATTAGCATATTTACTAGAGAGACTAATGCTGACGATTCCTTCTATGCTGAGACTCAGTTCAAAGCCCATTTCTGTGCAGATGTAAGTGTGCAGCCCTAAAGAGAAGGCCAGTGCAGTAGAGCTGAATCGATATGGCATGTTCCTCTTGACACCATCAACCTGTAGGGGGGGCCAACATTGCATTTGAAAGTTAGGACTGGGCAGTACACTTTCTCAGGTAATCTTTGTAATGTCTCGTTTAATTATTAGACAACTCGTTTTTTAAACATTAGAGCCAAAAAGACCGACATGATTACAAAAAAAATAAAAACACTTGAACTCACCTCTATGCTCTTGGTGTTTTTGCTGTTCAGCTCCACAAGCACACCACTCACATTGACCAGGAGATGAAGAGCTGACTCTAGGTGTCCATCTGTCTGTGCGTGAATCTGAATGGCACTGAGGCCTTGTTTTTCTGCACAAATGCCCAGTAACTGGTACTGACAACTGCCATTAAAATCATAGTTATGCTGGTCAAAGGTGACTATGTGATGAGCAGAGGACATGCATGTCTGGAGGGTGTGAGGCACGCAGCCTCTCACTCCATATTGAAGACTACAGTATACATTCGGGCCACAAGAATCCAAATGGCACTTTGTCTGGTGCGTGTTGGGGTCACAAACACACAGTTCAGTGCATCCCTCATCAGCCCAGAAGGTCTGGTTGCTGCGGTAATGTGAGCCATTGTGAGTGCAGCCACACTGGGACAAGGGCACGCAGCGGTCAGCAACCAGGACGAACCCTGGATCACACTGGCAGGTCTCCACACAAGCTAGGGTGCAGGGTCTTGATCTGAAGGGATCCTCACAGGTGGCAGGGCAGGATGAGCCACAGGAAGTATAATGGCTATTCAGTGGGCAGGAAATGGCTGATAGAGAAGAAGGAGCATGATCAAAATTGTGTGGGAAAATGACTTTTGTAGCTTTAAGATTACTATAAAAAAGTTATTGCTTCATGGTAAGAAAAATGTGCTTACGGCAGAAGGAGACATTCCTCCACTCTCCTATCTTGATCCCGGCATTTTGACATGCAGCAACATACGCTTCCAACACAGGACAGATAGTCTTCTGAGTGTCATTACTAGAGCACAGGTCAAACATGCTCACAGCTGCAGAGATTTTAGTGTAGTTTACAACTTCCCGGCACTGGTAGAATGGATTTTGTGGCGACCAAATATACTCATGCATAGATATCCAGCGAGTGGCTACATTTTTATCCAGAAGCTGCTCAGCAGAGCAGCTTGGGCATGCATCGCCACAATCTGCTGTGCACTGTGCTTCCTGATCGTGAACTCTCCAGCTCCAGCCAAAGGTGGTAGCATCAACAGGCTCACCCTGTGGGGTTCTGAGGTCATCTTCCTCTATGCCATTATTATTTCCACACATGCCATAGACTTCCATTGTATTAGAGAGTAGGATAGTGGCAACATGAGAGCAGTCATACTTCACTTGGATGCCAAGACTCGTATCCACAACAACAAACATGCCACTCCGATAAATCTTCACATGTCCAAACTGTAGAGTCACAGGTAGTAGCTTTTTCTCACCATTCATCTGTGGATCACAAATATTTGAAGATAACGAATGCATTTTCATGCAATTGTTTAATCTGAAACTTTTACTATATGGCCATTTTTAAAGTAAAATCACCAACTGACAGCAAGGCAAAAAAGGTGCTGTGACTGTTTGCATTTCCTAATTTAAACTTACCCAAGCATGGCCTTTTTCCCCTCTGTAGATAGTAACATTGTCTTCAGCCACCTTGACATGAATAGCTTTGAGAGAGGAAGCCTCGTTTGGGGTCCTGTCTTTCTCTACCCCGACCCAAAATGTTGTATTCTCACTGGTGTCACTCAATACATGGACCAGGGTGTAGGTACAGTTTCCAAGGAATTCAAACACCTTTCCATCAAAAGTGTAGAAGTGTGCGCCTCCAAGTACCCAACACTGGGTTTGCAGAGGTTCGCCAACACACGTCTCTCCATCTTCACAGACGTTGGTATTGTTATCTGAAAGAGTAAGGGGGGGGGCAGTAGCAGATTGATGGCAGTTTAGGTTCAAGACACATGCAGCTATGTGTCATCTGAATTAAATTAAAATATTCCACAAGTTAAAAAATAAATAAAATTGCCCATGATGCCATCAGATCATTTGTGATACATCACATTGTAATTGCATGTCATAGGCTTGTAAGGCAAACGAGTGAAAGAAGGATGTAGTATTACTTATGATTGGCATGCATTATAATCATTGTCAAAAGGATAATTAAGTACTTAATGGACTATTGAAAAGGTTTAGGGTTTAACCGACTTTTAGTAATACGATATAAAATGCGATATTGCTAGACCAATAGTGTCACATTGTGCAGCTGAGAAAAACAACAGTTAGCCAGTGAGGACGTGTCACCAATCCCAGCTAAACCAGCTGGGCATACCTGTCTTTGCACAGCCCCAGGTATTAAGAAGGGTGCAGCTCTCTCCCTTGGGGCATGAGGCCGGCTCACAGTACATGTCTGCAGCAGAAGAGCAGTTGCACTGCTCAGAGCATCCCTCACCCCATGAAATCTCCCCAATCTACAGAGAAAAGTGAGTCATTGTTGTGTTAGCCAACTGCAGTCTGAAACCCAGCACACAAACAACCCAGGAAAACACATGTCTAAGGTTTGTGATTAGTCATGCTAAGAGCACAGGGAGACATAATGAGTCATGGTAGCATTGCATGGAAATACTAGGGCATGCCATGTTATTTAGCTCAACTGTGGAAACATGTTCATAACTGCACCTGCAGAAGAGTCACGTGTACATTTGCAAAACACCAATAGGTTTATTAGAAGTCAAACTAATCTGTCCGTCAATTTACATTTTAAATGAAATTTAAAACGATTTTAAATGAATTGCTTGGGTAAAGGAAAATGTTGTTGTACAGTAAGCTTAATGTGTAGCTACTCACCTCATAGTAGTGCCCGAGGTGAAAGCAACCACATTTGTCAGCTTTGACACAGCCATTTCCACTCTGCATGTATCCAAAATCACATTGGCATGCCTCAGAACAAGCCCAGGGGCAGGGGATATCAGATAAAATACCACAGGACTCAGGGCATGCACTGGCACATATATTATAATGTGAGTTTTCAGGGCATGAGAGTGCTGTGAAGACAAACAAAAAAAGTTTATATATTGTAAAGTGTCCAGCTAGCCTTACATCAATCTGGCAACTTCACTGTGTATGCCAGAGTTCTAAAAAGGTACAAGAGAAGCATGTGTGCAGACCTACATGATTTACATGCACATGATAACAGACTGATGAAACAACACATGTACACTCATCAGAGTCTCAATTAATAATACTCACAGCACTTCGCTCCCCTCCATGGTTTGGTCTCAGCTCCTGCCTCCTGGCATGCTAAAACATAATGTCTCAAACTACTGCAAACAAATTCTTCTTTCCCATTAGACAAACACAAGTCATTCACACAGTTTTGAAAGAAGGGCTCTGGGTCCACAGCAGAGTGACATTCACTAAATGATCCTGCAGGAGCAAGCAGCATGCCACAGAAATTAGCAGATGCATATTCAGCTGCCATGGTAGAGTTGCACTCCAAACAAAGATCACATTCTTTAGAGCAGTTTGTTCCAGGTGGGGAAAGTGACCAGGAAGATGCAAAGATGGAAACATCACTTGCAAAGCTGTCATTCGGGAGCCGCTTGTCATTTGTGACGACAGCACTGACGTTTCCACACAAGCCACACATTTGTTTACTGGAGGCTGGAATCACTATACGTATCAGATCAGGTGCTCCATATGTGACAACAACCCCTGTGTCTACAACAATACGAGAGAGCAAGCCAGAGTGCAGTATTGCCATGTGATCCAGAAGGACAGGAAGACTTCTCAAAACACCATCAATCTGAAAAATGTAAATGTCAGAGTTACAATCTAGGCAAAATAAACAGTTTACTTATGTTTGTACATGTGCAGCGGCTTACCTTTACTTTCCCCAACTGCGCCATCTCCAAAGACACGTTGACCCCATGGACCCTGAGGTGCAGCTTTTCTCGCTGGATAATCACTGTGAGGTCAGACTCTTCCTCTTCACAAACTTGGGATAGAATATAACGGCAGCTTCCAATATTAAAGTCAAAGCTTTGTCCATCATAACTTCTGAAGTGTCTGCCACCCATGACTGCACATTTAAAGGGCTGCAATGCATGACATGCCCTCTGGCCATCTTGGATGCCACATTTTGTTTCATTTGGACATGCGTGGTTGGTACATTGCACTATCTTGTGGCCCACACAGACACAGTGCAGCAGACAGAGATCATCAGGGTAGAAGTTCTCATGGATTTCGTAATAGACATCATTGTGAATACAGCCACACTCAGAGTCGTGTACACATTTCCCACCACTGTGGAAATACCCAGGTTTGCAGAAACAGCCCTCTTTGCATTTCCCCGCTAGTGGACTTGGGTTTTCTACACAGTCGGATATTTGACTGGCACAAAGGCTGTACTCACTGTTAGGTGGACAGGAGAGGCCTATGGAGGGACAATAAGAGAACAAAGACAAGTAAAGTCAAAATATTCATATTCAGTACACATTTAAAGCACATCATGTTTGCTTACCACAAAATGTGGAAGTCCTCCATTCATTCACTTTTGCTCCCATTTCTTGACACACAGCAACATAGCTGGACAGAATCTGACACAGGGAAGTCTGGTTACTATAACAGAAGTCTTGAACGCAGTTGTTGTAGAAACTTTCTGGATCAACCATTTTGTGGCAGCTCTTGAACACTCCCTCTTTATCCAGTAACCTTGCACAGAAACCTTTTCCCTCATAGAGAGCCATGTCTTGTGAATTGCAACCCGAGGTGTTCAAAGGCACATCCACACACTCATGATCACTGCTGGTTTTCCAGTGTCTAACGGCTTGAGAGATATCAGAGTCGCCATCAGGCACCACATCATCTTCTGGATTAGAATTAAAGTTCCCACACAGGCCACAGAGATTACCAGAGAATTTCCTTGGCATCTGGATGGTCAGAATATCAGAGCTGTACATTACAACTACACCAAAGTCAGTTTCTATAAACGTTGTCTGTCCAGTCATGTAAAGCTTCACTTTGCCACGGCTCAATACGGATGGGAGACGCAGCAGGAGACCATTTACCTAAATTAAAAATAAATTTAAAAAAATGATTAAAATCAATGATAATATAAAACAACTAATTTGGTATACATGCACCAGGGAAAATAAATTAACTTACCTCAACTCTGTTACTGGGATCATTTGACATCTCAATCGAATAACCAGAGACTACCATTTTAATATGCCGAAAGGACACAATATTTGTAGCGTCTTTTATCTGGTTCTGGATCTCTACACTGAAAGCTTCCATGTCCCCCCAGGTCGGACAGAGAGAAGTGAGAAGGTAAGTACAGTTTCCATACACATCAAAGTTACGGCCGTCAAAGGTGGTATAATGAGGATCTACTTTGGCTATGCACAGCCCAGGCCCCTCAGCGTGACAGCCCATGACTCCGTTCACAACCTTGCACACTTCTCCATCCTGGCATTGAGACGGAGAACACACGACTCTCTTGGAGCTCGACTGGCAGACACATCTCTCCTGGCAGTGTTTGCCCATCCAGAAGTTCTCCTTGGGGTAGTAGTAGGAACCTTGGTGAAGACATCCACACTTGCCATGTGGTACGCACTTCCCACCACTCAGCAGATACCCTCTGTTGCATTGGCATGATTCCACACAAGGCAGGGTGCAATTATTATGTGCTTCTGGGTTTCCACAGGTAGCAGGGCATGCAGAACCACATATTTCAAAGTGGCTGTTCAAAGGACATACGATAGCTGTAAAAAAAGGAAATACCCCTTAGCCATTTTTAGTTAAACCATGTATAGACTTAAAAAAAATATATATCTTAAACTCACGGCACTTGGCGATGGTTCTCCAGTTTCGGACTCTGGCCGATATCCTCTGGCAGATGTTGGCATAGTCTGTCAGGATCTCACACATAGAAGAGGCAGATTCATTGAGACACAAGTTGTTAGTGCAACTACGAAGAAATGCCTCTGGATCGATCAATGAGTGGCAATCTGCAAACGGTCCACCGCTACGCTTCAGTAGGGAGCACCCAACACGAAGGGAGTTACCGTTTATGTCAGGAAATTTAGTTTGGCTTCTAGTACATACTGGACATGAGGCACCAACACAATCTTCAATACAGGAGCTGGCACCGCTGTTCACTACCCATGGGAGGGTCAAATCTGCAGTCAGGGTCTTAATAGTGCCATTAGAGTCAATGACACTATCTGAGGATCTGTGATTAGCATTTCCACACAAACCGCACAGGGCTCCATACAGCTCTGGGCCTACTTCAACTTGGAGATGCTGCTTCCAGTCATACCGCAGAGCCAAGTCGAAGGCAGTGTCTAAGACAACGCTGGAACCACTTTGAAAAAACTTCAGGGAGCCATTTCCCAAGGTGAGCGGCAGCTTCCTCATCTGTCCATTAACCTACAGGTTTAAATAAAAAAAACAGACAAAGTAAGTGACCACTTACCAGCTACAAAACGTTTGTTAATATAAGTAAAGTACACTTACCCTAACATGATTTTTGTCTTCTTTAACTATGGTGATATTAAAGCCCTGGATGCTTATCTGCACTGTGTGGATGGTTGGGACAGTGGCACTGATTAAATATGCTCGGACTATATTAATCTGTAGTGGAACAGAAACATTTAGGCCTGGACAGGTGGTCTGAACTAAAGTGTAGTTGCAATTTCCCTGTAGGACAAAATCTCTTCCATCAAACGTGCGGTAATAAGAGTCACCCCATGCAGAGCATATTTTAGTGTTGAGAGAGCAGAGTGGTTTTCCTTCTTCGATAGAGCAATTCTGTTTGAAACCGCAGTGCAACTCTTCACAAGAAGCTGCAGCTTTAAAAAAAAAAAAGAGGAATGTTATTACATATTTACAGTGTTACACAGAAAATTCAAAAAAATCCTTTATACATACATTTCTCACAAAGTGCAGAATAGAGATGTCGGTCTAAGGTACTCAGATAGTATCCCACATCCTTGTCTGTGTAAAGAGCCTCTGCATTATCAGGCAGCTGAGGAAAGGTGGGCTTCTGGGAGGATTTAACACCAGACTTCAAATCTCCTGTGTCAGCACTGTTAACTCGCTGCTCACCCATATCACCTGAAGCAAACATAGGTACAGTTTGGCAGATATCATCAACAGATGGCAGTACTGTTAGAGTTAAAGGCCGCTGTGCAGGGTCATGCCGGAAGAAAAGTAGTTGTAGAGGACTGTCACTAGTAATGAGGATTTTATCTGAGGTCGCAACTGGGATGACCTTCATAACGCCACCGACGAGAGACACTGTGTTTTGATCGGTGCTGGCATTGATGCCCAGGTCAGAGTTGATAGTAGACATTGCCAAGAGGAAACTAGAACTCATTCCTGTGTTTACCAAGGGAGGAATAATGTAATCGAAACCCCAGTGTGTGACTGGTTTCAGGTCAGCATATCCAGAAAAGCAATCGCCAGTTGTGTGTTTGGAGCAGGTAAAACCAACCACAACACCTACAGCTTCTTGAGAGTTTAACTCTGAGCCAGAGAGGCTGGAGTTGCTCTGGAGGTAAACACTCTGCAGCAGCCCTATATACAACTTAAGGACACTACCCCTTTGGTACATATTGCCTTCATAAAGCACTTCCCCCGAGAGAAAGATATCCACTGACGTCGCCCGGCCTGAGCTGGTGATCACCATCTGGCTGACATAAGTCTGGTTAGGGAAGTTAGGAGTAATGGGATAGTACTGGGTACCCCAGGAGTACACATCATGACGGAGCCTGTGGTCACAGCCAGCCCGGGTACACAGGGAAGTGATGACTGCAACAGGCCATATAGACTTCACACTGAGGAGGTATGAGGAGCGGTCACTGGTCATTCCCACAGGCAATGGCAGGTGAATCCTCTTTGACTGGTGAGCAGAGAGGTAGATGCGTTGCACAAAGCTGCTTTCCAGGACCTTTACAGTGACAGAGGTCCGAACTCCACTGGCTGTGATAGTTACTTGATGGCTAACATTTCCTGTTGGTCCATTATGCGGGGGTAGCCCAATCAGAAACCTCCTCCCAGGACTTGCAACGGACAGGCCTGCAGAGAAGAATATAAAATAGTTTTCCCCATTTAACTTAAATCAATACAAAACAAATAAAATTACAACTGCCTGAAAATGTGCACAGTGTATTATAAGAAGATTTACAAACAAAAGATTGTCTACTGACAGCAGTTGGTTATTTTATGACAGTAAACAACACACTTGCACTAAAGAGCTATGAGCAAGTTTGCACAGTAAGTCTTTCTACGAGATAAGACTGGAGGTGTCAGATTTCAACAAGATCAGCAGCCAATGAAGAACATAGTTCCCATTTCCTGACTGGTTACACCTGTATTAACGTGCACACTCACTCGGGCAGTTTCCATGATAACAAGGATCCTGGCGTCTGAGAAACAACATATCAGCAGTGAAGAGAGAAAACTCTGAACAGCTCATTGAAACGTAAGTTCAATTATTCTTTTTCTAAACATGTATGAGGTCACTTGGGTTGTCTTAGGTTAGCATGAAACTTAAGAGTTATTTTTAAGTCTGTCATGATATATTTTTCCTACACAATTACAATGTCCAAAAACATCTTGATATCTATAGAAACATTGAAAAAGAATGCGGTTTCAAAATGTGTTTTAAACGTTGTTTATTCTGCGTTTTAGAGTCAGTAATGATAACTTTACAGTTAGAATTTAAAACCAATGATATTGAGATTTTAAATATCAGTTATCAATATTACTTTATCATATATTTAAACTCATAGCAATAGCATTGTGACAAAAAAAGAGTCAGATTATTGTTGTAGTGTCACCTTTGTTTGTTACAAGCAATCAGAGGTGGAAGAAGAAGTACTTAGCTCTTTTAATTATGTAAAAGTAGGAATACCATGATGTAGGAATACTCCTACATAAAAGTACTCTTTATGCAGATGTGCCCATTTCAGAATAATAAATACAAGTTTTGATTACAATCATTGATGCCAAAATGTGTTTAGCAAAGCTGGTAAAAGGTGCAGCTAGTTTTAATTACTTTGTATACTCACTTAACTAGTAAGTAAAAAGGTATTAAATAAATATAGTGGAGTAAAAGTACAACATTAACCTCTGAATTGAAGTGCGGTTTAAGTACAACGTATAGCAGAAAATAAAAGTTCCTCTAAAAATTGTACACAAGTAAACATATTTAGCTACTTTACAGCACTGATGTATTTTCAAATATAAATCGCATCCCAATGCAGACTACAGAAAATGTCTCAAGACACCAATTATCAACCATAATTCCCTTCAGCAATGCATGGATTAGTATCTGTTGTTGTTACAAGGGCAGAGACATAGCCATACCCAGCTCATCACTCAAAACTAGACAAAGAAAAGGTAGACAGCAGAACTGTGTTGAGACTTGAGTGTTTCAGGTGTAAGAGGAATAACCTAAAGCAAGTGTGCTGCAAATATTGAGAGAAGTAATACAAGTAAAAATGAAAATAGCTGAGTGAAGAAAGCACATACATGCTGGGAGAAAAACTCAGGTTATAGGCCTACCCATTGTGCAAATAAAGATGACTCGATTTTAAAACACGTGTGTACCTACAAACAATAGCCCAGTCATGTCACTTACCAAGTCCAAGCAGGCACACCTGGAGCAGCAGCAAAAACTGCATTACTGCACAGAAAAGGGACACTCTTACTTGAATTAAACAACTATAGCAATTCGTTTTTCATGACAAGAAAAACCCAAATCGAATCGAATATTAGGGATGAGCTAGCGCCACACTGCTAGCAACGAGGGAAAGGTGGTTAAGATATCCTGTTAGCACACCTGTAGCCAATCAAGGAAAACGGGTTGACGTCATCATTTTCACTAATTGTAACCGCCAGGTGATCGGCATTATCATTAAAATTTAAATAGCAACATGCTGTAGCGTTGTTTTGTTTTTTATTATTTAAATTATTAGGTATCTTTTTTAGGTTTTACTCCGGTTCAAATAAAAACGCAATCACCCATTATTACTAAATGTCATCCTAAATTGTTAAATTATTTGGCACATATCTGCTTCAGTGTTATCGCGCCCCATCACCACCTAAGCTGTATCTCAGCCGTTTTCAGGAAATTGTCGTGACAGCAGTTCTCACACAGACACATGGAGGTTTTTTCCGCAGAAGCAACAACAACTTGACAGAGAAACTTTAAGGGGCAGTTCACCGCTTTGTGAGGTGGCTGTGAATCCCCTTGTAGGCTAAGTGAGCATAGAGTTTCCCTGAAGTTCACACAGCAGCACACAGCTTTTCCTGTTAACGAGTCTGCTCCGTTCAGTGCGGATCATCTCCTCGACTGACTAATGGCTGTGGTGAGTGTGTCAAATGTTGTGCGGAGCTGAAGAAATGTAACTCAATATTATTTGGAAACGTATATTCTCTAAACGGAGCAACGTAACACATTTTACAATACAATCTGTATTATTTTAAATTGTTGTCAATTCTTGGCTGCAATGTAACGGATACAACCAGCAATATTGACTTTTATCACATTGGTGTGTGGCTTGCAGGTCAACTTCTTCGTGCTTATACCTCCTTTTTTTCTCATCATTTATCACAAAGTTCACCAACGTTAGTGTTATTACCTGCTGCATCCTATCATTCTCAGTGTAACTCATGGACATGGATTTCTAAACAACAGTTCATGTATTTAGAGACTGTGCTTGATTTCCATTCAATGTATAAACGTCATCCTTGAGGAAGCAGGAAGCAGGTAGCAGTAGGTGAAGGTCGTGTTACTCTGCAGCAACTCATCTTTTACTTCCTGTGTTTCAAATATTGTCATGCCATACAGTGTGCTCTGAGTGAACTTATTGACCTGTTATTAGTCAGTAAACAAATATCAAAGTATTTTCTACTATTGTTAATCAAGCTGCTTGCCAAGGGAGTGTCAGAGGTGAAGCAGGGGCAACACATTGAACTCTTTACAACTCGTCTTTGCAGAGTTTCTTTTTTGCACATTGTGTGTTGCTTCTTTCCTGGAGTAGTGATGAGGATGCATTTCATACATGCATTGGATATGTCTTGTGATAGTGATGTTAACAAAACAGATAGAAAACCCCGCTTTATCTCAATCTGATCAAGTAAACATGAGCTCTCCAGCACTAAATTGGGTTGTTGCTGTTTTAGTTAAGATAGAGGTGGAAAATGCCAAACTGTGATGTTCCCCGTCATATCGGTGTGTGTTCACAGGTTGTGTATCTTTGCACACAGGCATTGACAACGAGAGAGGGGGGGGGGGGGGGGGGGGTGGTGGGTGATGGGTGGGTGTATGCAAATACAGTATATGTGTCTCACGACTGCTTTCATTGTCAGACACTCTCATATCCTTTTAGTTGTTGGCTGTTACCCTTATTGGCCTTATGCTCAACACATCACAAATCATTTGAATTGGAAATAGCTGCTGAGTAGTCAGACTGTGGTGGATTGTTCATTGGCTTGCGAGACATCAACGGAGGTATTGTGAGTTTTGCTTTACTTTCATTTTACCATGTGTTTCCCTGTTACTTTGTTTGTGGTCCAGTGGCATACCAGAGTATGTTATGTTATCGGAAACAATATGCATATGCATCAACCACACTAGGATAAACAGCTTCGGTAGAGATGCCAGAGCTGAGTAAACATTCCAATCAGAATACTTTCTCTCTTCACTGATCCAGAGTATGCTACCACTTTTATAAAAATTGAATGACAATGAATAACAAACGATCTGGGTCATTTCTTCCCTTATTCCATCTGCCGGTTCTTTGTTTTTGGGCTCATCTGTTTTATTGTTGACACATCTTCACAATAATAAATAGTGTTTCCTGATATCTTCTGTCTTCTTTTTCTCTCATTATTTTACACATTTGTTTCCTCAGGAACTCTCTAGGCCACAGTAATTCTTACATCTTTGCACATTAGTGATTGTTATCGCTGTGAAGTCTTGTCAGCGATGCGCAGTGGTTGAGCTGAGGGCTGTTATCAGTTTGAGCAGATAAGGAAGAGATAAGTCTATTTCTGCAAGTAGTTCTGCTTATACATGTCTTTAAGCTTTGCTTGTGAGTGTACTTTGTTGATATAGGTTGTACTGGGTGGGTTGTAAGGAGTGGTGAGCACTTATCATTCAAAATGAAACCTGGTAAACAAGATGAAGTGTTTCTGTGGGCTGACCTGGTCATACAGGTATGAGGCATAGGGTTAATCCTGTCAGTTGAAAACTAAATCAGGGATGATTGATCAAAACAAGACAAATTATCCTGCTAGCCACTAGTACAGTATGCATGTTTTTAGCGTTGCACTCAAGACAGTTTTATGAATCCTACATTTACTAACGTTCATCTTTGCATCTCTAGCCAGCAGTCAACTGGTATGTCTGCTTTATAAGCAAGCCAGTGGTTATTATATTTTGCAAATTCAATCGGCATTCAAATGTACAAGAATATATTACCCAATTTGAAAAATAATACAGGCTACACGCACCGTTTTGATACAGAGGGAGTGGACTGAGTTGATACATATTTCCAAATTGGATCAGCTTATTATTTCACCCAAAGCGACTGTGAAAAGCAAATTGGATACAGTAGGGGATTTTATTTGCAGCTTCTTAGGTTGTTTGCGTTGGGAGATTTACTGCAGCTATTCAGGAGGCCAGAACAGCCCACTCTGCACTCTCTTTCCAATCAGCCTCACTTGTGTGATTAACATCTTTTTTCTATGCAGTCTTAATGCTGTTCTGCTAATTTAGCATGAAGATAATCTTGTTTTGGGATGTCCTCATTCTCATGCGTTCCTACAGGGTGGACATTTGTCTAGCATATAAGTATCACATCAACAGTTTCACATTTACAGTTTATGGCCAATGTTCTGCGGCATAGCTCTTTCATAAAACTGTCAAAAAAAGGAATTGAAATATTAAACTAATGTCGACAGGTCCTCAGTCTTTATGCCAATTCCTCTTTCTTTTTCACTGCCCTTTACCAACATATGGAAATAAGAATTGACATTGCCATACGGTAATGATATCCACATCCTTAAATTGTATGAATGAGTAGGAAGCAGAATGTCGGGTCGCTGTTTGCTGCTACTGCTGCCCCTTAGAGCCCTGCACCTAACAATACGGGTCACCTCAGTTCTTTCCACAGTCATTAACAGCCAAGGAAACAAGGATACAATGGGCACAGCTCACAATGAAGAGTACAGTAAAACATTTGGCACAAAGGTCAATGGGAGAGTTCCTTGTGGTATCAAACATTGCATGCCTATTGGTTCCTGATCCCAAGCCAACCTCAATTGCTAAATCTGACTAACAAGGCTTCATCCAGGACTTTGACTGGAAGAGAAGTCGTTCCCATGTTTTCTCCCATTTAAAAATATCACCATTCATATTGTGTTGGACACAGCTGGGGCTTTGTTTAGCGGATGAAGAACATCTGCGTTTCACATCTATGTTGGCTAAATGGGCAGCAGAGGTCGGGTTTGTTTTGGGCCCTGTGCCATGAGGAACTTGTAAGATTTCTCAAGAAAACAATTACAAATATTTCCCAATACAAATGCATCACTTGTTTCTATGGTGAGATGAAGTTGACGGATATATATATTTTCTAGTGAAATTGGCTTTGTTATTTTACTTTTTCTATTCATAAGAATATTTCTCAGCAGGATAAAATAAACAAAATGATATATTTGTTTAGCTTTTTTCAGTGGACGTCATTGGACACTATATTGTTGCTCAACACCTGGCGTGGCACCCAGGATTTGCACAGGGAGGGGGAAATGTTGGATAGGCACTTGTTGACAGCTAACTAGGACAGAATTCTCAGCAGTTTTTTTGCTGAGCACTATGGGAAATAAGGCTGTCATTATCTGACCTTTTGCCACCGCTCACCTCAGATTACAATCTATCCAGTTAAAACGATACAAGGACTTGTTGGCTCTGAAATCTTAGTTTTCCACTGACTCGCAGTATGTGATCCTTAATCTCAAAGTGCCACACAAGCCCCAATAACAGACAGCAATCCTGCTTTCCGTCTCACCCTATCTTTAAACCAAAACACCAAGATTTCGTACACATCAATGGCTGAATATTAAAAGCAGATATTTTTAACTTGGTTTCTGTTCCCCCCGCAGCATTTGAAGATGATGCGATTGCTGTTCCTGTGTCTGATGCTACTGCTGCCAGCTGCTTCTGGTATGTTCTCATCTCTGTGACGCTTCCAGGTGATACTCATCTAATCAGGGTCCATGCATTCCTGCTCCGGCATGTTTCCTCACCTACCTATGTATGTAAACTGTCTGCGCAGATTAATAGATGTACTCTCACTTTTGAGTTATACAGCCATAAAAGAAGGTGCTACAGCAAGCTAAGGTTCACACATATGAGATATAAGAAAAAATGTATACAAAAATTGAAAATAGAATTGTACAATCTGTGCTGTACAATTGTAGTTTACAAGATTCCATCAAATAAAACCAGATGGAAAATATACGTAATACACTACACATAACCCAAATGTTTGTATGATTCACAATCATCTTTTTCTGGATTGTGATCAATTTTAAACTCTGTATTGCAAGATTGCAAGGGATGTAAAAGTATGGCCACTAACTGTCAGCTTGCCTTTTTTTTTTTTTACAGCTGTTTCCGAGTTGGAAGGATCTGCTGATGGAGGTATGTAATGCATCTATATCTGTAAAATAAAGAAAAACAGGAGCAAAATATGAAGTATTTCAATCGGCTTTTATCCCAGCTATCATAGTGCTATCCAAAAGGTAATCAAGTGTGTGTAACTGGTCAATCTAGGGCAAATTTAGAGACATAAAAAGATACATCTTATTTACATCAAGCTTTTATATCCACTGAAAGATCACAATCATAAGAAACGACAACCAGGATGTTTAGCTAATTAATCCTAAAAGACCACACAGTTATTTCATTCTCAGGTCCTGTGCTTGTTTCTACATGTTTATTTGTAATCTTAGCGGGTCCTTGTTTAGGCCATGTGTGAAGTAGTTAACAGATGTCAACGGTCATTCCAGAAATGTTTGTCGATGTGAACTACAAATATCTTGTCAATCAGAATAACTTAAATACACGATGTAGATTCATCATGATAGATACAAAAATACACATTTCTTAAATGTCTCACCTGCTGGTAAACAGGTGTTGTTTTTCTGCTTTGTTATTCCCACAGATTTTAGTTCTGTTTGTACAATATTGATTCTCTTTTATAGTTTTCTTTTTTCGCTCTCAGACCTTTTGATCCTAAACTGACTTCATAAAACTCCCAATCAATAGTGTTGCTGAAAGATTAAAAGTGTTGTCTATGCCCTTAGTATTGTGCAGAATCATGACTTTTTTATTGTTCAATAGTACTCCCACTGTGAAGCATGCATTTCAGATTTCTTTACTAACATCAGATTTCTCCTTGCTCATCCTTACAGTTCCGGATGATGATGAGGATTCAGGTGAGTTTATTGCCTCCTGGGGTGGATTGGAGGGCAATACGTTTTTCTGGTTACTTCTGCATCACACCCACAAACACTTTCACAGCAGCTGTCCAAAGGAGAGTATGTGAGGTTATGGCCCCTGTAATTATTGTCAGTAAGGCAGCATTGTGTATAGGGTACTCTAGTCCAGTGAAATATGTGGGGCTGTGACCCCTGTTGGCTTTCTATCCTCCCAACCATTAAGTCCTGAATGGAATCAATTAGCTCCCTGGAGGAGTCCTGTGGACGCTGTCGAAAGGCCAATGAACACGTCCACATCCCCGCCATCCTGCTGGTCTGCTAATCAACATTGGCATTCTCATTCTCTCTCTGCACTTCTTTCTGTCACTCCTCATCTTTGCTTTGATGGACATTTGATAGAATTACAGATCTATTTAAAACAGAGCAGTTGGCTCTTGGAGAAACAGCCTTTCTGCACAGAGCTGCGATTTCTCTGGAGCCTCAGCCCCCTCCCTCTCTAGACATATAGACTGTGTACAACTTTTAGCTTTTATTTTCTTATTCCGTATGCACGAGAATTAAGTTCTCTGTTGGGCGTTGAAATGTTCAGTACACATGAAATCAGCACAACTCATTTGAACTGTTCTCTTCTTCTCTTTGCCATTTACAGTGATTCTAAAACCTTCAGACTCACGTCTAGCTGAAAGTGTAACTGAAGGGCCAGGTGAGAAAAGTGGTTTGTTCATAATCAGTGATATACAGCGAATGAATTAAAATACAAGAATACATATCAACAAATATGAACAATTCATAACATCATGCACTGGTTTCAACTTGGACATGTTTTTTGTATTTCCTTTTTTAGATCAGTTCACCCTGATTATCATCATTGTAGCTGTGGCTATGTTGACTATTTCGGGTGCTGCAATAATCAGTAAGTATTCTGTGTTTTTAATGAGAAATAATTTAGTTAAATGTTAAAAAGAGCCTGTTTCCTTCACACAGTTGAAAAATGCACTGCTGAAGTCCCTGTGCGCCTTGTAAAGCTGTTAATACCTTAGCAAATATGAACTTTTCTTTGGTGCAGCTGTGACCTTTTTCCATTTTTCTTTCTTGCAGTCACAATGTTAGTAAGAAGGAAAATGCGCAATCGAGAGCAAGGGTAAGGGCAAATCTCTTTATTTTCAAAGTTGATATTTGAGAGATGCATGTTCCACTTAACGCTTACAGCTGATATAACCAGTCTGATGGGTAACAGCCTTTCTGCTTGCCAATGAACCTTACTTCACCCAACTCATCAGCATAAACACCAGAGAAAAAACAATCAGGTGCAGAACGTAACCAGCCTCCACCCATCAGAGCCCGTCTGGACTTGCACAGAGAAGAGTTTAACAGCCAGGGGCCCGGCACTGCAACCAATGAGCGCTCCCCACCTCTAACCCTCCCATGTTAGCCCTGTAACAATAGTCTTAAGACGGGGCTGCTGGCTCTGTATAACTGACTGGAACAGGATCCAACTTGTCCATAGATTACCTCATGAACTGAGGCCTGAGTAGATGCCTAAAATAAAACAATTGAGTAAACATGATCCTGGCGTCATGACGACAATCTGCCAACATTACTCAGAGAGCAGACAGAACAGCCTAAACCAGTTTAACGCTTATTGCCTCTCGTGTACACCTTGTTTCTTAAATGCAGTTAGCTCTAGGTAGGCTTTCTGCACATAATCAGTTTGTTTATTCTGGGATGCAGTAATACACTGCAAAAACTAAGCCTAAAAAAACAAGTAAAATAAATAATAAAATGAGTAATATATTACTTAATATAAGAAAAATTATCTGCCAACAGAACAAGAAAAATTCACTTGCCAAGACCTTCTTAAAACAAGTAAATATATCTAGCCTAAAAATATCTACATATATCTTAAAACGAGTGTTTTTAAACCAAAAATAAGTACATTTGAATTGATGCAAGGAAGGAATATAATCTTATTATAAGGAAAATGTGCTTGAATTCAGCATATTCTACTGCTATTGTCCCAAAATTCTATTTTATGTTAGGCAACATTTCTTAAATCCAGTGCAGCTTCACTTTAAACAGGTATATTTGTCTAGATACAAGATAAGATTTAAGAATTATTTTCTTAATATGTAGAAAAATCTACTTAAATTCAGCATTCGGTGCTATTCTTAAAATAAGGCTAAATACCAAGAAACGTAGAGACAAAACCTTCAAAAATCTTTAATCCTATCAAGATATAAACTTTGACTGCTTGCTTAAAGAAAAATGAGTCTCAAATGATTTCTTTTAATGTTTTTATTGTTTTCAAACTGCGTAGTAAAGGTCAGTCATCAGATATGTCTTTAGAAAAAAAGAGAACATTCTTTCACTGTAAAATACAACACAAGTGAAATTCTCATGACACTTTTGACTCAGCGAACAATTTTCAATAGGACTATAAGTATGAGGGGCCGCTAGGGACATTATTCAGAAATACCGTTTACTTACACATGTGAAACACTCTCACACACACACAACTGAAACCAAAATAATTTACAAACATATCTAAAAATCTCTCATACACATATGAAACGCTCTCACACACATGAATTCCAAAGTTATTCACACACACATGTGAAACGCACGCACTCACACCTGAAACGCTCTCACACACACATGAAATGCACTCACACCTGAAACTCTCTCACACACGAAACGCTCTCCCACAGATATGAAACGCACTCATATACACATGAAATGCAATTTCAGTATGTTGTGTGAGAGGGATTTCAGTTGAATCTGAAGGCATCTCGGTTGAAAAGGAAGTCGTTTAAAAAAAAAAAAACTGCGAAGAAGCGCACATTTCTAAAAGGCGAGATGCCTTCCGTTTCAACTGAAATCCCTCTCACACAACATATTGAAATCGCATTTAATGTGTATATGAGTGCGTTTCATGTGTGTGTAAGAGCGTTTCACATGTGTGTGTGTGTGAGGGCGTTTCAGGTGTATGCGAGTGCGTTTCAGGTGTGTGTGTGAGTACGTTTCACGTGTGTGAGTGCGTTTCATATGTGAATAACTTTGGATGTCATGTGTGTGAGAGCGTTTCATATGTGTATATGAGAGATTTTTACATATGTTTGTAAATTATTTTGGTTTCAGTTGTGTGTGTGAGAGTGTTTCACATGTGTAAGTGAACGGTATTTCTGAATATTGTCCCTAGCGGCCCCTCATATATAAGTGCCCTAATCACTTATGAACTTTTTCCAGTCGGCCATAGCCTTTTTGTATGAAGTAGTCATGTCATGGTCGTGAATGGCGTCCAAGAGGACTTCTGTCTGCACCACAGACAGGAGTGTTGCAATGCACTTAGGATAGGTGAGGTGAAAGGTGTAATAACATGCCATGAGATACATCACGCTTTCATGAATGTCCTCTTTTGGGAAGATGAGCACGGGCATGGTTCCAATGGCCAGTATACAGTTGGTTTCGCAGATGATGACAACAGGGCTGGAAAGTGGTCGTGTCTGAAGAAAGGTGTTTGGGTCTTCTGCAGACTGACACAAAAACAGACAAAGAAATCGTCACAAAAAGGGAAACAAATATGATCACAACATTTCACTCTTTGTATCGACATGAGAAAATTCTTATACATTTTCTTACCTCAAGGACGTGGAGCAGAGCCTCACTTGCGTGCCTTAACTTCTTGGGTGGGGCCATAGGTGATGGGAACATCTCTGGTAAAGCCTTCATCATGGCAATTGAGTGCTTTACTGTTGAAAAAAAAAGTGTCATTCCGTTTCCTGCAGTCAGTTAATAAACAGACATGGTCAGAGATAATAATCACCTTTGTCAAGCTGCGGAGGCCTCATGAGCTTTTTGAAAACTCCATAAAACTGTGCCCTCTCACAAAAGGTCCCCCACCGGGTCTTAAGTTCCGTTAAGAAGTGGGAGTTGCCCTGATTGAGGACCCGCCGTAGTTCATCCATTAGCTAAAACAACGAGAGAGAAAATATGTAGAAGAAATATTAAAATCTACATTCCAAGGGTTAGTAATTCGTCTCATAACTGAATTTCCAAAAAAAGATTAATATGTGTATAATGTGATTTAAATGGTCACTTAACAAAAATATGCACATAGAAACATGTGTTTTTTTGCAAATGTATGTCTTATGCACACACTATTTTTAAATACGTATATTGGACCAATAATACTAACAAAATAATGTTGTGTGTATCAGAAGCACATTTGTGAAATTAGTTATTTTTAAATAAGTGGAGGGTTTTTATATATCTATGCAGAATACATATTTGTATTCAATAAGCAAGTCATTCATTTATAAATAATGAGACAGATCTGATTTAATTGTCACACCATTTCTCATTTCAAATTTGGTCTAACGTTATCTGAATTAGGAAGCATAGTTGTACAACATTTGCTTACATGATCCAGTTCTCCAAAGCAAGGATAAGCTTTAAGAATCTTGGAAGGCCTGTCCTGCTCCTTTGTAACATCAGAGTCAATGAAGGCCCTTCTCGCTTGGATTTCGAGGTCCAGGAGCTGAGCAACATCCATCTTGTTCGGTCTGGCCTTAGTTTTATACATCGCCTGTAGAGTCTTATAGTGTCTCGCCTGGGTCTGTGGGCTCTCAGTTTCTGATGCTAGAAAACATAAACCCCACTATTTTCATTTCTGATGTTAAAGTTGAAATGAGACATTAACACACAAACAGCCATAGTGACTGACACAGGGCAAACATAGATGAGTAATCTTGAATAAAAAAGGGTTCTAAAATAACTTATTGATATTATAAAATTTTCTTGAAGAGATTTAACTATCTACTATTTCAATTTATGTACTTACCACATAACTGTTCAGCCTCCGGGGTGCTGCATCGAGATGGTGGTGATCTCTCCAAGATCAAGGTTGATGCGGTGGATTCATCAGTCTCATCAGTGTACGTCTCATGGCTGCTCTGAAAGCTTAAACTCCTAGGCCTCTTTCTTGAAGGAGTTGAACCCTGCTTCTTTTTGGGGGTTGTCACATTCTGGACCCTTTTCAAAAGCTGCTTTTTCACAGTTTCCTTACAAGACAGACATACAACAGGTTCTGTTATAACTCACATAAAACAAACTTGTATCAAACAAAATACACCATACAAGCAGTTGCACAGAGCTCTTATTGAACTGGATAAAACACATCACTCCCAGTTTGATAGGCAAATGATTGCAGTGCTTTGTCTGAACCATGAGTTGAAAACTTGAATAGTGACATACCCACTCAGCTCTACTGGTTTGAGATCTGTCCCGAAGCATTGGGTAGTACTCAATCAGACGCTTCGCCATTACAGTGAGTTCACGGCTGCATGGATAGTTAAAGTCATCCCCAGCTGCTCTTTTAATGGAAAGCATGCTTGTGACTGTATTCCTGATTAATCGACAGCGAAGATCTTTGGAAAGGACGTAGTCTCCTTCTTCTCCAGCACGCTGCTTTTCAGAAAAGGTGCTTCGTGATTGCTCCAATTCTGTGTCTGTGTATAAAACATACAGTGGACTGGGAAGCTGTACGGTTCTGCTGGCACCATGTTGGGGTTGTGGGCTTTGAGAGGAGAAGGAGGGTGGAGAAAAGACGGGGGATGGAGAGGGGTTGGGGCAGGAGGAGGAAGAGGAGGGAAACAAGGAAGGTTGGGGGGTAGGAATAGGGCTGAAATCACAAGTCCCATGGGAGGTACTCGGTCTACACAGGTCTGTCTCCTGGCCCTGTATAAAAGATGCATATATATATATAAAATGGTATTTACAATGAAAAGAGCACTACGCTGTGACAACAACAAAAATCAACACAACCAAAAAACTCCACTTCAAATAACTGCATGATGACTAGGAAAGGCTTACTTGGTAACCGGTTTAAAGTCCCTCAAATGTTAGAATCTGGAATTACCTCATTTTCATCATGATTGAGTCTCCAAATGGTTCTTCTTCTTCTGAAGTGCTCAGGCCCGGGAAGGAGATCACGCAAGTCCTCCTTAGAGAGGCTGGGCAGCATGTCTCTGCTTATATTAGCAGCTGAAAACACATTTAACCACACAGTTAATAATAAGGTAAAAAGCAACTAATAACATATTTATCTAAATACATAAAATGAAAGAGTAATGTACATTTCTGGCTGGCTTCACAAGATTTTCTTTAACATTAAAAAATGTATTGCACTTACTTATAATTGATTGAAAAAATTGCTGTTACAATAGGTTCATCCAGAGTTAAAGTTATTTTGGCCAAATGAAAATGCACCAGGGAAATGAATAAACGAGGCATGTTGTTAGGATAAATCCATAACACAAATGTGTAAAATCTCATAGGCTATAAAAGTTATACATTTTCAGCATCTTTTATAGTACAATAAAACAAATCTTGATGTTTAAGAGCAAACACAGTTAAACTTATTTTCAAAACAGTGTCTTTACCTTGAAATCTTTATTCAAATAAGCATAATTTACGTCCCAAGCCTGCTTATATCCAAAGGACAGTGTAGTTTCAATAGCCTGCACTGCACTATCATACAACAACGCATTTGTAAATGCTGTCTACAACAAAGAAGGGCGCCAAAGATGGCTATGCTAGTGTACAACAAAGAAGGGCGCCAAAGATGGCTATGCTAGTGTACAACAAAGAAGGGCGCCAAAGATGGCTATGCTAAATACTTTACTGTCAGTTGTGGAAGGCTCATTTGCTTCTTGACATTATTTCTGGCAATAAAACAGTATCAACTAAAATGTTAACCACGATTTGTCGATTGTGCAGTTATTAACAGCTTACAGTAGATATTAGCTAAGTTAACTAGATATGTAGCCAGCCTAGCTAAGTCCAACCGATTCAAATAATGTAAAGCTTGCTGGAGAGGTGCAGTATAAAATACAAAATTACATTACCTTTTAATGCTGCAGTTGCTATAGGATCCAAGCATGTGATATCTCTTCCATTTTCATCCATGGCGTAGTTTTAATGTTCAATCACTTGCAGAGGTTCAGTCTTCTGCCTGAAGGAAAGCTAGCCAGCAACGTCCTGAAGCTAGGTGCACCTGACCTAACACACGCCCTTAACGGACCCTCTTCGCGGTTCCCATTGGAAGGTACCATTTCTTAAAGAGGGGTGACAGAGATATTTTATATGTTGCAAATATTAGGAATATTAATAACTGATGCGGTCATAGGTAACATTTCAAACATCTGTTTCTAGATGCACATCATTCCACAAGTTATTCCCAGGCATTATTATGACGTGTATATATATATATAGGAAGACGACTCACCGGCCTCCCCCATACAGCTAGAGAATGTGATAAACCCACTTCATTAGTTATTTTCCCCAACGTGTACATGGCCTGCTGCAGAAACGTTTTAATATCGTTAACTTTTGGAAGATTTCACGATGCTTTGGCGGTGCGTTATCTGCTGCGTTTTTATAACTTTTTCACTGAAATTATTATTGAGCCATATTAATCGACTGCACAGTCGCAGCTCTGACTTCAGGTTGCTCTGTGGCATTGATGGATGCACTGAGGAATATAGAGTGTACAACTCATTCTACCATCATGTAAAGAGAAGACACTTTCAACATCTTCTTGAAGACACCAGACCTGGCGACGCCACACGTGGATATGAAAACCGACAGGAGGAAACACAAGGACCGCAGCAAAAAGTAAGTAACGTCTGCTAATTCAGCTAAGATTGTTAGCTACAGTGTTTGGGCCACGTGGCCACTCGGATACAGGGTTAGTTTCGTACATTGTGTGATGCTACAGATAGCGTTAGCCAATACTGATCAGCCACATTTAGTTATTATAAATCCATTAGCATTAACTAATGAATCTGCTAGGCTACAAGCAGGCGGCATCTGTCAACCATATATTTTTAATTCAGCAGTTAGCTATGTAGTGTTTTTGTGGGGATGAAAAAACCGTTAAAAATATGCATTACGTTGGTGTTCGGCCACAGTTACTAAAACAGTAAATCACAAAAATTATGGTTTTCCACTTTTTCACTCTGCAATATTCTGCAAGGTGCATGCATCACTGTCAGGATCTGCACATGATTTGTTGAATTCACAGTTTTAGCAAATCAGAAATAAATCTCAAATTCTTTACCCACTATTAAACTTAAAACAAAAATAAATAGATTTTCAGATTTGATTAGAAAAAAAAGTTTCATGGTTTTGTTTTCTGGACTGAAAAAATGTAATAAAGAGTGTTACCCAGACAATGGATAAAGTGCTACGGCTTACAGTTAATAATTGTTGCTGAAATAACTCTTACCCCCAAAGTTTGTTTAATGTGAAAATAATCTTAGATAGAAAGGAATTACATATTTAAATTGCTCTTTTAGTGAAGCTAATTTTTTAATTTTTTACAATTTCAAACAATCTTGTTTCTTTGATATGTTGTACACAGGACAACATTCAACCCGATCAGCTTCCAGCCGACTCCAGCAGCGAGGATCAGAACCTTCACACACCTGACTCAGTTGAAGAGCAAATGGGCATCGACCAAGATGGAGCTGTCACAGTGCACCAAGTATGTTTTCTTTGTTGTTGACTATCTACTGAAAATTAAGGGCTGCTAAATAAAGGTCAGGCCGATATAGTAGTGGCTAATATTGGCCTAGCATATAATTTATATATCAATATTATGTTGAAATATTTCATTTAAATTCACCAAATGATTCATAAAACCTAGAGGTATATGTGAAGATGTATTTCTATGTGCTGTACTAGCAAAACTAAATGAACACATAAAGAGTTAGAATGGCTTATTGTCTTGTTGGAGTACTAATGTTTGATATGTTTTGGTCAGAGTTACAAAATATTAAATTATCTATCTTTGCTCACCACATGTCACCAGTTTTTTATCATCAGATGTGCATACATTTAAAGATTATATATTTCTGTCACATTGAGTAATGTTATACCTGCAAATGTCAAGTTACTACATTTTGTATTGTAGGATCTGACAACACATGCCACTGCCTTTGTTATCAATGCCCGATCCAAGCATCGTCTGTCACAGGTAAAATGCTTCCTATGTAACCTTTTTGGACTAAAAGCATTATGCCATGTGTGATCTGCTTCTCAGAACATATTAACAGGAAATATTTTGTGTGCGACAAAGAAATGCAAATGAGCATTTATTATCCAGAAATTCAAGCCATTCACTCTGACTAACCCAGTAAGGGATTTCCCATATTTTATTACAATTTATAACCAGACACAGTGTAGCCATATATTAAGTTAGACCTAGTTTTTCTTTGAGAACAGAGCACAGTATTTGGCTACCTACTGTACACAGTTAGCAGTTAATAGTGGTTCACTGATGGCCGAGTTCAGTTTTAGTGCTTTGTTATCCACTTTACTGTTGTGTCTATGTCATAAGCAAAACTGTATATCACATAAAGCTACAGTGATCATGATAATGTTTACCAACATCAAAGATTGATCACATCGCTTTCAATCTCTCATTTTCAGAAAGGCATGAATGACATTGTTGCTGGGGTACAGCAGTATCAATCATCACTATTGGACAACCTCAGGACGCAGATGAAGGAAGTTCTAAAGAAGAATTCAGGAAGTACAACCAATCAACTTGGAAAAGATGCAATGGATATATTTGACAGTTTCATTGACCCCTTTGCTAACGTTTCAACAACATTTCGCCAGAACAGTGTTATTAGGAAGCAGTTTTGTTGTGTGGATGCAGAGGAAATTCCAATTGCTCGAACCATATGCAGGAAGAAACGTGGAGGATCAACAGATTTGTCATCAAAGACAAATTATTTTATTATGTACCATTAGTCAAAAGTGTAGAGCAGTTCCTATTACATCCGAGGATTTTGACTATGATTGAAGAGGTACCCCAGAGGTGCAGTGAAGGTTTTTTTCATGACCTTGTTGATGGTTCTCTTTTAAAATCTCATCCCTTATTTTCAGAGAAACCAAATGCACTGCAGATTATTCTGTATACAGACGAAATAGAGATCTGTAATCCACTAGGATCCTTTTCATCAAAGAACAAGTTGTTAATGGTGTACTACACCCTAGGAAATATAAATCCAAATTACAGGTCTAAGCTGGCTGCTATTAGGCTACTTGCGATGGCTAAATCAGCAGACCTCCGTCAATCTGGTGTAGATGTAATATTGAATAGAATAAAGGAAGACATGGATGCATTGTACAGTGGTGTTAAAATTCAAACTATTAACGGGGAGAAAACAATACATGGTGCTATGGTTTCTCTCTGTGGTGACACCCTGGCACAGCATGAACTCGCAGGGTTCAAAGAAGGAGTGGGCTTTGCTTACAGTAAGTGCAGACACTGTGAGTGTTCTTTTGAGGACATGCAGTCACAATTCAACGAGGATGCATATATTAAAAGAACATTGGAGAATCATGTCAGACAGTGTGATGAAATAGAAAAGGCTAACACAGACTTGCTTCGCAACAGCCTTAGAACAACATATGGGATCAATCGAAGGAGCAAGTTAGTTGACTTCCCATCCTTTGATATTATTCGGCAAACCCCGCAAGACATTATGCATGTCATTCTTGAGGGTATAGCTTCTCTGGAAATTAAATGTGTTTTGAATCATCTTGTTCAGTCAGGAGAGTTAAATCTGGACTCTGTGAATTCAGCTATTCTTGGTTTCCCTTATTCGCCTCTAGATGTTAGAGATCGACCATCCCCAATTTCTCAGAGTACACTGATGTCAACTGATGGTAAACTAAGGCAGTCATCAGGGCAAATGCTTGTCCTGTTGAGGATATTGCCATTTGTTTTGGAACATTTGAAAGTCAATGCATATGTGCAGTTGATAATGGACTTAATAGAGATTGTTCAAATAGTGTTTGCACCTGTTCTTACCATTGCAACTGTGTCAAGGTTAAAGTTACTGATTGAAAGTCATTTGAAGCATTGGAAGGAGCTTTTTCCAGACCACAATGTTACACCTAAGCAGCATTACATGATACATTTGCCATCACAGATAGAATCATTGGGTCCCATGGTCAGACATATGTGTATGCGGTTCGAGTCTAAGCATTGTTTATTTAAGCAATGGGCCTCCAAGCTCAATTTTAAAAATGTATGCAAGTCTTTGATTAATCAGAACCAAATATATGAAAGCTGCCAAAATGTTGACCCTTCCAAGCACCCAATTTTTTCAAATGAAAAGGAGATGGGTCCTGTATCTGAGGTTAGAGATCTACAATATTTACATGGGAAATTGAGGGACTTCCTAGGTTTTAGTGAAATTAACCACGCTGTATCAGTGAAATGGCTTGTGATAAATGGTAATAAATACATTACTGAGAAGTCCTTGATTCTTGCCAATGTACTAAATGGTAATACACCCGAATTTGGACTTGTCAAAAGCATATTTCTTGTTGATTCTAAGCTTTATTGTTTGGAATATCAGCCTTTTCAGTCCATATGCTTTGATAGAAATGTTATGGCTTATCAAGTTGAGGTCCCACACCTTGCACAGGCCACTGAGTTAGTGGATGCTGAAAAGCTGGTTGATTTTACCTCTTATTACACAATCAGCAGAAAGGGCCAAACCTATGTACAAGTGAAATACTATCTTGGGGATGTAATGGAATTACACAACAGTTCAAATGACTCATAGCGTGTTCCTTTGATATGATGATGTTGAAACATTTAAAGCAAACTTAGCAGGTTTAAATGTAGGACTAAGGTCCTGACTTAGGATATGTTATTAGCAGATTCAAATGTTAGCTGTTTGGATTCCAGATGCGTTTTGCATTATAGTTTGCAGTGTACCTAAATCATCTGTATCTTTGTATAATACTGGGTCTTTCTTTCAGGTTGTTTTAAATGTTAATTACATAACATGTTATCAGCCATTTAGGTGTTTATCACAATGCTGTTTATGTTTGCTAAATGCCCTTGGCCTGAATAATGTTACCTACTTTAACTTTTCAAATGAGATGTTTGCACATATTGCTCAATCACTTTAGCTTGCTGAAGAATAATACATGCTGAAAAGAATGTTCTTAATGCAGTAGTTTGACTTGGCTGGTGCTGTTATTTCTGTATACTGCATTTCATATATGGACATACTTAATTGATGTACTGGGTTTTAGAGCGACAATAAAACAATGAATTTCATTTGGTCCTTATCTGTTTTTAATATGTTAAGAGATGAAAAAGGATAGGATGCTTGCAATAAGATATTCTGACTTTGAAAAAGCAGTTTTCTACTTATCAGTGTTGATCTAATATCTTTAGAATTATGGTATTTCTCAATTTAAACATTAATTTACTCAGAATCAGTATTAAAATCTCAAAAACAAGTAATAAAACCTCATTAAGATAATGAAGTAAAAAAACACTTAATGGAAGTGAAATTCACTACAGCAAAAACTTCTTTGTAAGAGGAAATATCTTGGCAGACAAAATATAAGCATATTTTGTCTTGATTTAAGATATTTCATCTTAGTAAGATTTCAGTTTTTGCAGTGTACACGATATGCGGGTCAGGTGAGAGAGGTTATAGAGTTTAAGTTAGTCCCCAGAGATTTCCAGGCAGCAGCAGAAAAAACTGCCATTGCAGAGAAGAAACACAAGACAATCTGCAAGGGTTAAATTCCTGTGCAGGATTAGCGGCTGCCTCGCGGGGCTGCAGCCAGCTCCGGCAGTGTTTGGTGCTGACTGATCGCTCTGCTGAAAAGAAGCTTAATCACACAGCAACCTCTGGCTTGTTGGATCAACAGTGCCTTGCGAGGTTTATAAGTCACACCTGGGGATGAGCTGTGTTTTGAGGTGATGCAGTCACCGTGCTCCTGTCAGAGCGCTGCATGAGGCAGACGTGTAGTTTTCCTGAATTCAGACACGCAGGGATGTTTCTATCTTCTAACAAACTGAGAAATAACTTTAAAAATATCTTGACGTTGACATGCTTGTTTTTTTTGCCCTCTCTCCTCTCATCCCCCTTCCTTTCCTGTGGCCTGTCCTCCTTCTCTCTTCAGGATCTACTCCGTGCCCACAGAGCAGGACCAGAAAGGGACCGTCTAGTTCCTGGTGGAGTCCAATAACAAACAAGAGAGGAGCGTTGGGTTATGTCGTTTCCTACTCTTTGACTCAGGACAGATTTATTTGCACAACAGCCTGCTTCCTCCATGCAGTTCATAGTTCGCTACTACACCAACTACTAACAAAACATATACATTTTCTTTCCACTGTTGTATACTTTAGTCTCTGCCCCAGCCGTGTATACACCACAAACACGCAATTTAGCCGGGGACATTTGGAACACATTCAAACCTTTTTAATTGGATTCTATTTGAGGAATCCAAATCCAAGCCAGTGAATATGGCTTAAAGCTTCTTTAGTTAAAAGGGATGATTTAGCACAGCAAGAGCTTCCCTTTTTTTAACTACCTGAAACAAGAAATGATTCCTACCAGCCATGCAGTGAAAGTGTATTTGCGTTTGATTCGGTGCCTGTGGAACAGACCTGCCTGTGTGAAATGGTTGAGGAGCTTGACAAACCATGCTAATCCACGCTAAGCCAGCCCAGTGCTCACTTCACTTGTCTGACACCTTCTGTTCTAGGCCCAGGAGTGACAGGAGGTTGAGCAATAAGAGATAAAAACCTGTTCAACCTCTTCTCAACCTTAGTAAATAGACATGTGAAAATAGTGTGAACATCTTGCAAGAAATTATATGAATCAACTGCCCAAAGAATGATGTTTTCCTTCCTCCCTTTCTGTTACGTTATGAAAGGCTTTCACTTTAGGCCCGCTGGCTGTAAATACAGCAGCTCTCTGAGGGCAGTAGAGAGTTAGACTAATGCTTCACACTGGTAGAAAGAAGCTGGGTGTGAGGGAGGATTTAATCTCACAAATCAAATAAAGTCCTGCGGATGATTGGGAAAATAACAACAATGGTTTTGTTTTATACACACAAAGCGTTATGGCTCCTCTCTTTCCATTTAAATGGAAATCAATCATGTCCTGTGAAAGAAAGCTTTCTGTCCTAGAACCCCACGCACTGGTTGCATTATTTGTTGCAATAAAGAGGGAACTCTCTCTTGCCAAGGTTAAAGGGGAATGGGACATGCGCCCGATCGACATGACGGTATTTCAATTGTAGATCATGACGACACTTATAATGGAGAAAGCGCACTGGGGATGGCTACATGGGGTTGAACACTGGATTTGTCAAAGCAGGATCTCTCTTTGCTCTTCCACTAAATCCTGCCGTTAATCTTGCCACTGGGGACAGGGCTTGGCCTCATTCCAGCCTGACTTGAGAGCAAAAACAATTGGGCAGTCACGTCCTCTACTGTGCGTACAGCAGTTATAGGTCTGTTGAGGCGTTGCCTTGAAAATGATGCATCCCAAGACACATTGGCAGATGACATTATTGTTTGGGTGTTTGTTTTATGATCAGATTTGAGCACTGTGTACGTATGTGTCACACAAGCGTAGCATTGCCCAATGAGCCTTCAATATGTGCCAACATTTCAATTGGTGGACAATTGGACAAACATTGCAGTGCAAAACATTTCAGTTTTTATTACGTCTTAGTATTTCCCCTTTTTCTGTCGGAATGACAAACCATAATTGTACAGCATGGCAGCAGTGTTTTCTTTTAAGATTTTTTTCAATAAGCAGAAAGAGAAATGCAGCATTTATGGTAGCCTGTTCTAATGTGACCAAACTCTACTCCGTTATTCCCTCCTGTAAAGGCTCTCTGCTCTGACACTGCGTTTGTAAATGTAACAAAAGTAGGTGTCGAGCTTTTGTTTCTTTCTCAATGGGATTTATCTGGAAAAGGTTCCGATTTCTTTTCTTTTCTTTACAGGCTTGAGTACGGTGTCCCTGAGGTCAATGCACTGCAACTTAAGAAGCATATACAAAGAAAACATCTTTATCAAGGTGACAAAATGTAAGCATGATAAGAAATAAAGAGAATCAAGTACAGAGACGTGCTACAAATACACACGTCTGCACAATTTGCAGGATTCCTGTACTCAGATGTGCATGTGCACGATGTCTCTCTTTGTTTGTCTAATTGCACGTTTTCTAAAGCTGCAGTCCATAAAGCCATCAGCGCCCCGTACTAAAGGCTTTGCCTGGCCTTACACATTTCTCTTTAGGATTTATAATATATTGTATGTATTTACAGACCTATATATTTGCATTGTGTCTCTTCACAGAACAACATACTGTACTTGGCTATATGGTCTTTTTATATACTTAAGGGGTTATGTATTATCTCCACTGTTCATTTATAAATTGCTTGTAAAAAGACATTTGTGGTGAGTGAGAGTATGTTTTTTCCAAAAACTCTTTTATAAAATGTCTGCAATTTTTTGTTTAGCAAAACATTTTAATTTGAACTTAATGTTGAATACTGTTCACATGTGCGAAGGCATTTGTCTTTCTGGAAGAACTCCCACTTAAGTGTTTGTGCAAAGGGAATTCACATTGTTTTTAAAAATAATTATTTACCATGTGTATATATTATATAGCTATATACAGTATCTCAATTGCAGTCATATCATGAATCAATTGTTTGCATATCTGCTCTCTCTGATTTGTTCTGATACTTATCAGAACAGTTGATACTACTGTATATTACTAAGGTATGCTGTACTCTGTTTATAAAATGTGCTTGCTTTCTCCCAGTTTGTTGTCTGCATCATTTTTTGCCATATGGATGCAAAGATAATGCGCCAGTGGATCTTGTTTAATCTAGGGCTTTACTCACTTACAAGCATAGAGCCACTAAGAGGCTTAGACACCCTTCCTAAACATCACATTTGAGTTGAGACTGAAGGCGTAAAAGGCATGCAGGATCTATCAGGAAGAGAAAGTGACCCAGCTCTCAGTTTCAGATCCTGAAGTGTTGTGCGAGATTGTCAAACACACAATGTTAAGGGGTAATTCTTCATAACCTTTAATAATAATAATCCTGGCTCTGAGACACTGCCTATGGCTGTGTTATCAGTTATAAGATTAAAAAAAAGGTCATTTAGAAACCAGCCGCTTCATGGCTGAAGGTGTGATTAAAATATGAATCATATCATCGTTATTTGCTAAGATGAATAATCGCTTTACTTTTTAAGTGCAGTTTGCTAAGTATAGAAAGGACATTTGACAAAGCTTAAGTCAGTATGGATGGCGTTTTCTATTTGTTTATTGGGTGTTTTTCAATGTTGTTACCAAGCAGCGTACCGTCACTCAGTCCGCGTTCACACACACACACAGGTTTTGGTTGAGTGTTTCTTAGCACTTGTAATATGTGTACACAAGGTGTCTCTCTTTAGCCTTGGACCACTTGGTAAGATCTGAAAAAAAAAACATATTCAAGTATCAAGCCCTATTTAGGCAATCAATTATATTTATCAAGCAAAAGTATACCACTATGAGGAAAATAAACAATGCGCTTTGCAGTTATGGTTTTACCCAACAAATAGCTTAATCATTTTTTTTTGTATATTAATCATCACAGAGATTTTAGTCAGCATTCTGTTGAGCTATTATATGTCTGACATGACTGATTGTTTGCCATATATCACCCGGCAGCCTGTGATATAAATTACCTAACTCATTCTACCACACTTCCCCCACCTTGCAATATAAGCAGGGCTTCCTGCTCACAAACTGTAATTTAGTTAAACATTACTTTTGCATCAGCTTCCATTGTCTTACATAACTCAGCCCTTGTGCTAATCATGGACCTCTCAAACAAGGCAAACATATAAAACATTTGAACATTAACTTGAATGAAAGAAAGTTTTTACTTAGATGACTTCTTGTGACAGTTGGGCAGCCGACAGATCCTGCCACCTGCAGACAGAGATAAGCAAAAGAGTTAGGAGTGCAGTGGGCTATAATTGCAGTGATTAACAACAGAATAAAGTGAATTGCAGAGCCACACTTACAGCCAATGACCATGATGCCCACAATGAAAAGGACTGCTGCGATGGTCAGTCCAGCATAGCGCAGGGACTCGTAATCTGGACATATAACACATGAATCAAGACCACACTGGAACAAATACTGCTCCAAAATCAAGTAAAAGAATAATGAAAACAAGGTGTTCTCGCTTGTAATAAGTCAAACAAATCTGCCAATAGAACAAGTGAAGATTTGCTTGGTTAGATTTCTTGAAATAAGATGGGATATTTAGATAAAGGAGATTCATTCATTAGCTGGGAAAACTCATTTTGAACTATATTTGACCAGGATCATGTAAATGTTATTCCAAAATAAGACGGAAATGTTAGTTTTTCTGATGTTAGTTGGTGATTTTCCAATAAGAATTTGTTTTTGTTTTTTAAATCAAGTAAGATGTATTTGTTAAAACAAGATTAACCACAGCAGCTTAAAGAACTTGTTTCATTTGAGATACAACTCAAAATAAGATGTTTTCAAGAGTCTTGAAGATGCATTGTCTAAAAACAAGACCCTATATCTCACTGCATTGTTACCTCTTCAGTTATTATGTCTTGTATCAAGTGTAAAGACATATTCTGACTAGATATTAGACAAATACATTTGGCAACAGGTAATAACACACAGAAAAGGCAAATATAGCTTCTTACCATAGGTGAAATCTTTATCCTGCTCCGGGTCTATAAGAAGCAGAAAGTAAAGTATTGAGTTGAGGAAAAGCAAAAGAGAGAAAGGATCACCGGGTAACAACAGTCAGAGATAGAAGACAGATCTACCGTCCTCTCTGACATGCTGTTGTATAAAAACCCTATCAGTGTGGGAACACAGCACAGCACAGCATGAGGTCACACATATCTTATCTCTCTTTGCATAAGGTACACTCAAGCATTCATCTACCGGCAAGAGAGGCCGTGAGGAGCTCTGTTCTACCACTCTGCCATGGGTTTTGTTTGGAAGACAGGGAATTGTGATACTGTCAGTCTGCCATGAGATAACAACGAAACCGCAACGCCTGTGGCATTTAAGCTAACTATGAAGTAGTAACATTTGTATTCACCCCAGGCAACAACTTTGGTGGCTTTCCCAGTTGTGGATGGGGAAGATGTCACTGTGGATACAAAATATAGACAGTAAAAACATTAGTTTTCATGACATTTTTGATTTTATGGATCCCTTTTCTGTCCGAATTTAATGCAAAAAGAATGCAAGGGCATAGTTTCATAGTTTATATGGAAGCATATTTGTCTTTGGTCATATTGACTCCTTATCTTAGCCATACTTAATTATCTCTCACTAAATTCCAGGTGCATTCCTATGCTACATATTTAATTGAATTTCTGAATATTTTTAGTGAAATGGCTCTCTTAGGAAATGTAGGCTGACACTTTTTAAAACACATATCAGCGTTTTCTCTCTCTGTTGCTCTCACTTTAGTTCTCTCCCTTTCTCTGGTGCTGTAAATTGCAGCAGAACGCTCCTCTGTACTGTACAGTATATCTCAACAAGGACAGGGAGTTTAACATTTTCTAATTAACTCATAATTAGTTTTAAAGGGGAGAAAGCTTACTGTAAGCCTTAACTATTGGTAAGGTGGTGTTATAGCATACTGGAGTGCTTATGGTCTTTTAACCCGCCTAACTCAATGATGTTCAAACATGTGACGGGTGCAGATTGTTACCTGTTGGCTTGGTTTGTAGCTTAGTTGTGCCATTATTGGGAGCTAAAGGGAAAGACAAATACAAGTCACATGAGGTTTCATTAAAATAATGTGAGTTATGTATATCACTAACAGCACCATACTTACCTAGTGTACTGTTCATTTGTATTGTAGTGGCGTTGACTGGTTTGCTAGTTTGCTGGCTTGTGGCGCGTTTAGTGGCGGGAGTTTCCTGGGATGAGTCAGCATCTCTGGTGAATCTGCTCTGCACTCCTCTTCCTGTTACATCAAGAAATAAACTGAATCACATGCACTTGAGAGAGGCCTGACCTTTTGCTAAAAAATGACATTAGATTAAATAAGAAGACGGATGATAGATAGATAAATATGTTTCTGTTTTTACTCTTTAGCTATGTCTACTCGTCACTTAACAGATGAATTAAAAATAAATTACATTAAAAAATAAATTATGATTTGATAGAATAAGATGCACTACGCAACAGTTAAAACAAAGTTACATTAAGCTCTTCCTTGACCAACTTTCCTCCTCCACCCACTGACAGACAGTCAGGAAGACAGAACAAAACACAGACTAAACACAGGCAGCTTGATAGATAAGTGGATAAATAACTGTAATGACTAACATTTATGTATATGGTTGTAAATGTAAAAAAAAGGAAAAAGCCTGGAGACTGAAAAGCGCTGCAAAGTGGAATTTTTCAGCATGGCCACGAGATGCGTACCAGTGGGAGTATGAGCAGTGGGCATTGTTGTTCCGTTTGCCATATTGTTGCTCACAGACTGCATTTGATCTGCCGTTGTGGGAGACTGAGCTCTTGCCACTGCGGGGGAAAAACACATATTTTAATCACCAAAAACACAAGTCAGATAAAGCCTTACAGCGATGGCTCCATACTCTAAACTTTACAGGAAGACCAAAGGGCCCTGTTGTTTACCCCAGTGATGTTCTCAAACAGTGCTGTGATGTATTCCTGGCACAGGCCAGACTGGAGAATGTCTGGCCGTGCAGGGGAGAGAGGCCTGCAGATGCACTGAGAGTATGTCACAGTGAAAGTCCTGTGAGTGGGGCAGTGCGGCACAGTTACAAAGAAGTGGCTCTTACAAAACCTCTGGCTACAACAGAGCTGGATTGTTGTGAGAGCCTGCGGGACAGTGGGGCCGTTGTCTGTTTACTCACTCAGCACCTTCCCATTAGTGCCGGAGCTATACAAAACCTCCACTTTATCGGCTAATGCTGTGATTCTGACTACTTTAATGAACCCATATGCAGGAAACTTGACTATGGGTGTTAGGATTGTTTAATGTGTTAGCGGTATTGTGTGGATACAAAGTTTATTTTGTTTCTAATAGACCTTTTATATCAGCGTTATATCACTATATAAAGTGTGATAAAGTACTCTTATCTTGACTGGGATAAAGTTAAGTAATATTAGGATCCACATTCAAATGTTATAACATTTTTGACAAGGTTTCATGTGTTTTTTAAGGTCAACTCCATCTACTGGTGAGGAAAAATATATTTAATAATAATAATAAATATTGACCTCTGCAGGATCATTTTTGACCTTTCTTTTAAAATCACTCTTACAAGTTTACAATTGTATGGAGGCAACATGCTAAAAGGCTGTAGTGCCAAAAAGACCCAATTCTGAAAGAAGAAATAACATGTAGTCCCTCTTACAAGCAAAATGTCGAACTCTTGAACTAAAACATATTATTGCACAATTCAATCCACCCAGGCGGGTTGCTGTAACAGTCTTACCTCATCTGGAATGACTTAGTTTATAGGCTACTGGCTAATGCTAGCAAACTCCAGATTGATATTGTCGTGTAACTGACATGTACACAACATAGTTTTCTGACTTTACGTTTTACATTTACGTTTTGCCATAATCATGTCGATGTGATTTTGACCAAAGTGGCTGCTGTTTAGCAAATGTTAAAACCTGCTTTGAAATTAATTATTATTATTAATTATTTAAACACACTCACCTTTTAACATGACAAAGAGGATGAAGGTCAATGAGGAAAAATAAATCTGAAAGAAAAAAACCATATTAAAAAGGGAGAGGAGCTGCAATAAGAATGCAGAAAGAGTGAATCAAATTGAATTCAAGGTTCAAGGCTGTTATTGGTCATGCGTACATAGCTACAGTGTAGTTATGACGATGAACATCTTAGGTCACATGCTCCTCCAACAGTGCAACACAATAAAACTGAAAAAATAGTGCAACTAAATACAAAAATAATTCCAACATATGCAGTTGTATTACATTCTTTACCACTTTGTTCAAGATCTGCAAGGTAACACAGCTAAATCGGAGCAGATACACATAATAAAATATGTGTGCAGTAGCTCCCAGAAAGACAGCTGTTTAGCAGGGTTTGATTTTTCAATGGTTTAACCAAAGCACGACCAAATGTTGGACATAGCCTACACTTAAATACAAATGAAAAGGGTGCATGTGAGAAAGCATTCACTATGGAACATTTTGTGCAGTGCTAAATGTATTAGACAGGAAGTTGCACTCATTGAGGTTTATACTTCTCCTTCCTCTTAAAGCACACAGGCATCACGCACTCACCCTCACGCGGTTTGCCAAAAAAACAAAACAAACACAGCTTCTTACTTTGAATGTCAAACTTTGTAAAATACACATATATTATCATAACCACATGTTTTATTCATTTGTCAAAAATGAGTGATTGAGGCCACACATTGTGTATGCTATGCTATCCTCCCACACGTGTGCTGAACTTTGTCGCACTATTGATCAAACTTCATCTCATTTCAGTTTCCAACTGTCGCCTGTTTAAAAAAAAAAAATGGCATTGGAGGATGTGTCAAAATAACTCCTTTTAGCATAATGGAACTCCTGTAGCCTACTGGTGAGCAGCATTGTCTGGTTCAGCTGAAGAACATACTCGTTCCTCCCCCTCACAACATATTGCCCTTAGCTTCAAAACAAAAGAACTATAGAAAAACCGAAGTAGGTAAAAAGCTGTCCCATATTGCATGATTTTATAGAGATACAGCTGCCATGCAGAGGCAGGTAGAGTGACGGATGGAGGTCTAGGCCAGTGACTCGGTTTGAATCCACCCCCAGCGGAAAAGGAATCTGGATCCTTGACCTATCCTGGTGGCAGCTCGTCCTCCGGGCGTGGAGCCGTGTGACAGGTGAGCGTCCGTGGCCGTCATGAGCTGTGACAGCTCAGATTAGCAGGTCATGCCAATCTTCATTTCACTCCAGAGCATATGTCAAGATGAGGCCTGTGTCCCCTGGGCTGTACAGGCGTCTCTGCCTTCCCTATAGCCTTCCCGCCTGCCTGTTTGTCACATCTAGCACTCTCCCTCACTCTCCGTCTGTCTGTTTATCCGTTTGTCTGTCATCCTCCATCAATCTCTCCATTCAGTCCACCTCACCAAAACACCTCTCAACAGCCTCATATTTAGTCATCCATCCAGGACAGTATGCTTACCTTAGTATCCATCCTGGGAGCTCCCCGGGTCCAGAGGTTCATCGTTGGCCTCATCATCCACGCTGCTTTCCTGTGTCTGTCACTCCTGAAAGGCTGATGGGCTAACTGCTAACCAACCACACCCATGTGCTCACCATCTCTACTTCCTCATCCAATTGTCTGAACTCTGTTTCAGTCTCTCGCTCACCCACTCTCTCATGTCATGGCCTCCTCCTTCTTGTTCTCTGCCTCCTAGTCTTCCACTCTCACTCGCTGTGCTCAGATTTCTGTCAGCGGTTCAGCCGTCTCCAAGCACAGCAGCTTGTCGTCCTTCTTTATTTCTGCTTTCCCTACAGAATACTGTCATTTATCGTACCCTTGTGTGTTCAACCTGTCTGTCATCCTTTCTAGCTTACTGCACGTTTATACAATCTGTTCTGTCTCTGTTCATCTTGTTGTCTCACAAACAACAAATGGATGACCTTGTTGTAATTAGAAACTGTTGATATGTTACAAAAAAACAATACTTGTGGACTTGTTAACATTTTATTGGTGAAGTTTTATTAAATATCCTCCTTTGAACACTTACATTGAGGATGTTTGTGAATATGTGTAGCTGTAAATAACTATAGTTAATACTTTACTTTTCAACAAGCATATAGAAGCAATCATTCAATAAATGAAATAAAAAAACATATTAAAAAGTCTATAACTCTTTTGTAAACTCACATATCTTTATGTCAATCACATTGAATTGCGGTTTAAGGGGTAACACATCCTTGGGTTTTGTCAGATTGTTGAGTTATTGCTCCGAGGCTGCAGGATTGGTGTGGGATTGCGGCCGAACAGCATTATCTAACTTTGACGAACACATCAAGACTGTTACAGAAGACAAAGCCTGCAATTCATCCTCAATAGCAGAGAACAGTCTTTGTCTACAGAGCTTTTGGTTCAAGTTGTCATCCCTTACATTTCTATGATTGCTCTAAAGAAACTGTTAGCACTCTATAATGAACGTCCTTAATATAGCTCCACTTTATTGATCATTAATAATCTATCAGGTGGGGGGGAAGTGTATTTACTCCACTTTATAAGAGTAAAGTTGGTCCAATGAAAGGTTGCTGAGACATTTTAATAACAACTATTGATCTGATTGACACAGAGACTCTTTCACATTTTGCTATTCATTTTACATTTGTTGTTGTTGTTTCTGGAGCGGAGGATTTTTGTTGATTGCAGGCTTTAACTCTGCTTTATATTAATCCTGGTCAGAACATATTTATTTGATGTATGGATGTAGGTTTTAATACATGTGTGGATAAACCTTTAAAACTACATTTCAGAAAGTGATGTATGAATGCAAAAAACTGTATTTTAACTGAGTGTCATATTATACTCAGTTAATAGTAACAGCTTGTTATTCATTTCTTTGTTCTTTTGTCATCATGTTATCGTAGTGTTGGAGTGGGAGTAAGTGTGTATTTAAATGAGTAATATGCAGAGAGGGACGTTTGGATTTAAATGTGCTTACAAGTGAAAAATAAAAAAGACACCCTGGTTCGACTGAGACTTGAAAGAGAAAGTTATTTTTCTTTTGTTGAATAAACTGTATACCTTTGGGGGGATATACCAGGAGAGTACGGCTTGTCTGGATTTGAATTTTGCTTAATTAATTCTGCACTATTTCAGATAGAGACAAATATGCAGTGTAAGTACGCAGGGCTTTAATAATGATTCAAATCCCAGACTCAACTTCTTGTTGTTTTACGTGCAATCTCTCTGTAGCCATTTTTTGTTGTTGTATTTTGACCCGTGTGTCTCCATGTAGTCTGATACACTATGGACAAGACGGTGATGTTCTTTTAGTTTCAATATGCGTTCAGATCTGACCTTATTAAAATGAACAATCTATTGTGTTTTCACTCCCTAGTTTTCCTTAATGGACGCCTGTTATATTTGTTCAGTTGTATTATTTTATCCATTGGCAGGCCAATTACATCCCAACTGACAACAGGAGATCACAGGCACAAGTGAGACATAATAACAGCCGCTACAATCATGTTCTAATTTGTAAAACCTGTGATTGCTTTTGATTTGATTTCTAACTATTTGAAATTGAAAAAATCGGAATAATGACAGCAATGACAGGGTTCGCAGCAATTTGAGTTAAATTTGAGTTAGCTCCCCACTGGTAGCACAACCTGTTAAAGTCATAAATGAGTGTTATTCAATCTCATATTTGTTTTCCAGAAAGAAAAACATTCATGAGAGGGGGGAAATGTGAAGACTCTCCTGGGGCTGAGGTAATTAGAGTCTCATTTTTGTTTCTCTTTTGACCTAAATGTTCACTCGTGCAGAATGAGTGTTCAATCTCCCCCGAGATTCTTCTGAACGCATCATATCAAAACGTTCATGAGGAAAAACAGAGGTTGAGGTACAGTATTGAGCTGTCAAGCCTTCACTTGAGCAGATTAGCGTTTGTGCCTGAGCAGAAAGGATGCATCATGAACAGGCTGAGGAATGAACACAGCAGTCATCTTGACAGGAACTTAAACAATGGCTCAGTAATGAGACAAACACACCTTGACAGCTCATGATGGAGACTAGGGAGACTAATTGAAGGAACACATTCATGTGAAATATTGAGATTTATCTCCAGGCAGTCAAGCCCTATTGAGGAAACAGAATGGTGTAGGTTGTGCAAACGTGTGGATAACAACAACATAAATATAAAGTGTACATATTTCCGATGTGTTTTACAGTATTGTGAAACTTGGTTCAGCAACAACAACAAAAAAGGTATAAAGCACCTTCAACAAAATAGTAAAGAAAAAAATGTACACTTCTACTGACGACCGATACATTAAGATAAACACTGTTATTATAAACTGTGTGTCTCATCTAATAGTGTCATCTGTGCTGTGTGATGTGTGTGTTCTCATGAGACTGGTGAAACGTGCGTGAGGGAATAGCATTAGCTGGAAGCAGAACCAGGATGCATGCATAACTATTGTGTACACAGATATAGAAAAAGCCCTTCCCCTATTTGTGTATTGTACAAGGCAGCAGCTTAAAGAGCTATGGGAACTTTGAGCAAGTGTCTCTGATTTCTGCATAACAGTACCCAAACACACAGAGCCCTCGAACCTTGTTGTTGTATAACAAAGTGCCATATTGTCTCTGTTGTGTTCTTTAGGTTTTTAGGCTGCATGTCAGTGATAGTATTAGACTGCAGCTTTAAACGTTATTAATCAAAAATATATATATGTCGAATTTTTTCTTTAAAGACCTGCTTGAAGATAGGATGGCTGAGTCAGTACCAAGCTTTGGATTTGTTAAACCACACTAGCTTTGATCCAGACTGAAATATCTCAACAGCTATTTGATGGATTGCAATGAAAGTTTGTCTAAACAGTCATGTTCCTCTCCTCCTCTTCAACTATCCCATTAACAGGTTAACATTTTATTTAGCCCACTACTTTGGTTTATGAAAGATAATGACATCTCCATCAGCTAACTCGCAAATGTTAGCTTCCTGACAGGCTAAACTAAGGTGGTGTAGCAGATGAACCTTACTCCTGCTAAACATCAATTGTCATTGTTATCATATTAGCACACTGATATTAGCATTAAGCTTTAAGCAATGTTGAGCTTAAAAGAACAATTCACATACAATTACTAACTATGTATCTTACCTGTGGTGCTGTTTTAATCTAAGATATGTTGGCTTGAGGTGCTCAGTGTTTGAGATATTGTCTGTACAGATGTCAGCACTCTCTTGAATATAATGTAACTAGATGTTTTTTCGGAAATCCTGATACGGTAACTCAAGAAGATCCACAGACCTTATTGATAACAGTTTAATGCAGGAAAAATGCATCTACTCAGCTAGCTAATGTAGCAACTCAGCCGAGGAGAGTGCCATTAACGTGTACACCTCGAGCTGACGCAAGTGTAAGCCTCTTGTAGAAAGAAATCCTAAATTATGTTTAGATAATATTTTGCGCTCTGATACAACATAAGTCAGTTGTGCCATCTCATTCCAATTTATTAGAGAACCATCACATATCTACTCAATTTCTTTTAGATTTCATATTGGAGTTTATAATTTGTCGATTTGAATTGTATATCTTGTGTAAAACAACTTTGGGTTTGAAAGGAGTCCTATCAATAAATACAATGATTGTATCGGCTGTGGTTAGTGCAATGCAGTGAATTGCTTTTGTGTGAACAATAATGGAAACCAAAGGAAGAGGCCAGCGATTATTTTTGTAGCAGTAGCCACAGCATCAGCTTATCCCTCTCTTCCTGAATCCATCTCTCTGTGAGTGACCACTCTCAGTGAGACAAATTCCCGACACGGTCTCTCACCCGCTCTCACTGATGCTGTGAGCTAAACTTCAATCCGAGAGAAAACAGGATTAGAGTCTGGCCCTAGATATGGCTTTACCTTACTGAAGACATAACCATGCTAAAAACCACTCGGTGCGATCCCATTGTCGGGATTTCACGGACTTACTGGGAAACTCTTTGTATAGAGAGGGAAGGGAAAGGCCACAGTCTCCGGGTTTCATCTGTACATGTTTCAAAATGTTGACATTGGATGGGTCAAAAAGGATGTTGTCTGCTTGGGAGGCACTGTGACTCTGCTGCTTCTGCCCCGTTGCCAACTACAGCGATGTCAGTCCATTTTTGTCTCTAACTGACTGATTCATGTCTACCTGCAGGCCTAATGGGAGGATGGGGGGGGGGGGGGGGGGGGACTGCGGGTAGTGACCGTGACTTGGCTCTAAAGACAAAATAACAAAGCGAGGTCATGGGACGAGTGATATCAGAGGGAGACGGATATAAACTAGCGGCCGGTCTGTTGTAAAAGTGTTTGAAATGAATGTTGTTCATGTTGCGTGTGGTAATATCATATACATTGAGCAATAGAACTATTAACGAAGCACTTTTATACTAATAAAGGACTGGCTTACCTAAAGCCAGTTGAGTAGCACTTGAAATGTTTAGCTCTATGAAACCTGATGTACTTATATGATTCTGTTTTCTTCAAGGTTGTGTCTTCCTGGTCGAATGCACTTATTGTAAGTCGCTTTGGATAAAAGCGTCAGCTAAATGCAATGTAATGTAATGTAATATCATATACATCATATATTTCATCATTCTGCCATTCGTTTTTGCTTTTCAAGCTCCTTCAGTTTAACATACAGTACTACTGTAGGTCCACCCAATCTGGCGAAAACGCTCAAGGTTAACAAAGTATACAGAAAGACGTAAAAGGGAAATTCGGTATTATGTTGCATATCACATTAAGCTTGACTTGACTCATGTGATAGCTACATTCTATAAGACTAGGGAGAGATGATTCAGAACGTTTAGCATTCAGTATTTTCGATACAATACAGTACTCAATGACTTGTGTTGAGCCCTGTCGTAGTGTATTTGTTTGCTCTGACCTTCCCACTCTAGACTAATTCGCCTCGTTGCTCAAAGGGAAGATGAGAATCTCTCGGCGGTTGTCGAACATCCCTCGCTCCTTCAGCAGCCTGCTGAGACACAGATTGCATCTCAGTTATCATTAATGTCACAGAGCAGCAGCAGCAGCACATTATCCACCTTTATAAACGGTTCCTTTCACGACTGAATAGTGATAATACATGTAAGTCATATATCACGTAGGAGCTCTTATCATAGGTAGGTTTGCTTTTACTGACCTGAGGGTATGCTTTTGATCTCGACTCATTCCTCTGATTAGGCAGTCTGTGGTCGAACAAGGATGGAGGGGAAGGAAGTGTGGAAGCCAGGATGTCCTGGTACAGACCCCTGTCTCTTACGTCTTCATACAGATGGCTGTGAGGCTCCACAGGGAGGCGGGTGACATCTTGAAAAGCACATATGATTGCATACATCAAACATCAATAATAACTAGTAGTAAACATTAAGATAAATCAGAATATACTCCAGGTGGCACCAGCTGATTGTCACAAGGACTGATTCAGCTCCTGATTGGCTCGGACTGCATCATATTTTGGAAAGGAGCCAGGTGTTTACTGTTGCCTTGTTTACTCTCTGAGGTATATTTATGTCTCACCGTGCCTGCGTGTTTCCTCAGGGTGAGGGTTCAGAGGCGGCATGTAGTCACCGCTGGGGTAATAATAATGGGAACTTCCCTGAAATGAACAAAAGAGATAGCATCAGCCCAGCTTTGGCCTGAGGTAACTTCAGGTAAATGACAAATCCACGTGTTGCACTAGTGCCAGGGGTTGCAGTGAATTCTTGGAAGGTCCGTTTCCGCATATTACTTTCTCACTCGCTTCTAAAAAAAGTTCCACCATGCAGATTTGTGATATTTTTGACTACATTGTTTTACCCCCGACATTTTGATTAACCGATGTACTTGTCACAGTGTCTGAAATATAGCTTTAATTTGTCATAGGAATCAAATGTAATCAAATCAAAAATGTTCTTTGATTTAATTTGCCTTTCTTTTTACTAGTCTTCTGCATTTCTTCCACCTCTCCAATACTAGGGAGATGATAACACTCGTTTAAAGGCAGAAGATGAGAGGGAGAATCCAGACCAATAGGGATTCATTGAACCAGTTGTTCATTGGGGTGTATGCAGAAATCAGACACAGATATTTCAAAACCTGGAGGAATAAAACCCAGACCAGCTAAACTCAAGGGGAAGATACCTCTGCAGGAGGTTTGGGAAATGTGTTGTTTGGTCATTTGGCTGATCCTGCCCTTACAGGTACCATTTTAATTGAGCGTAAAGATAAAGCCTGCCTCCGAGGGGATTTGAGGTCTTATTATACCCCGTCCTGACAGCACACAGAGCGATCTGTTTTCTTCTTCCTCAGTCAACAGTTTTCTTCAAGGTTCAAATCCTTGTTGGCCTTTTTAAAGTACAAAATTATAATTTCGCAGAGATCGATGTGCATTTTGAATGCTAATTGTGAGGTATTGATCTGTGTTCCATCTCTATGCACAGCTAAAGGTTTCATTAGTTTATTTATCCATTTTCCTCGTTATGGCTGAATTATCCACTTCCTCCTCTGCCAGATCCCATCACCCCCTGCCTAACCTCTTTCCTCCCCTCATCTGTTTACTCAGCCTTCTCGGCTGTGTGTAACTACCCCTTTCCCTCCCTCTCATCCCCCTCTTCCCGCTCTTACCGCTGCGTAGCTCTCGTAGACGTGGGTGTCTGTTTCAGATCCGGAGTCGATGAGGAGGGTGCGCTGGGCTGCCGTGTTGATCTTCTCTCTGCTCTCATACTTATTGGCGGTGCTTACAGTTGAATGACTACCCCTGCATGGAGACATTTGATTCTGTCATTTTCTTTAACTTTCTTGAATTATATCCAAACATTTGTACTACTTAATGATACCAGTGATGCGGTTACCCTTGGCTTTTCTGTTTATGTCTACGATGCTGTCGACTGGCAGCTTTAGACTATGCTCAGGAATTGTCAATGTAATACCCAGCTTTTCTCTTGTACGCCATACAAAGGTTTCGGGTACCTACTTACTGTATATTGTGAATGTGTTTGCTTTATTGTAACTCAAAGAACATTTCAAAATAAAGTATTTAAAAATAATAATAATAATAATAATACCAGGGATGCAAAACATTGAGCACACACAGCTCAATACTCTAAATCAGGGGTGGGGAACCTCCGGCCCTCGGGCGGCATACGGCCCGCGAGACCATTTGGTACGGCCCTCGAGGTAATTTATAAACACACGCAAAAAAGAAAATAATTCAAATTATCTAGACCGCAAAATAATTAAACAAGCCAGTACCTGTTTTTCCTGGCCAAGGTCAGGGTCCTTGAACACAACACGAGCCTAACGTGTCATCACGTGGTATATGTCTCGTCTGACACGGGTGTAGTTCTAACGGAGAGCACCAGAACACGGCTCCGGGCCGGTGTTATGCCGTAGGTTGAAGCCTTGCCGCGGATTGAAGCCCTGTTCGCGGGGACGCGCAAAGGTGACGTCATCGCCTGTATTGAGCGTTCGCCGTTTTTTCACCCTTTTCAAAGCTTTTTTCTCTCTTTTGAATGATATATCAGATTAAACAGCAAACGGCTGATTAAATAATGTGCAGACAATTGCGAGGAGGCTCGTTTTAAGGACACGTTTTTCAGATCTGTCACAATCTTCGTATTGGAATAAACTTCCGTTTTTGAGTGCAGTCCCACTCTGTTATATTCCTCCTTCCTACAGAACAGACAATGACAGGATAATATGTGATTTGTCAATAGTCCTATTTCTTAAAACCTTCTCTGTTGTTTAAGTGTCTGATAACCACGAATAGTAAGCAATGATATAACAGTAATGATATCACATGATCATGTCAGACACTGTGTTATTTTCAATCAAGCCTAAAAGATAATGTGTTCAAACTGGCTTCACTCACTTGAATTGCTCCTTTGAATATCATTTTTATATATCCCTACTCAACACATGTTTGTATTGTAATGCCACTCATATATTTGTTTTAATTGTATTTAAGGTGACATTGAATGCTTTGAAAGGTGCCCTAAAATAAAGTGTATTATTGGTGTCAATAGGGAAGATCTGCACTGTTCTCTACATAACATGTTCAGAGCAGGTATTTCTCCTGCCGGATTTGGAACCCCCCCCCTATATCTTTCTCCAGGATAGTCACAACTTCACCAAAATCACACTGGTGCTTGCTGTTCCCCTCTAGTTTATGCTCACAAAAGCATTTCACTCTGGGCCCAGCAGGTACAAAAACTAAAGTGGGGCTTCCATATCCGGCAGTGCAGTTGTTAGAGCTGCCGGATTTTGAAGCGCCCCCTGTAATTTTGGCCAGGATAGTCACAATGTCACCAAAATCACACTGGTGCTTGCTGTTCCCCTCTAGTAAAATGCTGGGCCCAGAGTAAAATGCTTTGGTGAGCACAAACTAGAGGGGAACAGCAAGCACCAGTGTGATTTTGGTGAGTCTGTGACTATCTAAGGGGCTTCCAAATCCGGCAGAGCAGACTTTCTATCCTGAGGAAGATTTTCTATTTGCTTGCAGTCCAAGTCATTTCTGCGTTTCTGTGTAATATCATAATAATAAAGTTATCCTTTTTCCTGGCAATGATAAATCCCTGTTTTTACAAGTTCAAGTGTTTTGAATTCTTTCAACAGTGCACACGTTCTGTATTACCACATGGACACAAAATAAAGGGACATTCTTTTAACCTCACCCAAACATATTTGTTCACATTTGTGGTATCTTCTCCATTTCTTCACTTTATTGCAATAGGTTTGTAAATTATAAATAATTAGACCAATACAGTATTTTTCGTTTGCAAACACACTAAAATTACACATAAAGCCACATTATTTAAAGTGACACTCAAAAAGCAAAACCTCAGCTCAAGTCTCCAAAAATCTAAACACATTTTCAGCTTTGCACTCAATTTTAAATTCAACAGGGCACTTTTGCAACACTGCACGCAGTTCTACATTTTCAAAACACTGCCATTAAAAATCAATAATCAAATACACATGCCAAATGACCATAAACACTGAACTGCTTTATTGACTCATCAATCAGGATGAAAGCACTGTAAAAAGACTGTGCATGCCTCTTCTACAGGCAGGGCCCAGAGTGAAATGCTTTTGTGAGCACAAACTAGAGGGGAACAGCAAGCACCAGTGTGACTTTGGTGAGTCTGTGACTATCCTGGAGAAAGATATAGGGGGGGGTTCCAAATCCGGCAGCACCAACACCTGATCTGCCGGATTTTGAAGCCCCTCTTTAGTTTTTCACCTGCAGGGCCCAGAGTGAAATGCTTTGGTGAGCACAAACTAGAGGAACATGCAGCACCAGTGTGATTTTGGTGAGTCTGTGACTATCCTGGCCAAAATTACAGGGGGCGCTTCAAAATCCAGCAGCTCTAACAACTGCACTGCCGGATATGGAAGCCCCTCTTTAGTTTTTGACTTGCTGGGCCCAGATTGAAATGCTTTTGTGAGCATAAACTAGAGGGGAACAGCAAGCACCAGTGTGATTTTGGTGAAGTTGTGACTATCCTGGAGAAAGATATAGGAGGGGTTCCAAATCCGGCAGGAGAAATACCTGCTCTGAACATGTTATGTAGAGAACAGTGCAGATCTTCCCTATTGACACCAATAATACACTTTATTTTAGGGCACCTTTCAAAGCATTCAATGTCACCTTAAATACAATTAAAACAAATATATGAGTGGCATTACAATACAAACATGTGTTGAGTAGGGATATATAAAAATGATATTCAAAGGAGCAATTCAAGTGAGTGAAGCCAGTTTGAACACATGATCTTTTAGGCTTGATTGAAAATAACACAGTGTCTGACATGATCATGTGATATAATTACTGTTATATCATTGCTTACTATTCGTGGTTATCAGACACATAAACAACAGAGAAGGTTTTAAGAAATAGGACTATTGACAAATCACATATTATCCTGTCATTGTCTGTTCTGTAGGAAGGAGGAATATAACAGAGTGGGACTATACACTCAAAAACGGAAGTTTATTCCAATACGAAGATTGTGACAGATCTGAAAAACGTGTCCTTAAAACGAGCCTCCTCGCAATTGTATGCACATTATTTATTCAGCCGTTTGCTGTTTAATCTGATATATCATTCAAAAGAGAGAAAAAAGCTTTGAAAAGGGTGAAAAAACGGCGAACGCTCAATACAGGCGATGACGTCACCTTTGCGCGTCCCCGCGAACAGGGCTTCAATCCGCGGCAAGGCTTCAACCTACAGCATAACACCGGGACTTCACAAATTGCAATACCCATAAGGAGCCGTACACATGCCGCAGTTTTTGCGTGGCTGTGTCTTTAGTTGTGAGCCCAGTGGCGATCTGTTCATCTGTCATACTGATCAGACAGTCAATAACTTTGCTGTTATTAGCATCTGGTTAGCTAGCTATGCTAACGAATATAAGAAGCTTTTTCTACAACCAGTGAGGTAAAGGCACATCTTTATATGATCATTATAGTTATAAAAAAAGAAGAGAATAAATTAAACAGGAATAAAATACTAATATGACAGTAAAAAAAAGTTATTATTAATAAACAAGAATACAGTTTGAAAGGGGAGTGATTTGTAAAATATCCATAAAGAAAAAAATCTGCTTACAATTGTTTCATATGGCTGTTGAGAGATGTTTCCATAGATCTATTAATTTTACTCTCAAAGTGCACCAGATTGATGCTTTTAACTTCAACATTTAAAAAATATCTTCCTGGTGGTGCATGCCCCCAAACCCCCCTAGATGAGGTTAGATCCCCCCCCCCCCCACTTAAATCATGTCCACATGGATATGCAACTAAATACATTTGCACACATCTTGTGTCCATATACTTCTGTTTTGGTGGTCATGCCACGGTGCATGCATGCGCGGGTCATGGTCAAATATCTGGATTAAGAGGTTGCTTTTTCTTTGCACAGCATGAAAGAAAGGCGAAATGAATGGGCTGTGATTTTAGTTTTTTAAGCAGACGTTGAGTTCAATAATTTGTACGGCCCTCGGAGGATGTTGTAAAAATTGAAATGGCCCTTGAGAAGAAAAAGGTTCCCCACCCCTGCTCTAAATGCACGTGTTCTTAATAACAATGTATATTGACAGAGGCTTGTTGTTTTGCCAGCCTGGCTGTTTTAGTAGCTGGGTCAGCCAATAAAAAAGGCCTGAGACTTGGAAGTGGATTGGATGTGTGTCTCTTTAATCCCACTTCTGATTGCCTTAACTTACCCCATCTCTTTATTCTTCTTTCCATCAAGCACACTGCCTCCTCTACCCCCTGCAGGGGGAATGGAAACAGGAGGGAAAAGGCTTAGTGTTAGGAAATCAGAACTCGAAGAGAGGAGCATCATCTCATAAACACTCAAATTGATCAGAGCAATAAAAGGGCCAGAGAGTGAGAGTGAATGAAAGACAAGTGAGGTGAGAAAATCTATGTGGAAAAAGCAAAGGGCAGAGGAAGGTGAGGAAAGAAAAATACAACACACAGAGGGGAGATCCTGACAGTTAGACTGAAGAACAAATAGAAAGAGACAGAAGGAAAGATAGAGGGAGGACATAATGCTAGCAAATGAGATAAAAGATATGGGCGAAATGCAGAAGTGACAGCTTTGAAGGATGAATGTGGCATGAGGTAGAGGCTGAGAGAATAAGCAGAAGAAGAGGAGACAGGATAGACGGCTGGAAAAAGGGACATGGAGAGATGAATAGAGAGTGAGAGGCTGAGCTGACAATTGCATCATGGTTCTGGAGTAATTGCTTTAGAGTTCTGTTGAGGATTCGGACATTATAATGCCAGAAAGGGATAGAGGAAATACTTTCACATCCATAGATCAAAAGATCATTATGGTTACCTGTCTGGCCTCGCCTCCTTTTCCACCTCAAACCAAAGAAGCAACCCACTGAATTAAACACCAGCAGGACTCCAAACACCACGGTGAACACTACTGTCAAGTAGGCGGGCAGGCCACTTGCACCTAGTCGACAAAACATTACAAAGATTAGCTAATAATAAAAGTTAAAGAAGAAGTATGATAATTAAGAAGCGGTACAGACGCTCTGTTATTTATCTTAATTTAAAGAATAGCAGAGGGGAAAAGTATGGGTGGGCGCCATGACAACTGCTTCTCTGCGTAAAGCAAACATTAACAGCCTTGGAGGTGCATACATTAACATGATTTAGCCAAATGAAGCTAGCTGCTGTGCAAACAGCAATTTCCAATTGCCCTAAAGAGCTTTTTTCAGGGAGAAAAAAAGACTTACTCTGTGAGACTGAGTCATCATCTGTTGGGACTCCTTCTGGCCTCTCTGTAGAGGAATACATGTCAAACAGAAACTTATTAGCCAAACATCTAAGAATTATACGTTTATATTGAATTTATATTAGATCATCAGACGGTTGTATGGTGGAGTCCTTTCAGTGTCAAGCTGGGGTTACTCCAAACTGACCCTTGGTGGTGATGGTCAGTATTGCATTATTGTCAGCATAGGCACTCTCTCCCATTGCATTGAGGGCATTGACAGAGAAGTTGTAGGTGGTGACAGGCTGCAGGCCGGTGACCGTGAAGGTTGTAGCTCCGGGAGGAAAGACATCAACATACAGAAAACTGTCTGACTGATCCCAACGGTATCTGTCAACCAAAAGCTTCCGTCAGGTATGGGTATTTTATTTTGAAATGGGGCTCATTCTTAAACCAACATCCCTTTTTTGACATCTCACCTTACACGAAACCTTTGCCGCAGACCACCGTTGAAGCTGGGGATCCAATCAAGAGTGACCGAGTCGTGGGAGACGTCGACTTGGCCAAACGACGAAGGAGGATCTGGGTGATCTGAGGGCAGAAGAAAAGAAGAGATGTTTAAAAAGAAAAAAAGAGTATGCAGTCTCGATGTTGTGTGAATACTGAAGAGCAGAACGCCTTCACTTGACGGGTGGCTATTTGAAAAGGCTTTAGGTCCTAAGAAATGGTGAGGTGTGCCATGAGACAGTCAAGTGATTATATCTGCAGACTCTGAAATAACACCTGAGGCCCTGCTGGCCTGTACGAGCGTGCATCCCCGCTTACTGCTTCAGAGCGATTAAAAATAGATAAATGGATATCACTGAAAGAAATTGCAGAGCTGATGTTCTTCTCGATAGAAATAAAAAAGGAAGAAAAACGATTTGAGATATTCTCACTTATCCTGTTGAATTGATTTTAAAAACCATCATTATTCTTATCATTAGATACAGTATGTGTACCAAGAAGCATTTATAACAGTTTACCTCTGAGCAAAATGTTAAGTGACACTTTAAGAAAATGTAATGAAGGAAACAGGTAAAAAAAAACACTGACGATAAATAACTAAAAACAATATAAATCAAGGAGGAGAGAGAAATGTAATGCTCGGAACATGGTCTTTTCTTATTGGCTGTTTATTCCAAAGGCTTTGAAAGAACATATTTTTCACGGTGCACCGCTTCATCGGCTTTTTACTTGCTGTATGAATGATCAGAAGACATGGACAGAGCTATGGCCCATCCCTTATAGAGCAAAGTGGCTGATTTGTCCAATTTATCCAACCAGAGTCACGCACCGACTGACGAAGCCTCTTGATTATTATCAGCATCGTTAACACAGATCAAAAGAGGCTAGCCAGGCCTTCAGTCTGACATGAGGCACTGCTTCAGTCAGGGTAGTGAAGGGAAAGCAGATTATTTTGCATTTGGAGCATGGAAAGAAAGGAGGGTGGTTTTAGGGGCAGAAGTAGAGATAGTCAAGGAGAGAAGGAGGATACATATAGCAGCAACATAAGAGGGGGATGCTCTACTCCTCTCTGGCTCCAGGCTGCAGCCCAGTTTGTGGAATAAATAATTCCCACTATCAGTTCTACTCATAAGATTCCAGGGCGAAGAGGTCAGCCTTATTTGGATCTCGTCTCGTTCAAATCCAAAAAGCGCCAGGCTAAGAAGAAAAAAACACCTCTCTTTTCCTCTCGAGCTGTAACATGATAATCAAGCATATAAAATGTATTATCACTGCGTCAGATGAATTATAAATATGTGCAGCACTAACAAAATGACTGGGGAAAAACAGGCCAATATTGGATTGTATTTTATGGTTTTCAAAGTAAACATTAAATGTGTCCAATGGTGGCTTTGGGCCTTCGCTGAGAGCAGGACTGAGTTGATAGTGGCGGTGGTGCAAAGATACTCTGGTAGCTAAAAAGTCTAAGCACGCCGGGAGAGCAAAGCATATCGCTGCAGCATTATCAGAGGGGGAAGTGAAGTACTGCTATAGGCTGAATGATAAGGGAGAGATAGAGCAACGGAATAAGTTCCTTAAAGGGCTGAAACTCAGGAGCAACAGCGCTCTCCAGTTTACAGAATTACGCATGTTCAATGGCCCTCCCACACTATTGTAATGATGCTGGAAAAGGCTGATAAACCTTGGACAAAGCAGCACAGACGCGATTATTTTTGAGATGCTGCCAAATTAGAACCAAAGGAATAGTTTGTGCCCCACTGCCAAGTACGTGATATGCATAATCCCTACATGTTGTGGGCTCTTAACACTGACTTTGATCATTTGCCATTTATTTAAAGATGCATAAGGTCATTTTAACCACTAGGGAGCAAAAGGATTTAACTAAACTGATAGCACCGCAGGTCTGACATCAAATACTGAATACTTACACATCTGCACTAACAAGATACACTCGCTTTGTAGCTCTGGTAGTTTTATCTTGGTCTTTTGATCACTAGATGGTTGTGTTCTCAATCTACCTTGATTCGGACTCCCGGTGGAAAGAGTGTGTTAAGAGCATAAAGACTGTGTAGCATATGTGCAGGCCAGCTCAAAAACAATGAGCCGAAATTAGCAACACGCAGCTAGAGTTTTGTGGAACTGCGCTGTTGGGTGTTCATTCTCAGTGGTTTGTGTTAACTACTGACCCACCACAACACAATCATTACATCCAAAATAATAATTTTCACTTTTAGCAAATTGTTGCTGTTAGGGAAAAGTAATTGGATCATGTTTTACACCATGAAATCTCCTCCATCTGAAGCCAAATAAACCTTTCAAAGACCCATTGAATTCTTATATAAAAAATGAATTGCTGCAACGCTGAGACCGGGTTCTTATTCGTACCTCATGAAAAGTTGACGGTTTGAAGGTACATGTTTTTTTTTTTACACAGACCAACATTAGTCACCCAGAGACACACAACCCCCAACTGTACTCAGATGCAGTACTTGTGCTGACGAGCTGGATGTGGAGCGTGTCTTCCCCGAGCGAGTTGCGAGCCGTGCAGCTGAAGACAGCGTAGTCCAGATTCGTGCTCACATTTACAACTCTAACCGTGCTGGTGTGAAAGGAGCCCTCCCTCACGGTCCGCTCCTCATACCTGCAGCATGCATGTACGCACACAGATACACACACAGAAAGAGAGATAAATCCCGAGCAGGCAGACAGCAGGGATTGTGATGTCCTGCAGATCGCACTAAGTCACCCAATTTCACACATCAAAGAAAGCATTAAACAGGTATTTGCATAGTGAAAAGCAAAGTATAAAATGCTCTAAATCTGGATTTAGTGGTGAAATAGCAAGGAATAGCTAAAGAATATATTATATTTGGGTAAAACGTATTCTAATTGTGAGGATTCATCAGTATGAACCAAATGCTGACAGTAGCACTGAAGCTAACAGTGTGAGGAAGAGTAAGAAAAGAATAATGCATGCTCTCTGACCTCGGGTTGGCAAAGTCCATGCGAACACCTTTTTTTTCCCAAGTGAAGTCGACGCGAGGAATCCCTTCGGCCTGACACACTACCTCAGCCGTTGTGGTGCCATCGCCTCTACTTGCTACCTTCGTCCATTGGGCTCCTTTCTGAAGATAAGGTTTGACTACACAAGACAAGATGGGCATGGAGGAAGGAGTACAGGTGTATTTGTTTTGTATAATAAAAAACATGTACATATTGAGTATTCATGTATGTTTTATTTATTTAATGTTAATGTTACACTGAGAATAAATACTAAAAACTTACATTGTACTACCAGCTGCACTTCCACAGTGGCGGGGGGTGCTATGTCGTTATTGGCTGAGCACTGGTAAAGACCAGCATGAGCACGAGTCACATCATGAATGGTCAGAAGGCCAGATTCATCTTGCTGGTTCTCCTCTCCCATCTCCACCTCCCCTTCTCCCTGCGGAAGACAAAGTGAGGGCGAATAAGCGGCAGACAGCAGCTATCCCTCAAAACACACTCCCCCTGCTCCTGGGTGAGGCCCGAGTAGGGGGGAGGGCAGTGCGAGTATTAAGGCAGGTAGACAGCGAGGGAGAGTTGTGCGGGAAACCATCAGGGCTTGAGGTCGGGATGGAAAGGGCGTCGGGGGAACGAGCTCTGAGGACAGAGAAAGATCATGCTAAGGGTTGGAGAGCCACAGGGAAAGAGAAACGGGAGGGGCTGGGCAGGTTGAAAGCGGGACACACACTATTGCCAGGGGGTGGGTTAAACCGGAGAAGGCATCAGTAGATACAGAGACCACGCCACATTGACGAATGTGCCCTTTAGTCTCGCAGCGGTAATGAAAGCTATTTTTCTGGATTTGGACCGTGTGTGGAGCAGGAAGAGGTGGGGCGGAGGGATAGTTAGAGTCAGTGAAATATGGTGCATCTGTGCATTTAGAAAGGCCAGTGATAAACGGTAAGAATGGATAAAATAATAGAAAGCAAGCCAGATAAAGGAAATATGATACAGGGGATGATTCTGTGTGTGTATCCCGAGCTCTTACCAGCCATTTCCAAGTGAACATGCCAGATATAATGGGGTTGGCATCTGCCACACATATTAGGTCTGCTGTTTCCCCCAGGTTCACTAACACAGGGTCTTTCTCTGCCTTGACACTGGGAGCATCTGAGAGTAAGACAAAAAGGACAAGGCTAAGGCAGGAGCAAAGGTTAACATGCCAACTTGGGAAAAATCATTTGTCAACCCGTTAAGCAAGCATGCCACATTGCTATAATTACCCTGGCACTCGTTTGCCTTTGAAATTGTTCATAACCTCGTCTTAATTCGGCTTTGCGTTTGAGATGGAATGCTTTTAACGCTTCTTGTGTTGGAGGATTACAGATGCTTATGCAACCTAACAGAGAATTGTGCCTTTGACCCAGAAGGCCCTCCACTGACAGCTGATTCCCACATGACAGACTGACCGGCTCCCCTCTTTTCATTAAGTCTTCTTTCCTTCCCGACTGCTTGGCTCCTCTAGTCGTTATTTGCCCCTACCGTATACACTTTTTATACTTCCCATGAGTGCCATGTACTTGCAACAATAAGGCCATTAGTTCCTCCTTGTCTAAACCTATGTTCGCACTTGAAGAACAGTGGTGAGAAACACCAGAGACACAGACCTCTGGGTTGGTGGGATCCACCCGTGTTGGCCTGCTAACCAAGACCGACATAGTTAAGTGGGCTACACCGCCACCCTTAAAAGCTACTACAATCATCCATGCATAATGAATATCTACAACTGTGAAGCCCAGTCAGTTCAGGCCGGCAGAATCCATTAGGTGTGTACCATGGGCTTTGGTGAAACAGGCAGACCTACATTTTCAACACTTCCATTATTAAATCATCAGTATCGGGGCAGAGGGTTGGAGCTAGAGGCGAGGCCCCGGGCAGCAGTGGAGAAGCACGGCCTTGCATTGAGGCCTAATGAATGTGTCATGCTTGCTGGGTAGGGGCTGAAAGCCAATGGTGATGTCTATGTGCGTCTGTGTGTGCGTCTGTGTGTGTGTGTGTGGATGCTTTGGCGGTTCGGACTTTGGAGTTCAAAACATGTGAGAAGTCTACAGATTTAAATCCAAAGTACAAAATGGACCGTTATTTGTTATTTCTGCTCACTCTCCGTACTTTAAGGACGAAGCCTATTCAGCTTGACTTGTGCCCACCATGGACCCAAGGTTTACCTGCAAATCTGGCATGCTAGTAAAAGAGTGATCAATTATGAATGGATAGCAGGAAGGTGAAGAAATAATGATTTTTATACTCCCTTCCTTTTCTCTCATTTCCATCCCTTTTGCTCATTTTCCTGTGTTAAGTGCTCTAGAGAACTTTAATTAAGCTTTAGGAATTACTGTAAATAATTTAACTTGCTTTCAAAAGTAAATGAAAAATGATCCGAACACCTGGGGAAAAAATGCAGTCATGTTGCCACTGCCACCAAAGTCCTTTTATAATTCAGGACTCCCACAGCTTCTTAAGCATCAGATTCAAAGACTTTTAAAGCCCCATTTTCCTTAGATTTAAGGACTCAACAAGACTCTAAGAAGGTGCTGTTTGAAACAATGACGCAACTGCAGTAGATACACACTCACATATCAGAACATATATTATGTATTTGTTAAAGAAATTAAAAGAGCTTCAATTTCTATTCTTGCAAAAAATAAAAATAAATTGAAGCACTTTTATGACCTCTTTCCACCTGTATCAATTCACTTTCAAGAATTTCAAAGACATGTGGGATCCATGTTGATATGTGAATTGGTGTTTTGGTTACATGCTCATCTGTGTGTGCAGTTCTTACACAGAACATCCAGCATGATGGAGGCTTGGTTGACGCCCTCCTCGTTTGTACACTTGACCGTGTAAACTCCAGCATGTTTCCTTGTCACGTTCTTGATCTCCAGGGAGTTGTCGTCTGACCAGTGGAAGTGCAGACTCCCCTCTTTACAAAAACATTGAAACGCACACACGCAGAGACATGCAAAACAACGGTAAATTAAGTATTCATTACACTCTCATCAAGCGCGTGTCCTCTGGCCACTGGTCTCTAAGTGACATCTAATCCTGCATTATTGATTGGCCTGGCAGGATTCCCACATCAAGCCGACAATGGGCTGTGTGAGAGACACCCCCTCCACCGCAGCAGTCTAAATGCAATAGGTGGGTTTCCACATTCAGGATAGATTTTATGGTGGGGGCTGCGTATGATGGAGCTAACAGAGTTACCAGAGAAAGAGAGTGGGTGCAGCAGGGCCCTGATGACACCGGCCTGGAGGAGAAGCCAGGTTTAGAATCGTTGTGTTGTATTCAGGGAGACAGCAAACCTCATTTAGACTGCATACATTAGAGCCATAATGAGAATCACATTTGGCAGGGTCCCATGCTGGCTAACCTGCCATGTTTTATTCAGACCCTGAATGGCAGAGTGCTTACTTGCTGGCTCAGCTCAACTAGGACCTGGTCTATAGAGCCATCACACAGCCTCGGATCACCTTTGACCAGCGTCTCCCTGCGGTGCAGCCAAATGCAGGAGACCTCCTCCGGGTTAGCTGAGAGCAGCAATGGGATGACTGCCATGTCATCCTCCAACACCTGAATCTGCGCCGGCTGCTTAGGGCTGAATTCTGGTGGGTCTGACACAGAAACAGCACAGAAATTCAGCTACGCAAGTTGGATTTACACCAAAAATACATGAGCAAAGGCATGAGTACAAACTCTAGCATAGAGAATGACACGAACCAGCAAAGGAGAACACAAAGACACAGAAAACATGTTGAGCGTGGAAGCAGGAAGAGACACTAATGAGAGTCAAACCAGTAAAAAAAAGTCGACATCCCACCAATAAATCCAGATCTAACCAACTTTGCATACTTATATGGCGGGGGAGAAAAGGCAACGCGGGAGGGAGAGGGACAGGCATTAAAATGACGAGTGACAGTACTGTTGTCCAACTGCAGCTCCGCACAAACACACAGTGACATTCCTTCATGCTCATACACAGTAGCAAGCTTTGAAGCAGAGGCTGGCTGCTGCCTGTGAAATGGCATCAAAGACAAACATGGCCATGCAGCAAAGCAAATGCACAATTAGGACACACTGCCGCAGAGCTCAACAGACCCACAAATCCCAACAAAGGTTTTCCCAGCAAACAAAAAACACATGCACATACTACTGTATATGCTGACATTTCTGTGCAAAAGTACATCAGTAAAGCAGCTTACATCTGCACCATCATAAATCACCATTATGCATCGTTTAAGAAAACACATCTCATGGTCACTCGCCAGGAAAGAAGGGAACAAACAAACCAAGAAAGAAATCAAAGATGTTCTCTCTACTTACAATGCACATTTAGTTTAAAGAATGTGTTAGCCCCCTCAGCTAGCTCCGGGGTGTAGGCCTGGCAGATGACACGCTTGTTGTGATGCAGTGAACTCAGATTTAGGGATAGGGAACTCTGCACTGACACACCACCAAAATGAGCCCTCTTGGGGGGCTGCTCCACTCCCTGTAACCTACTGTAGGACACAAATTGCATCCAGCCAATCAAATCAACAGGAGGGTTCAGGTTCATCAAACAATCACAATTGGAGCACCATTTTACAGTCATTCAGCACTAATATGTATGCCGCTATCACAGTGTCAGTGGGACTCGTGCAGGAAGCGATATCATTCAGATTTTCTCTTACTTTTGTTCATATCCACATGTTTTTCTTATTTTGTCAGTACCCATTGATTTCTGGGAATCAACCATGTTAAACACTTTTTGCTTTTTCTCTAAGGTAAAAGTTTTACCAAGTTTAGAACAAATATTTGTTTATCCATCGCAAAACTAATCTGAATTTCAGGAACGTAAAATGCATGAATATCATTCTATGAAATGTAGATTGTTGTATGTTTTAAAATGATCATAGGATTCTTTTATTTTTGGGCTCAAGGAATACAATTTGTCCATTGGTCCTAATAAAGCTTTTGAAACCCTTAATGGATTAAAGTGTGTGTTCACCTTCTGAATGACTTACACACTGCTATTCAATGATTTTTGACTTTCCTGTAACACAAGTTCTGATATTCTGGAAAATAAAATGTTTCCTTTATTTAGCTTTATTTGCTCTGCTAAACAAAGCTCCTAGTAATAGGATGGGTGTGTGTGTGTGTGTGTGTGTGTGTGTGTGTGTGTGTGTGTGTGTGTGTGTGTGTGTGTGTGTGTGGTGTGTGTGTGTGCGTGTGTGCGTGCGTGCGTGTGTTGCTTGCATGCACATGTGTGACCATTAAAGAGGGTTTCATCCTCCAATTCTATTTAACAGTACCACCATTTCAATACTGCTGACGTTTTGGTGGCATCCATTACATTCTTAAGCATATGCCAGAGTGTTTGCACATGGCACAACACCTGCTATGGTTCAGAGTGTTTGGTGTATCAGGAGAAGATAATTATTCTCTTAAATTAATACAAATTCCAGGGAAATTCAAAATGATGTGACTGCATGAGGCCCACTGTCTGCTATGGGCCTTTCCACCAATGGCCTTGCCAAACCTGACTGTGTCCAAACTCCAGCGGATGCTGGGCTGGGGGTTGCTGCTTCCAGACTGGCACTCCAGAGTTAGCATCTGTCCCTGACGCTGTACCTCCTGTTTGGTTGAGATCTTCATACTTACTGCCAGGACTGGAGCACCATAGAGTAAACAAAAAAGACACAATCTTAACTCACTGACAATTTCAAGATGAGAAGAGTACAAAATGCTGGAAATCTGTGTGAAATGGTTTACTAAATCCATTCATCTGATATTGTGCTTTTCTCTCAGCTGAGTGAGACTGAAATAAAGCTCAGCATGTGTTATTATGTCAGAGCTAGGGCTGAACGATTAATCGATTTTGAATCGAAATCGTGATTTGAAATGATGCGATTATCAAATCGCAAAGCCTGCGATTTTTTTTTACATTTTTATTTTTTCAACAATTTTTTATTTTATTTTATTGTGTGTCAGACATCCACACCAATCAGAAGTGCTGTGCTCCACATGTACCAGCCATTGTTAATCAATCAGAAGTAGCCCATGATAGAAGGTGAGACAGATTGATCCAATCACCTGCCAAGTGCTTCTGAAAGTGCCTGCCCTTTCCCAATGGCTTCCAATGGAGCTTTCCTAGATGGTTTCTGAGTCAGGTTAGTACTGATCCATCACGTGTTTCTATTACAGGGTGAATCTTAAACTGAAGCTTGACTTTAAAGCAACCCAACGGAAGTTTCATGTAAGTTTAGTTCTTTCACTCGTAGCTCGGGCTGCGAGGGTGCTAGAGACGGGAGCACGTTGATACGACCTTCCTAGCCGGAGTTATGGCCGCATTTTACAATAAACTTCCGTTGGGTAGCTTAAAAACAAATATCGCAATTCGAATCACAATCGCAATATTTGTCAGAAAAATCGCAATTAGCTTTTTTCCCAAAATCGTGCAGCCCTAGTCAGAGCTCCAGTCTAACTCACAGTGAACCTTGAGCTTAGTCTGGGCAGAAATGGTTTTCTTTGCTTTATTTGTGGCATCACAGCGGAAGGTGGCCATGTTGTCACTTGGCGTCAGAACCAGGATCAGTTCTCGAGCCACACCCCGCTCAAAGGACGTACGCCTCAGTGCATCGTGGACTGCCCGTCCATTCTACAACAGGAAGGGAGGAAATTACACAGGGAAGAGTGTGTACTTCAGACATACGCTCCAATACCCACATACAGTACACACTCACCTTGAACCAAGTCAGAGTCGCAGTGGGATTGCCTCCAGTGGAGAAGCAGACGAGACGGACCGTGGTGCCTGAACGAAGAGGGACATCTGGAGGGGGGGTATCGAGCCATACATTTTGAGGGGGGTCTGATATAAAAAGAAACAAAAAAGATGTCCTTTAGTAGAGTATTTTGAGCAAATTGACATACGTGTTTATTTTGAACAGTCCAGTAGCTTCACTTAGAGACCATCACTCAAGGCCAGTTATATAGAACATTTTCGATTTGAAAAGGGGAACAGAAAACACTTCCATTAACACAAATGTGAAAAGACAGTCCTAAAAAAACAATTGCACACTATGTGTAGAGAATTCAATTAGTGAGAGCAATTTCTTTCCTTTTTTTGCATTTCTTGACATTCAGAGCTGTAATTGAAATCTAGCCCTCCTGAACTATGATGGATGTGCATTTGATAACATGTTAAAAGTAGTACAAAATAAAATGTCATTCTCCTCGCATAGGTATTTTATGCTAGTTAATTCTACAACAATAGAAGAATAGAAAGGCTTACTGACAGTAGACCTTGAGTATGTCGAACTGGGTCTTGGAGAAGTGTGTCCCCTTGTTGAAAGCCTCACAGGTGAGTTTCAGTCCGTCGTCCTCCCGGGAGACCCTGTGGGTCATGTTGGACATGGCTGTCATCCCACCATTGTCTCCCTGCAGACATAATGCACACATGACAGTTCAGTCAGGGGACAGACAGCCTTGGTTTCAGGGGCATTCTCAGTCTTAGGAGAGAGGGAGAAAGAAATCAGTGAGAATAACAACCCACATTGGTTTGTCTTTGTGAATACAGATGGCAAATTAGCGGCTGTAATGACTGATGTTGTGCATGGTCTTTGATAAATAGCATATTCATCTGACTCTTCTGCTTTGCACGCTATTTTAAATTGAGCAAAGCATCATTTCTCACCTGCCTGATAGTGGTCATGCCTGTGCAGCACATCTGGTTATTAAAGCCATTATTGTGGTGATTACTGTAAAAGCCCCAGTCAGAAAGACTAACAAAGACACTGGACAGGAGCGTCAGTCTTCATTAACCTCACACTGTTTCAAATGCATTAAAGCTCACACACAGCACACTGAGTGCCTTGTGTAAGATCAGATGAAAATGCTGCTGCCAGATGAATAAAGAGCTTGTTTAATAACACTCATCTTCCGTGTCAGCTTTTATTCACTTTGATCTTATTAACATACACAAAAGAGAGGAGCAGCAGAATACTCTTCTTAGAACCACCTGCTGATTCATTTGCAGTCTAGTTCTATTCAGACACACTGCTCATGGTCATAGCGTTTCCTTTCATCTAAAAGGTTCACAGGAGGAGGTCACATTTTAGAGGATTCTTTTTTAATTCAATGGGAGGCCTTTTAAACGTTTTTTCTATTACCCTCAAGGCACATTTAAGGGGGCAAGGCGTTTGCCCTTTATCTTTGAAGGCTTGTGTTCACCAAAAAGACACAATAACATGCCCTACTGCAGTATTCGCTTTAAAACAACAAGCATGATCATTCATTTAAAATGTGTGTACACTATCTCTTGCCAACATAATTGTTTCTACTTGCTTAGACTACAACCTTGTGTGCTGTGTAGTCCCACCTCTTCCATAGCTTCTCCGGATGTGTTGAGCTCCTTGTAGCCCAGCCACCAGCGGATCTGGACAGGTGGATTACTGGAGGTGGCGTAGCAGCCCATATTTATGTCCTGTCCCTCGATGGCCGTGAACGACCCCAAAAGTGTCACCTCTGCCGGCTCAACTGTTGCACACGCACACACAGACAGGCAGGCATACAAAAACAAGTTGGTAGAAATATCGGCCATGAAATAGTACATTCAACAGCTACCTTTTCTGATCACAGTGGCAGCGCACCTATTTTGGGATATGAAACATAGAGCTGCATCAAGGGTGAGAAGGAAAATCACTTTGAGTGGCAACTTGTTTTCTCAGGAGGTTTTCACTGTTGTTTTTAAAGTCTGCTTCGTTTTAACCACAGGGGGAGACGGGGGTACAATAGCTGCAGGCAAAGCGATGCAGCTGCATAAAGCCTTCCGGGGAATACAAAGACTGGGGACTGAGCTGGCAGACATGGGGAAGGAGGGGTCATGTATGTAAATCTTAATACTTATTTGTGTCTTTCCCACATGAGACATAGACCGGGACGCCTGTGTGAATGCCACACACAAAGAATGTTGGAATTAAGCAGGAGCCGTGAGGTAAAAGAGGCATATTCATATTACACCAGTGAGACGTACTCTGTGCCCCCCAGCCTCTGCCAGTGCCTACAGCGCAGTCAGCAGCTCATTTTCAACATCCATGAATGGATGACTGTGAGGCATGGCACCGGGGTCTGTTGGGGGCTTTGTTAGGAAAGGAGGGGCAGTGGAATAACTTCAGCCACCCTTACATAGAATAAGCAGGAGATTTCTGCATGGACCGTTTCTAATTCAAAGCATATTTAAATAAAATAGGTGCATCAATCACATTTAAAGCCCGGACTTACATAGTCTGGCTGTGTAGTGGTAATCAGGCTATTGTTAGACTCAATGCACTTAGGCTGCTGAATATTAATTCTGTATTTGTTTTATTGTTGCTGAAACAAACATTTTAAATTCAAAGAGAAATGTATAATAATCTATTAAACATGGGCGTTACTATCGCACAAAGTGTAGGCTATACTGCCTCAGGATTGTGCATTGAAGCAAATCAGCTAAATTATTGTAGCGGCTATGAAAGAGCGTGCTGTGATACTAATCTGAAGGCAGTGGGAAATATGGGCCACGGCCATAATAACCATTAGTTTCATTAATGATATTAGCATTAGAATTTATGCTGGGACAGCAATATAATTGTTTTTTGAGGTAAGACTCTTATTATATTGCTCAGCCTTTTGTCCATATCCTAAATAATCCATTGCTGCTCGTCTTGCCAGGGCTTTGAGTGTGTGTGTGTGTGTGTGTGTGTGTGTGTGTGTGTGTGTGTGTGTGTGTGTGTGTGTGTGTGTGTGTGTGTGTGTGTGTGTGTGTGTGTGTGTGTTCCAGCACTGTGCACTGTAATAAGCATTACTTTCACTCACAGAACACAGTGATTTTGCGGCTAACAGAAAGAGGTGACGAAGACACCATATTGACGCTTTCACAGCACAACACTGCCTGGTTGTCTGTGGGATGGATTCTCATGAAGAGGATACTGCTGGACTTCCGCGCCACAACGTCCTCTTCCCACGTTGTTGAGAGAACTTCTTCATTCTGAAACACAGACACAAAAACATCAAGAATATGTTTCGAAAATTAGCACAGTCCCATATGGCGTACTAAATAAAGTACAGAAGCTTCTAACAAAAGGATGCTTACACTGCAAGTTGAATAAAAAAGCTAATGTTGCCAGTGTGACAGTGTGTTCCAGAGCCTGCTTAACAGATGGTGCTGAAGATTTACCTTGGTCCATTGGAGAGTGGCTAGGGGGTTTCCACCATGAGACACACACTCCAACACGAGCGTTCTTCCCTCTTTGACTTCCTCTCTCTCTAGACCCAAAATAACTGGAGGCTGAGGTGGGTCTGCCAAGAAATGAGAGACACAAATAATTTGGCCTTTACAAAGGGGACTTACATAAATGACGGTAGAAAGCAGAAGAAAAAGAGGGTGAGAGATGAGAAAGAATGTAGTAGCTTGGCAAAATGGGGATGGAATGACCATCAAGAGAATAACATAAAAAAGAAACTGCACTGCGATGAGAACACTCTTGGCAATTGATAGGGAGCATCCGTATTTGTTGAGACAGGGCCAATAAATTGGGCACAATCAACATGACTGTGGGATAAGAGGTCCAGATCTGATGAAAGCATTAAGTATTAAGGGAGCAGTGAGCTGGATCCAGTCCATAAAGATAACAGATGTTCAAACAGTAATAAGGCAACGTGAAATATGAATAAATTAGAGCCCCCTTGAATAAAATATAGGCAGTAAATAGGAGAGGACGGGTCTTTGTTATTGCTGCAATCAGTTTCAGAGAGCAGGCTGCGGACTCTGGGCCAGTGTGACAAATTGCCACCTTGCTAACAATCTGGTTGGCTGAAAATGGCCACCGCGCTGGCTTTGATGGGCTGGCATGCTGAGTAAGACTGCAGCGGTGGTCCCGAGTTCTGCAACATTAGCACCGTGCCTATGTTGTTTAATACAGAGCAGGAGACGGAGAGGCGGGAGGACTGCTCACGGTTATTGGTGGTTGTTGAACCAGCAGCAGCTGTTTCTAATGTGGAAGAGTATAGATAGAGACAACATTACGTTTTCTAGTCAGCCTGTGGATAATACGGCAGCTGAGCTAGTGAGCGCTCACTGCTAAAGGTGTCAGCAGCCCTGCTCTACTTTAATCAACAACATGATTTAGGCAAGGAGAAGCAGGTGGGAAAACTCTCGGGCCTAAATAATCAATTACTTCAACTGATCAACAGAGTAGAAAATACTAAACCAACTGTAGTAAACATTAGCTGCCATGTCACACTGTTTGTGTGTTGCCTCTACAAATAAGAGGAACAAGAAATACAATGAGAGCCAGAGACAGCATATGTGTCAACTCACCTTCGTGTGCTGCAGTAACAATTGTTATTATATAATGTCACGTGGTTTGTGATAATAGCATAAAAGAGAAAAGCAACAGAAACGGCCTCCCCTCCTGCCTCAGTGGATTCTAAATGTAATTTAAGCTGATGAGCACAAAAGTTTGCTAGGTTAGTTTTGTAGGATTCATTATCATTAACTGTGGTGGCCTCAGCATCCCATATTAGTTCATATTACTTTATTATTTAAATTGCAGGTCCTGAGGTCTCACTGATATAATCCCTCTCAGTTGGTCTCGTAAATAGTTGATGGGTTTCGGTTGGAAATAAGGGTGTAGATCATTTTAAGAATACTGAATAAAACAGTAAATATAAATTGATTCACGGCACCACTGTGGACTAAGCGGTTTTACAGTAAGAAAACCAGAGACCTGCTTCTTTGTTCATATTCATCTCAGCCCACCAGGGGCAGCCGTGTGAACTGGAGGCAGTCACACTCACGTTGCCTTGAAGTAGGTGTGAGTTTGCCTTCAGGTTGAATGCTTCTCCTTGGACTGCTAACACAGACTGATTGCACAAGGACGGTTACCCTTGGGCCTCCCCAAGGTTGGGTTCCTGTGTGGTTGACTGTGTTCGTACACGAGGGCTTGTTTTTTTGTTTTTTTAAAGAAAAGGGGTGTTTAGTGTCAGTTTAAAGACAGGTTGAGACACTCACAGTGCACCTTCATGGTCATTGTGGTCTCCACAGGCCGGAAGAGGGCGGGGTTCTGTGCATGACATGCCAGCTGCCTCCCGTTGTCAGAGCTCACAGCAGTGACCCTTTGGGAGGAAACAGAAACACAGACAAAATGAGAAGGTGAAAGGACTTGAGAAGAGTTAACATTGAGCCAGATGAAGTTTTAAAGTTGTCAAATGACAAAAACACTGATGTTGACATACTTTTACAAGTGAAAGTACTGCAGTTGATCCTATTCGGTAAAAGTATAGAAGTTTTATCAGTAAAATGTGTTCTAAAATATCAAAGTATAAGTACTTGTTCCATAGTAAAATGCCTCATGTGACATGTGATATATTTTTTAAATGTCTTTTTTAGATAGTTAAAACTGGTGCATCAATGTGCATTTGCAATATATTGTTAGCTGGTGGAGTTGGAGATCTTTTTCATTAGCCTCTCTATACAGCTAGGTAGTTTAGTCCAAGGGGCAGCCGGGTCACAATACAAGTCTGAGGGGCTGTGAGATGGTTCATTGGGCAGGATCGAAGAAAAATAACTTCTGGTGTGTCGGCATGTCTTTGACTTTTTCGCTAGTCTTTGTTTTGTTGCTGAAACATTGGATGGATCTAAACCATCTAAGGCAGGGGTCACCAACCTTTTTAGGATGAGGGCTACTTTCAAAAAATAAAACAAGTCGGGGGCTACTTTTACTCCTCTTTATTTTGTTTTTTGCAGTGTATATATGTATCACATTTGATCATTATTATATGCTGACCTTTAACCTTTGTGTGCTGTTTGGGTCTGTGGGACCCGTTTTCAGTGTTTACTAAAAGAAAATGTATGCAATTTAATTATTTTAACCTGCTTTATTTGGGGGTGGGCCTCACATCCTCCAGGGGGGTCCTCACCTCCTCTAGGGGGGTCCGGGGGCATGCACCCCCGGGAAGATGTTTTTTAAAATGTTGAAGTGAAATGCATCAATTTGGTGCACTTTGAGCACAAAATGAATTTATGGATACAGCTCTCAACACTCATGAAAGGGAGCTGTTTACTTTTCAATACTCCAAACATCTTTAGAATATGATCACAACCAATAACAAATCATTTAAACTGTAGATTCTGCCAGAAGGAAAATCAGCGGGGAGGTGCCACATTGCTTTTCTTCCCGACTGCAACACTGGTCCCGCAAATAAAGCAAGAACGTGATTGGTCAATATTCATTGTGGGGGTGGGGGAGGAGGGGTGTTAGATAGATATAGAGTTGTAGTAAGTAGATAGAGTTCGCTATGATTTAGGTTTCGTTTATGCATAGGGTAGATTCTTTTAATTACATTTCCTTTTTTGTTTTGTGTATTTCATACATTTTGGATTTGCTTGGCGAGCTATTTTTAGAACATGCCCCGCGGGCGACTCACGTTGCCCCTGCGGGCGACTGAGAGCCCGCGGGCACCGTGTTGGCTACCCCTGATCTAAGGAGAAAAGAGGAAACATTTCACTTTTTTTTTACTAATAAAAGTCAAAGAAAGTTTAATCGAAACATAAAGCCCAAACTACGCACCAAACCAAAAACAATGTGTTTTAGCCTTTCATATATTTGTTTCCCAATGAATTTATTTAATTCAAACTCATAAATATAACTATAGTGTAGTGAAGTAATTATTGCTACTATTTGCCTCTGAAATGTAGTTAAAAGTAGTATATGGCCAAAAATGGCAATACTTCGTACAGGCTCTTCCAATTACTTCTTGAGTGAATTTACTTTGCACTGCTGTGAGGATTGAAAAATGCCCTTTGTTAGGTCCCTTCAATGCAGTGGTTTAATTTTGAGCCTAGTTTACTCTCTCAGTTCATGTCTTCTATTTCAAACTACAGCAGAATGTCGGCTGTAACGATCACACATGGCCCGCTGCTGCGAACGCTCAGTGTGAATATGAGGAAGGGGCATCAATTTTGCTTAAGACCTCGGCTGCTGAACAACGCTGCAGCTCCTCAGTCCCAATGTTATCTCAGGATATGACAAGAGGTTATTATCTTTGACACAGAGGAGACAAGCAGGATTAAAGTAATCTATGGGCCTGTTTAATGTAAAGGCACCTGGCGAACCTGCGAGGATCGGATCGGTCTCGCTGCCGGAATGTAATTTCGTGCATTTGACAAAGCTAATTTAATCGCACAGTGCCAAGTAACAGTTCGCTGTGTGTAGAAATTCATTGTGCTCGCTAAAACAGAGGGAGAGAATAAGAGCGGGGTGAAAACAAGGAAAAGGAGAAAACAAAGACAGACTCGGGGAGATTGAGAATGTAAGTGAGGGCAATGAGTTTGGCAGGCGGGCGAACACATACGTTACTTCGGCATGCGTGTTCAGGAGCTTATCCTTTGAGCCAGACATGGTGAAAGACTGTGCACCTGTCAGATCCACTCCATCTAAGAGACACAATGGGGGGAAGGAACAGAAAAAGGGAGAGTGTAAATGTGTTCATGTGAAACAGAAACATCAGTGTTATTCTCGTAGTGGGATCGTAAATACTGAGATATGATGGACATGTGTATTTCTGCGTGTGCAACAATATATGTGTCTGTTTCAGTAAACATTACCCCTGTCTCAACCTATTTTGAAATCGAAATCATACAGCGGTATAATAAGACCAAAACATTTGTATGTTTTATGGAAACAATAGGGATGTACATTTTGACATGAACAAATAATGTATATATGTTAGAACTACAGCACTACCCTGAGACTAATCGACACCAAGGAAGAAAAATAGAACATCACTCCCCCTCCGCTTCAGCAATATACAGTATAATAGGTGTGACGGGGGAGCAAGAGGCAAAGATAGAAAATGGGAAAAATGCTGTTGTTCTTGTGAACAACTACAAAACTTGTGACACATTCTCTGCACATGCAATCGTATAGTCAGTAGAAATTGGAAATTCAAATGTGAGGCTATTTCCTCCCACACGGTCTGCTACTTTCAACACTGCCATTCAAAGACTATGAAATAAGAGGTCTTTACTGGTCTCATATCTTACAGTATCTTCTCCAATGTTTTTTATATTTAAATATTCAGGTTGCAACCTATAGTTCTAACCTGTCAAACTTAACGTTTCTGTCACATTTGTGGCGACTCACCTTTATAGAGTGTGATATCAGCCATGGGCTTTGCGTCAGGGGCGATACAGGTGACCGTGTACTTGGACCCTGCCACCCAGGGGGTTGCCATGTCCACCATAAGGTACGGCTGGGAGGGAGGAACTGGATGAGAGAAACAACAGCTCAAGTTTTATATGTATTCAATCATTTACCTAATATCTATCAGGCTAATCTCTGGTTAGAGGAAGCAGACGCTGTCACAGATGGATATTGGCCGATGCAATGATATAATAATAAGCGCTGGCAACATTTGGAAATGACTGGAATGTCACGCTGTCAGCTTTTGAGAGATTCACTACAGCGAGGTTTGATGTTCTGTTGTGCTAGAATACAAATTGTGGACAAAAAGAGAATACAGAGATGAAATGGTGATGAAACCGATCCAGTGCTAATCTATCATAGCAAACATCAAACACTCCTCTTCTCAGATCACCCCCGAGCTAAATATGTGCTTTCTGGACTGATCAAGGCAGTATTCACTTCTCTACTGTTCTACTCTAAAACCCTTTTATCCTACCATAAATAGGAATGCCAGGAAGGAACAAAAAACAGCTTTTAACACAAGGGACTGGAAATTGTTTGGCAGTAAATTGAGAAATCTGTCACCAACTAACAATCAAAGAGATTTCTGCTGATCTTTGAGATACTCTTTACCAAGACTATCAATTCAATCATGCACAAGATACAGGAACCTGATTGTCTATTGTGCCAGATTTAGGTTAGCCTGTATAATTACATACTATGGGTACTGTCAAGATAGTTTGTCTTTCATCAGAGATCAAGTGCAAAGGCTGACGTCAGAGATTGAACTGGGAGCTCAAAATGCAGGATAGGTAAACATGTGTGAGAGAGACATGAAAGCCTCTGGCCGAAGAGTAAAGAGGTATGGCCAGAATGAAAAGTGAGCGTAAGATAAGCTGCAGAGGAGAGCAGGAGCACGAGGATACCTGCTGCTGAATTCTGGGATAAATCCACTGCTAATGTGCGGGTAACCAGCTGGAGCACAAACAACCACATCAGCAAGCCATTCTGCTCATCTTCCTCTTTAGTCACATACAATCAATTCCTGTCCACTAGGAGGAGCTGTTGCTGTGTGCAGGGCCGTCCATTGGCTCCAGCCTGCTATTGAGACAGATGAGATGTGGCTGCAGCTCCAAACTGATTTAAAAGAAGCAATTGAATCTGTGTGGACTGTGATGGGTTACCCAGAGCACTGCAGAGGCGCGCGCTGCACTAATGAGATGCATTTGTTTGTTTCCCCCCCCTCTTCCCTGAGAAGATGACTGGGCCATGCATCTATTGACAGCCCCTGCACTCTCAATCTACTCAGGCCCGCACCATTCAACATAGCGCATCACTTGTTGTGCTCCAGGAGTGTCTGGCAGCATAACAAATCCTAAAATAAGAATAATGATATGTTCACAAATGAGGCAGGCAGGTATTTCATTTTTTTCTTCGCTCGCTCATTCTGGTCCTCTTATCTCTCATTCACTCCATCATCCTCTCTCTAGCATCCGGAGCCCACCCCCCTCTCCCCACGCTATCCTTCTTGACCACTGCAGTTAAACTGCAGGAGTGTGGGGGGAAGGTGTGTTCCAGCTTGCACTGGGAATAAAAGGCTGCCATCCATCACATCAAACAATGTGACCCAATCAGCTCAGTCAGGATGAACATTTGTACAAATGTAATAGCACATGTGGACAACAACAACACACACTCTACAGTATATTCAATTTACTGGACATGCACTCAGAGCAGAAACAGACAGCATACAAGCTGTTCTCAGAATTAACTCTTTCTGCCCCTTTCTTTTCTAATTGCCTGTCGGCTTTGTTATTTTCTCTCCCTGTCTCTCCCTATCTCTCTGCTTTCTAGTCCTATCGCTCTTATTAAGGTACATATATGAACAATAATAGATAGGTACGCAAAGACTTGCTTCTGCCGTTCAGACGAGAAACAGTGAGCTGCGAAATGTGATTCATTAAACAAATACAGACGGATGGATGGATAAGGCAGATAAGAAGCAGATTAGTAGACACACATCAATATGCATATCCACCTATCTTTCTCTCTCATTCACGTACAGATGCACACACGCACACACACACACACACACACACACACACACACACACACACACACACACACACACACACACACACACACACACACACACACACACACACACACACACTGCTCCTTTGCATAAAAACACCCTAAAGTAAACTCAAGTCTACAGTTCATGTATATTTGCATTCACGAACCCACTGACAAAGATGAGTGTGTGTGCAGACAAGCAACAGGGGCCAGAGTGTGTGTACAGTAAAATGTGATACCAAGCTGATTCTGTAGAGAAATGATTGGAAGAGGCCCAGAGGATAAACCAGTCTCTAAAAGGCTTATTATGCTGAATTAAGAAAAATAATGGAGACTGAAGATCACACAAACACAACTTATTGGTTTTATCTCTGCATGACAAAGATTGGCTAAAGGCAACACTTCCATGTAAAAGGATAGATTTGTGTATACACAAACACACGGTTTCTCACACAGATACGCACACATTGTAGGTCTCAGGTGTGTGATCTCTGGCTATAAAAGCCTCTGAAACAGTGCTTTTTTTCCAGTGTTCCCTTCCTCGCCGTCTCCCGTCTGTTCTGGGGGAGAAGTAGAGCAGCAGCCGTCACGCCACTCCTCCTGAACCAATACTGCTCTCTCTTAGCCTTTGCTCTCGGTCCATTAAAAAAACACCCATGACCATTTACCAAAAATAATTCACACATTCAAGAATAGCAAGTATCCCTTTTTTAATTGATTAAAAAGAGTTCAAATCAAACGAGAGAGACAAAACAGTTGAGTTGTCCTTCTAGTGTCTCATTTGACCATTTAGCAGGGCCTCCTTTGCTAATTGTCTGTTACCATAATAGGCACACCGTAACACCACTGTATAACACACCATCACCTGATGGGGTTACATCTTGGGTAACTGTCAGAACTTTCCATGAACGAAGATGAATAAAGTCACTATGTTCTGCGTTGCGTGTGCACCCATTTATAAGTTGTTCCATTATTCATAACAGGGAATCGTAAAATGAAGGCTCATTATATACTCTTCAGGTGCTAAACTCATTAGCTACCGCAAAAACCTCACCATAGCCCTCGTTCCTAAAATGTCCTCTAACCTCCAACCAACACTGATAATAAGCTTACACACATGGGCAAACACGCGCAACACGAAAGCACTCACACACACACCTCTGTAAGACCCAACTATGGCAACAGAATGAGTAACGCAGTCTAAAACCGGAAGACATCAAATAACTGTTTTGAACATTTGCAGGAGGCATCTGTACAGGCTGGCAATGCAGAGACGGAGAGAGTTGTTCATTAATAGGATTAAATACTAAGGCTAATGGTGTAAACCGAGACACAGGATGTGTCAGGTATGTGACAGGCACGGTGCAGGGTAAGTTTTAGAAGAGGAGAGGGTTACGGCGGAGGGGGTAGAGGTTGTTATTGTCATGGATTACTCACTGCCACTTGATCTGCCTATTGCGGTAATCCCCTATCTAAGCTCTACAGGAAGGCAAAAACACACAGGAGTTATGTTGCACCAATGGAAATGTCTTGAAAACATCTCTTTGTAAGCTCATGGATGGGGCTTATTGACATTTTTACCCCCATCCATGATATTCACTGCCTGTGGTGATTCATCTTGAATTAGCCAGTCATGATAGCATTCCCTCTGACCCAAAAATCCAATTATACGACCAACAATTTCTGTTCTGTTTTCACATTCCTCCCCTCTCCCCCACTGTATCTCCTCATAAAGAGTTTATAGTGTTTTGATTTGATGCAGGGCTTGATGGGATATGGCCATGGTTGGCTGGCCAGGGGTGTGGGGCCTTGGGAGCTGTAGTTCTGTGATGGAGAAGTCTGTGGGGAACTCATCAGAAACAGTGCTCTTCAAAGGAATGCAGTTTCCAGTCCCAGATCAGCACTAAGAGGAGATTGAATTCATCAGCTCATTATCAAACCCCAGATTAGTCACGTACTTTGAATCAGTTGAGTTGGTGGGGTGGAACAAATGACCCTTTAGGACAGGGGTGGGGAACCTCCGGCCTCCGGTCCGTATACGGACCACGAGACCATTTGGTACGGCCCTCGAGGCAATGTATAAACACACGCAAAACAACGAAAACAATTAAAGAAATCTAGACCGCAAAATAATTAAACAAGCGAGTGCCTGTGTTTCCTGGCCACGGTCAGGGTCCTTGAACACAACACAAGCCTAACGTGTCATCACGTGGTATATGTCTCGCCTGACAGGGGAGTAGTTCTGACGAAGAGCACCAGAACCACGCTCCGCCCCTTCAAAAATGGCAGTACGGAGCCGTACACATGCCGCAGTTTTTGCGTGGCTGTGTCTTTAGTTCTAAGCCCAGTGGCCCCGAGGTCCCCCCCCCCCACTTAAATCATGTTCACATGACAGTCTCAAGGAGGCAAGAGTAAACCCTCTCCTAAAGAAACCCACTCTCAACCCGTCTGATGTTATAAACTACAGGCCTGTCTCTCTCCTCCCGTTCCCGTCTAAAACACTTGAACGCGCTGTCTTTAAACAACTCTCCTGTTATCTCCATCAGAACAACATTCTGGATCCGCACCAGTCTGGTTTCAAGGCAGGTCACTCCACAGAAACTGCTCTCATTTACCTCATTCACACCAACGGTGTTCCAGGGCCGGTTCGGAGCTGGAGCTTGAAAAGCACCAGGTTTTCCTCTTCACACCGCAGCGGAGCAGCCTCTTAGCTCCGGAATCCGGTTCGTTTCAAGCACCAAAAAATTGTCCGGCCAGAGCAAAAGCACCGCATACGTCACGCTTACGTCGAGGCGGGGGCAGGGGCGGGATCAACTCCTGAACAACAACAAAAAGCCGGCGTTGTATCCAGTTTGTACACAACGATGGAGAAACTTAACAAGCAGCAGTGGTCCACTGAAGTGACCAGCTACCTACTGGGAATCTGGTCTTCCGAAGAGGTACAGAGGAAGCTGGAGCACAATCGGCCATTGTTGTTGTTGTCGGTGTCAGCTGTGAGGGGTTTC